AAAAGCAGGAAATTATAATATTTGAGAGGCTGAAAACAGCATTTTCTTCCAATCTTGAATGATTGCGGCTCTAGAAACTAGTAATCAAAACGTTCACCTATTAATCTTCCTATGGTATTTCAGCACTAGCGACACCAGCAGCTTAATTCTTAGCTGAGCATCTTGAACGTTCTCCTCTTTACGTGCCTAACGCTGCTCGCTGCATGTGACGACTGACATGCAGCTTATCACTGTGAGAATAGCAGCCTTTTCAAAACTCCTTCAAAAGTAATCAAACATACTTCACCAACATTGTATCAAGCACACTGAGGAAAATGTGTGTGTGTATGTGTGTGTGCGCACTGGAAACAGAGTTGTACCAAGTGTTTTCTTGGTACAGTAGTGGTTTTTAGCTTAATGGGGTCTTTTCTTGGATCTCTTTCATGCTCCCCCCCTCTGTGAGGTGTGTACGTTTGTGTGTGTGAGGACGATCTATATTCTCACACTCTCGCCTGCTGTGATGCCTTAACTCAGATTGTGTACAAGTCTCAACCTCTGGCTCTCAACAACTTTGAGTCCAACGCGAGGTCAGCTTTTAACTTCCTCTGCAGCTACAACAACATGCATACTGGATTACTAACGGAGAGAGAGAGAGAGAGAGAGAGAGAGAGAGAGAGAGAGAGAGAGAGAGAGAGAGAGAGAGAGAGAGAGAGAGAGAGAGAGAGATATTCCTGGTCTTAATATAGAGTAGCATACTCTCTGATATCACGTATCAAATGTAGCTATCAGCAAATGCCCTTGAACTCAAATCAGACACTATATATATAATATTGAAGCAAGTGCTATGGTCTGTGAAGCATGTCCTGCAAAGAGGTCAGGTCCACAGAGCTGAGCACTCTGTAAAGCCCTGAGTGTGGTTTTGTTTAAGCAACAAAAACACAATTGGTATTATGTTGATAAAGAAAAGACCTCATGACTAATGACTCAAGTCACTCACCTGACCTTTTTAATCCTCCTGTCGTGTTAGTTTCTTTCCCCTTACTTTGGTGTTCCCGGTCAAATGTGACTGGTCTGTTTTAACTTCTCTTACAGTAAAACATGAATCATGTCAAATTGTATTTAACATCCTTTTAAGCTGTAAACAATGTCTCAGACTACTGGTTTACATGACTGCAATATATATACAAAGAATAGACACTGAAAATGTTTTCCAATATTAACATTTGGTTGGTTGTGGGTGTGTAGCCTACTATCTGATGGAAGAACATAATCTAGGGTCACTTCCTATGGCGGTCAAACACCATGTAAGGGTAACAAAATTGACCAAACCACTCATAATTAAATAAAAGTAGTGACCAGCATTTTATATGTTCAAATGCCTACTGCGGAGGAAATTACAAGGCCTTGAAGCAATACAATGTACTGTGTGAATGTACTTCTCTCACCTCTGACAGATCAGATTTGACCCCCAACATTACACCAACACTTCCAGGAGCTATGGGGGACGTTATGCTCCAGTCACGTCCCAAATCAACGCACTGCGACTTGGTGACCATTTGACCTTGTCACCATTTCACCTGGAGCTCCAACAACTGCACACAATCGGCTCAAACTGAACATCTGCATTAGCCTAGCAGCATAACAACGTGCTCTTTGTTGACATCCACGCCCCCCCCCCCCCCCCCTCGGGCTCTGTATTTTTGGCAGGCTGTGTCAGCAGTATGCACACACCGTCTATCAGCGACGCATGAGAAGCACACACTTGTCACACTTACCCTCACACAACCGGCCTGCGATGCCCTCGCATTGGAGCAGCACGTAGCTTCGGAGGCAACGACGCTCATGCATTCATTCAGTCCGTTTTTATCGAAGCTATTTCAGCAGCAAAACTCCACTAAACGCTCCGCAGTCCTGCAGCTGGCACCCGGAGAGCAGCGGGGGGGGGGGGGGGGTCTCTGTGACTGGTCCAGATTCCGACAAATAGCATGCCAGCTGGTTACTTTGGGTTTTTTACACATAAACCAGCAGATTATAATCCTTTGCACCGTGCGCCAGAGCAAAAACTGGGTCAGGGAGAGAGGGCATGAGCATGTCAATAGCTCTTTATTATAACTACACTGGTTCTGTGACAACAATATTAAACACAGCCCAGGTATTGTAACACAACAGGGGCGTATGGTATGGGACTATGGGACTCCACCATCTGTCACAAACACCTGAGGCTGAGGACCATAACCTACTCGTTCATTTATTGATGAAGCATTCAGCTCTAATATCATTTGGAAGCGCTATGTGTTGTGCAGAGTGCAAGCCTTTCAGGTGGACAGTTTGTGCATTAAGCTCATCACTAAAATACAGGTGCACCCTGCAAAGAGCTGCCTGTTGTTGTGTTCAGGAAACAAAAACACTTTGATTGTATGTGAATATTGAAAAGAAACTGTGTCTTGTGACTCATTTCACTGACTTTTTCAATGTTACATGACATTTTCCTAACACTAACCAAGGGCTGGAGTGCCCATACATGGAGCTGGGGTGGTGGTGGGGCAGGCAAGCAGCAGCGACATGAAACACAGCAGCAGGAACATGAACGCAGCAATAGCAAGTGAACACAGCAGTGGCAGCAGCAGCTTAGCGAGGCAGAGGCAGGAAGACCTGGCAGCTTAAATAAAGGCATGTACACCATAAAAGAGGACTATTGAGGTCTATTGTCAGGAATGTTAGTGTTATATCAAATAGAGAATTCTACTGCAGTAGAATGTTGCACATCTGCACAGTGTTATATTTTCACAGCTCAGTGTCAGTAAATATTGTGCAGTTAGTATTGGACTACAAGATAGATGCAAGCCTGTAGTTATTTAAAGCATAAATGAGTCGGTTGGGTTCTGGAGGTGTGGTTACAGCATTGTGCTTGGTTGGCGTGGCCTGGGCCTGGTGGTGGGGCCCAATGTGATATATTTTCATGGGGCCCAAAATCCCTGGCGGCGCCCCTGCCCATAACTAGCCATGGAAACGGTTGGATTATTCTCTATTTGGTATGAGCAAGAAAACACATGAAAATGTTGTCAGTAAACATTTTGCATGTTATGTATAGACTTTTTGTGATTACTAAACATGTTTCCTCATAGGATGCACACACTTGATCCGGATGGTTTAATGTTCTCTAAAAAGGTAGGCCAATTTATTTATTTATCCTATACGAGAGAAATGTACTATCTGTAAAGGACGAGTGCTGTGCAGAGTACGTGAGGAAACAACTGTGTTGGAAACCTTTCCTCAGCAACAACTGCAACAACAGCTGGGTCCGTCACTCTCAATGCTTTTAATAGCAGCCCACCATGTGATTTATGAATACTGGGATTAGCAATGGAAAGTAAACAATTAGGAAATATCATCTGGTCTTCCTCAAGATTTACCACAAAATAAACTGTCTTTGAATTTACAGATTCTGCAACATCCTCAGATGCTCTGCAAATAAAAAACGTTTTCTTGTTCTTCTTAACCTTAATATAACGATTAGGTTTGTAGGAACCAAACACTGAAAAAACCCTACTTCATTGCTTTATTCTTTGCAAATTCACAGTCACACTCTCTCTCCAGTACAGACCTCTAATTCTATGCATGTTCATGTGCATTAATCACTTTTCTGATACTATTTGTTGTCTTAAATTAAAATCAGTACATGGTTATAAACTCATAAAATACATTTCTTTCCACACTTCATCACTATTTGAGTATCTGACCGATACACTTTAGAGTTCATGCACTGTGTCTCCTCCCACTCCCACATTTATTTTTCTTGCTTAACACCGTGCTTGTTGGTGTGCATGCTTCAGCCTCTGGAGGATGTCCACCAGATGTTTGCTATCCTCCTCCTCCTCCTCATCAACCCAGGAGGACGATCCTGTCATATCTCATCCTTCCACCAGAAACTTGGATCATCTCCATCCTCAGCAGGGTGCAGATGGATCCCCCTCAAATTCTTCGGCTCCGCTGCAAAGACTTCCCTGGGTGGGTTGGTGAGTAACTCAATTACCCAGTTATGCAACTGAAGACCAGAGGAATTCCCCACGATTGCCAAGCCGCCAGCTACATTCTTTGCAGCAACTTGTGAGTGAAGAAATCACTTTTGCACACAGCCCCTCACCCAATGTGTTAATCTCTGAGACACAGTCTGACCCATATAAAGGAAAATCCGTCCAGTCGCCTTGAGTAAGTTTCCTATCATTTCATTTCGCAGAAGATTAACCTCTCACCCCTTTTTTAACAGTAAAGTATGGACAATTTTCTCAAATAGCTATAGTGGGTAAAATACCGCTGCAAATTTAGATTAGAATAGTTTTGAAGTGTTACAGTTTAATCCATCATTTAGCAGTGATTTGGCTAGCAGATTAATATATATATATAGTAAGGAGCTAACTGGTGGGAAACAGTTCCCAGGGGTGTTTGCTGGTGATCCTACATCTTTACGGGGAGTTGTGTAACCAGATTTGAGTAGTTTTAGGTTTGAGGGTCACTGAGGCCTAACTAGCCCTTTAGCTCTTTAAAATCTGAATCCCCTGAAGCTGCTTCCCAAACACACAGATACCTCTGAATGAGCTCCTGTTCTGTGGGAAGTTTTCAGGTCACCGGGGAGCGATCCAAGTGGAGCTTTTTATAACTTTATGGTACTTGAATCCCACCAAAATGTAATGGATGAGTGGCTCAAAACCAGGTGACTGTAGTATCTGCTTTTCTAGAAGTGACAGGTAATATTTAGACAGTTCAAGTAAAACATTTGAAATTCAGAGCTTTGGACAGAAACTAGGAGTGTTTAGTTTAAACCCTTGCAGTAGAAGTTACTTTGGATAAAAGCTCACCTGGAAGCATCTTCACTTGGCGGCCCTTAAACAGAATTGGAGCTCTGATTGTGCAAGATGTGCAAGATGTGAGGATAATAGTGTCGTACTTTGTGACTTACTTCAGAATACTGTATAGAAATTTCAGTTATTTGATTGCAGTTTTATAAACAATATCATCTTAAGTCAGAAAAACTAGTATTTTTTTTATTTTTTTATAATCTCACTTTCAAGAGCCCTCACTGATTTGCAGGATAGATGGATGAATAAACACGACTACAGCTCCCCCTAGTGGTCAACCATATTCATCACAGACCAGAAACAGACGAAATGTAATGTGAGCATTCATAACTTGAGTCTGATGAATTAACAGCTATAATACTAAAAAATAAATATAGGAAAAGTTCTATCTATTGACACACACATTTTATTTTCTTGATGTTTACAGCAGTGATATTACTGAAAATAGTTAGTCTTCCTGTTAGTTGTTACTAAATAATGAGTTCCCAACTTGTCAACAGTGAAAATGAACACATTTAACTGCTAAAAGTTGTAATTGTTATTATTATTGTTGTACTGATGTTGTCTGCTGTGCTCTATTTAATTATGTTTTTATTTTCTAGTCTTGTTGTGGTCATTTAACATCTTGCCAAGGACAACAGTTGAAAATTAGCCTGCTGGCTAATACTGGCTCATTTACAGCAATGTGAATTAATGTGCACTGTCCTTTAAATAAATAAACAAACAAAACAAAAATTAAATGAAAAATATCAGCAAAAGATGTTTCCCTTATACTCCTGATACTTGTTATTAAAGATTTAAAAATAAGAAAGATATCTCTAAAAAAATAATACTACTAAATGACAATATGGCATACTTAGGGAAACTGTTGTCTCTGGTTGGCAATTTCTGCTTATATGAATAATGTTATATCTTTTGAGCGGCTCTCAAATGTTACTTCAACATTTACAGTAAGAGATGTAACATGCTTGATAAATGTCTCACACTCAGAAAATAACCTTCCTAAAAACACAGGCTCAGGGGGATACACTTAATATTTCTGAGTGTGCGTCCCCATGTGATACTTCAGGTGTGCGCTCTGGAGGAATCCTCTGCCGCAGAGCTCACAGCGGTGCGGCCTCTCTCCCGTGTGGCTCCTCATGTGCTTCTTCAGATGTCCGCTGTGGGTGAAGCTCTTATCACAGTGGGAGCAGCAGAAAGGCTTCTCGCCCGTGTGGATCCTCATGTGAATCTTTAAATCTCCTTTCCGGCTGCACTCTTTCCCGCAGATTTGGCAGCGATGCAGTTTGACCCCGGCGTGGCTCGCCATGTGTTCGCTCATTACAGTAATGCTATTGCACTGTTTGCCACACACCTGACAACATCTGGAGCTCTTGTGAGATCTGAGGTGAAGGTTAAGGCTTTGGTTGGACTCCATGGTCTGTCCACACACCGCGCAGATGATGTCTGTAATCCTTGTATGTATGCGGAAAGCATGATTTGTCAAGTGATAATTGGAAGTAAATGATCTATCGCACAAAAAGCAGGGGAGATACTGATTTAACTCAGTGGTTTCTCTGGAAGCGATAGAGGAGGTTTGCTCTGTGTATGTTTGGTTTGAGGTAAAGCTTGCAGCAGGTATTCCATTGTCCCGAACATCTTGGACTCCATCATTTTGGATCAGAGTTTCTGAAAATTGAGGGTGATGTAACATTACGTGTACATTTTCAGTTTGCCCCTTAAACTGCTCCTCATAATCACTGTTTTCAGTCTGAGATTCTGTGTCCTCATCCTCATGTTGTTCACAGACAGATGAATGAGGTAGGTAAGAGGCATCCACATCCCCAAACTCCACATCCTGTTCCTCTTCTTGTTGTTGTTGCTGTTCGGCCCACAGTTCCTCTTCTTCCTCTTTAATGTGCCGGAGCTCTGGCTCCTCCTGAGAGACGCTGGGGCCCGGCTCCTGCTCACAGAGGTGGTGCTCAGGGGAAGATTCCCCTTTACACAACAACGCCTGAGAAGATACTGGGGGCAAAAGAGTAAAGAGTTTAGACCTTCTGCATCTTTCACATCTATATCATTTTGTATCAGTTTTAGAACAAACATAGTTAATAAGTTCTTTAATATAGGAAGAAACGTAACTAAATAGTAACAGTATCAATAATGGTGGCAGCTAATTATTATGTTCCTTATCATTAATCTGCACTTATCCCCCACTTTTCATAGTAATCAATTACCTGTTAACACTTCTCATTTTAAAGTGTCTTGTTTAGCTGTTTTAATAAATCAATATTGATCAAAATAATTCAAATTATTTGGGTAAAGTTTTCCACTTTCATTGATATAATTGAGACAAACTATTACACATTGCCCATTGCAAGATTCTTGCATTTTGTTGCAGACTTAATCTTGAAAATCTTTTAGGCTATTAGTCATGACACTTTTATTTTAGTTCTGCTTTGTTGATGTCTATATATTTTTTTATTAGTTTAAGAACACAATGATACAGGCATTACAATACAACAATAACATGTACATTATTTCAAATAAACAAATACTGGTTTCACTCAGGACTCAGAAAGTGAGAGTTCACACCCCTGTTGACTAACAAATTACCAAAACATGATGTAACGTTGTCAAACAATTAAAAATAAGTGGAATGATACCTTGACAAACATTATAATGAAGTCTGCCACTGACACAAGTAGAAATAAATAGTTAACAAACCTGTGTCGTGGTTTGTGTTTGATGCAAACTCCAGCAGCACACCCCTCAGTCGCTCGATTTCCTGTTTAGAGCTCGAAGCTTCGTCTTCATATTTCAAGATTGTTCGTTCAAAACAGTGAAATATTTCATCGGCAGCAGCTGTCAGTCTCTCGTTCACAAAAGCTCTGAGAAGCAGCGGAGAAGACATGTTTAAAATGCTTAATGTTAGTGTAGAAGATTGTCACAAAGACTAGAAGAAAGGTTTTTTTACAGTCGATTTCCTACGGATGTAACGACAACCCACAGAAGAAGAATGCTTCCCATGGATGCAGCTGCCCCCTGCAGGACAACATGTGTCATTACCTCTGGTGTCGTTTACCAGACGAGGGCTTTTACTTTGAAATACTACCGAGAGTTTCGCCCCGTTTACTAAACTTAAAAATAAACACAACAAACCTCTGAGTCGCCTTTCTTGTAAATGTTTTATATTTAAAAGTGATACGAAGGTACACTGACTCGCATCGTTTAGCTAAAACTAATGATTTCGCGAAAGGTATAAACCGTTTAAAGAAGTTTGAGCTTTCTCGTACACCGTAGATAACCCGGAAATAACATAAATGACCCCAACCCATGCCCCAATCCTAAATCGTCTCTTGTCAGATTTGTGTCCTTTATTCCATTTTATCGTCGGAAAGTGAAATCTATTCATCACATATAGAAGGTAAGGTAAGCTATACACATGTGATTCACTATTGTATGTCTGTTTTATGTATTTAATTATGCCATTTTAAAGCTGCCCTTGGACTGTACCGTTAGCAGTTTAGCTAGCTTCACATTGTACCTCAACCAGATTGTTAATGTTAGCAAACATTAAGCATTATTCTGCTCATATACAGGATCATTGTCGCTGTCATTTTGAGGTCATATACTGAATGAGTTCGTACCAGGAACTATTGGATATAAAGTATAATTTAGACGATATAATGATGACAGTGTGAATGTTTTAGCATTTTACTTGACATTAGCAGAGGTGGAAAAGGTACTCAGATCTTGTACTTAAGTCAAAGTAGAAGTACCAGAGTTTAGGAATAGTCTGGTACAAGTAAAAGTCCTGCAATCCAAATGTCACTCAAGTAAAAAAAGTATTAGCATCAAAATGTACCAAAAGTAAACGTACTTATTATGCAGATTAGCCCATTTAGAATAATATATTATATGTTTTGATTATTATTATTGATGCATTCATGTGCAGCTAATGTTAATTACTTTGTATGCTGCAGGGTGGCTAGAATGAAGGTCCAGGGGAAACTAAAGACTTTTAAGTGCTGTTTATGTTTCACATTGTTAATCCAAATCTGTAAAGGTATTAAAGGTCACCTATTATGCAAAATCCACTTTTTCACGTCTCTTCTACATGTGTCATGTTCAACATGTGTCAATCATGTGTAAAGAGATTCTGAAAGTTTCAGGAAAAGAGATTCTCAATTTTTTTGTCCTGTTCCATTTCTATAAAAACCTGTCTGAAAATGAGCTGATCAGATTTTGGCCACTTTATGATTTTTTGGCTTGTGTAACCATTAGCCAATCACCAACCAAGGTGTGTGTGTGTGTGTGTGTGTGTGTGTGTGTGTGTGTGTGTGTGTGTGTGTGTGTGTGTGTGTGTGTGTGTGTGTGTGTGTGTGTGTGTGTGTGTGTGTGTGTGTGTGTGTGTGTGTGTGTGTGTGTGTGTGTGTGTGTGTGTGTGTGTGTGTGTGTGTGTGTGTGTGTGTGTGTGGTGTGTGTGTGTGTGTGTGTGTGTGTGTGTGTGTGTGTGTGTGTGTGTGTTGTGTGTGTGTGTGTGTGTGTGTGTGTGTGTGTGTGTGTGTGTGTGTGTGTGGAGCCAAACACTTCAGAGACATGTTTGTATATATCTGAGACCTGTAATATATTGATGAAAAACAGTATAATAGGGGACCTTTAAATTAAATGTAGTGGAGTAAAAAAATACTTTCTATTTAAAGGTGGGGTAGGTAATTCACTTCAGAAACACTTGTTGTTATATTCCATGGAATGCTCTTAACATCCCGATAGCAATGAATACATTAAATGCTTTGACAATAAATACATTAGAACATTTCATCTGTGGAAGCCGTGGCGCTGTAAAAAGCACGACCAATCATCTGAGCCGGCCCGGCTAAAGTAACTGGATGGCCTACCTGCCTGTCAGCCTTCCATCTGTGCACAGACTTATCTCGAGCCCTCATTGGTCATGTGCGCGTTCGTGTGTTGGAGGAGGGGCTCTGTGAGGAAGTCTGAAGGAAGAGGCAGATTTTTCTGGTTGTGTACTTTCAAATTCTAGCGCACTCGAGCTGGTTTCTCCATTCTTAATATTTAGATATCCTTATCTGTAATAGGTATTTCTAAATGTAATATATATATATATATTTTAATTAAAATACTCAATAGTGTCAAAACTTATTTTGTAAAGCAAACCATTCATCTTTAAAAAATAAGCAGATTCATCGTTTTTGAAAATATTTGATAGCTTGATGTGGCGAACTTATGGTAAAAAAAACTGCTTATTTATTCTTCCAGCAGACATGGGCATTACAATAATTTGGAGTTGTCTTTATTTTAGTTAATCTGGTGAAGTTCATTTAGAACCTTAATTTGTGTAGGTTTATACTTGGTCTTCTGACTCCTGGGGAAATATATGACTCTACCTGCTAGATGCTGCATTATGTACAATAGCTAGTTGCTTACTGCCTGATTCTGTTTTCACTCCTTTTTTAAAACCTTATTTGATGAAAACCGCTCCCTGCTGGCGTTGAAAACGAGAGATTAGAGGGGACCAGTACATGCCATAAAACCAAAAGTGTGCATCTGGTAGGGCTGCTCGATTATGGCAAAAATCATAATCACGATTATTTCGGTCAATATTGATATCACGATTATTAAATACGATTATTCATTGTCTTTGAAAACATACATTTATTGAACTTTTAAAAAAAAAATATTTTTTAATTTGAACAATATCTTTTTAACAGTTGATTACCCTGAACTTTAAGTATAACTCAACTGCAAAGTATTCAGCTGAAGCCACATCTTTTTCAACTTCCCCACTGCATTTGTCATATAGGGCAGGCCGTGCAGATCTGGTGAAATGATGCCGAGATGGCATCGCGTAACGCTTGTCCATAATGTTAGCCAGTTGCTGAAACCCCTGGTTGCTAACCGTGCTAACTGGGCACATGTATATAGCTATGTAGAATGTGATGGCATGTGTTATATCTTTGTGTCTTTGCGAGCTGGTTGAGTAGGCCGTTTCACTGTAAAGCGCAACTGAAATGATGACGTTTAAAAAAAGCGGGCCGAGCCAGCCGTCTGTGATTGTCCAGAACACACAGGTGGCCAGTCCGCCCCTGCTGCACTGTACTTTTTTTTGTTCCAAGTCGGACTCCTTAAACCCAAAGTATTTCCAAACAGCGGAATTCGTTTTACCTTCCTTGGTCACGAGTTGCACTTGTTCTGCCATCTACCAGCGCTGAACTCACAACAACTATTGTCACTCACAACCTGGCCGAGGGGGCTTTTAGGAAGGGGCGAAAGCGCACGCAGCAAAATAATCGTTTTATTTCATTTACGATGTTTTCGTAATCGTTGCAAGCCAAAATCGAGATTAAAATACGATTAATTGCACAGCCCTAATCTGTGGGTTTGTCTCTCAAAAGCTGGATCCCCTTTCACACAAAGTCATGTGACCCATTGTTAATAATAAATACTGATTACATTACATTGCATTTAGCTGACGCTTTTATCCAAAGCGACTTACAATAAGTGCGTTCGACCAACAAAATACAAACTTGAGAAACAGAATCATATAAGTACATCAGGCTTCATAGAGCAAAAACATTTCAAGTTCTACTCAACTGGCTTTAGATAATCCAGTCCTTTATTAGTATATAAGTGCTTTTTTAATAGTTCTATCGCTCGAAGTGGAGTCGAAAGAGATGAGTTTTCAGTCTGCGCCGGAAGATGTGTAAGCTATCTGCCGTCCTGATGTCAATGGGGAGCTCATTCCACCATTTTGGAGCCAGGATAGTAAACCCACGTGTTTTCGCCGATGGGAACTTGGGTCCCCTTCGCAGCGAGGGCGCAGCGAGTCGTTTGGCTGATGCAGAGCGGAGTGCACGTGCTGGGGTGTACGGTTTAACCATGTCCTGGATGTAGGAAGGGCCAGATCCATTCGCAGCACGGTAAGCAAGTACCAGTGTCTTGAAATGGATTCTAGCAGTTACCGGAAGCCAGTGGAGGGAGCGGAGGAGCGGCGTGGTGTGGGAGAATTTAGGAAGGTTGAAAACCAGACGAGCCGCTGCATTCTGGATGAGCTGCAGAGGTCGGATGGCACATGCAGGTAGACCAGCCAGGAGGGAGTTGCAGTAGTCTAGGCGTGAGATGACGAGAGCCTGGACCAGAACCTGAGTCGCTTTCTGGGTCAGCTGGGGACGTATCCTCCTGATGTTGTAAATTATAACAGCTTTCAACTGTTTTATGGTTACACTGTTTACACAATAACCCTCGTAACCCTGGGGAGATGAAGCTGTTGATGTTGTTGCTCTAAAATGTATTAAAATCCATGACTCAGTGTGCCACAGGTCAACTATTAGTCACTGAGCATGGAGCTATATTTGGAAAAGAGTGTTGAGAGGGAATAGATGATACCCTTTGTCTTTGTGCGTTAACATTATTCAATCAGTTGAACTTTCACATTAATCTATAATCTTACATCACTTCACTCGGCTCTCATGCCATTATTTGCCACACTGTCTTTATTCGAACACAGTGGAATGGGTAAGATCTTGAAATAGGCACATCTATACCTTAAATCAAGAAACGATTTTGAATTGAATCGTGACCTCAAGAATCAAATTCAAATCAAATAGTGAGATACTGAAAGATTCACACCCCCAGTGAATGGCTTGAACATACACTAACATGTTACAATGGTGACGCTGTTAAGTTATATTTCTGTTCGTGGTTTAGAGCGACAAAAATCAAGCTGAAGAAATGGTCTCATTTCTCTTTAAGTGCAGATTTTATGTACAACATGAAGGTCTCCGCACCCTGATGACCCACGGGGGGGGTCCATTTACTTTGACTGATTGGACCCTTTTTTTCAGAGCTCTGTGCCCTGATGCTTCTTGATCAACATCTCCATCACTCTTGTACTTTTTGTAGCACATTACACCTCAATCACTCTTAAGTGCAGACTGAATCTCACTCCCCTTTTTTCTCAGTGAGGAGAGCGGGATGATTTAGCCTCGGGTTGTAAATTCATGCAGCCTTGATTGTTCTGCACAGAGTTCAATCTGAAGCTCCTGTGGTTTCGGGGGTTAAGATGCTGACCATGTACCTCAGTGTTCCCGGTTCAAATCCAGCTGTGAACACTTGTTGCTGCTCTCTCTCCCTCATTTCCTTTCATTGCTACACTGTCACCATCTATTAAAGGCGTAATATCTCAGGCTCCTGCTACTGTCATGATTTACTCGGACAATGTAACAAAGCCATTGTTAATGTTATTACTAACACCTGTGCTTTTCCTATTGCGAGTCAAGCTGTCTGCTGTGTAAGTGCCTTTTTAATACTGAAGGCTTCTATATATTTATTCATCTATAAATCTGCAGATGGTTTTGGAATTCATCTCTTAAAGTGTTTGGTTTATAAAATGACAAAAGGTGAAACATGTCCTCAATTTCTTAAACTCCAAGATTGTTTTGCCTGTGAAAAAATACACAAACATTCACTTTAATATGGTATATAAAACAAAGGAAAGCAGACGACATCTGTATTTGAGATGCTGATTTCAGATTGTTTGGCCATTTTTGCGTCAAAGATTCCTTCACTTCTTCTGTACAGTTGTGCTTATTATGGGTAAATGTCTAGAACCACTTTCATTAAAGCCATCACTGATTTCTTAAAAACTATTTTCCCTTTTCAGAAATAACTTGCCACCATGTTCCTCACCCTGATGCTTCTGCGGAACAGCATCCCTGGGAAGCAGTGGATAGGAAAGCATCGTCGTCCACGGGCGGTAACGTGGCAGATGACACGCAACACGGTGAAGCACCTGGAGCGTGAGCGGGAGAACGAGTACTGGATCAGCCGGCCGTACATGACCCCGGAGCAGGAGTACTGCCACGCCGTGGAGCGCAGAGCCCAGAACTGGATCAAGATCAAAGAGGCCAAGTTCTGCAATTTCCCCCAACACAAGCGCATCACGGATCATCTGAGTCACCTCAATATCACCAAGACGTGGTCAAGTTAATGCGAGCGGAGATGGGACTGTCTTCACAATGTGACATATCGTGTGTTTGTGCAAGAAAGCTTGGTGTCATGGAATCAAGACTTTGCATGTCAGTTGAAAAGACACCATGAAAAGTCAAGACTCCATCCGCCTCCGTGAAACAAATGTGTAATCTTTTTGTGTTTTTGTATCAGTCTGAATCTACCCTGCAACAGGACTGTAATAGCTCCACACTCAGTGACGCTCATTGGATAAAAACTGCTTAACATTAATACACCTGATCTGTGGGTCCTTCTTTCGGCTCTCGTTAAATAAATGGGCTTTCAAGTCTCCATAATTATATGAACGACTCCAGTGTGTTGCATGAGATAAATGTAGGAGGAATTGTGTAAATAGTGTGGGGAGGTTGGGGCAAAATTGTCATTTATTTTTTACTAAGGGTCATTTCACTTTAATAGATTTTGTTCTTACTGCCAGTAAGCCAAATTGTAGCTGAAACTAGACTGTTTAATCCCTTTTTGAAGTTAGAAGATCCAGGGAGGAATACATTTTCATTATTGGATTCTCAAAGTAATACTATTGGCGTTGTGGGGAGCTAACGTATGTTCAGAAGAGATAAGCAATGCTGTGATTATAATAGTTTTTACTTTAAGTGCAATGTGCAGGAATTTTGACCCTCAATGACAACCTTAGTTTTACTCATGCATCAACAGTTATTGCCATTACATTACCCCTTTTGCGTTACAACACTTATACATAACTACAGGAAGTTGATTATCCCGCTTTTACTTTCATAACCTTTTTAAGGTTTTTGAAAGCTAGTAGGCATTGGCACCATTTAAAACACACCTCCTAGCTTTCCAGTAAACTGACTTGGGTATCAGCCTTTAAATAGAGCCTTGAGAATTGGTCTATTTTGGCTTTTATTGATAATGCTTAATCACTATGATAACACAAGGGAAATATCCCTTTCCATTGCTGGACCTAACCCAATATGTGCACAATACGAAGTTTAAAAACGACATCATTGCTCATATTTTTTTGTATTCCTTTTACAGTAGGACAATCATGCTGTGCTTCTCTGCAGCACACAGAGCCTGATGGTGTAGCCATCCAGTCTGATTTACACCACCTGCAACATCAGGTGAACCCAGTGAACAAACTGATGGGACATAAAAACACAGCTGTAAGATTATTCTTTTGTTGCAAAGAGTATTTTTAGGGTGTGATGTTTTGAAGGATATATTGTCACCAGGAGTTTATTTGAGGTCCGTCTTAGTATGGGCACTGCAGGGTCCAACATATTTGAACAGGATTAATGAGCATGTGAAAAAGTGTGGTCTATTAAAAATGCCAATTCTACTGCAGGAAATAAAAATCCTAATTTCTCGGTTTTGCTGCACCTTTGGGACACCCATTTCAAGAACCTGAATGTAAGAGACTAATCCATGAAAAATTAACTAACAATCCTCCTGTGTGCTCTGCAGGAAGCTTTCCTGACAGTTTGGTACACTCTATATACTGAAAATGTTAAACACAGTTCACAGTTTTAATCTGCTTTTCCATGCCTGAATCCTGCACACTGTCATTTAAGAGATTAATTACATTACATTACATTTAGCTGACGCTTTTATCCAAAGCGACTTACAATAAGTACATTCGACCAGGAAGACACAACCTTGAAGAAAACAGAATCATATAAGTACATCAGGTTTCATAGAGCCACACATTTCAAGTGCTACTCAACTGGCTTTAGATAAGCCAGTCCTTTATTAGTATATAAGTGCTTTGTTAATAGTTCTATCGCTCGAAGTGGAGTCGAAAGAGATGAGTTTTCAGTCTGCGCTGGAATTACTAATTGTTAGTTAGACGAGGTTTTCGAGGTTTAGGGACTGAAATATTGTCATATTTCGCTGGAAATAATCGACAATTTACAGTTATTTCCTCCTCTGTTGTCTTTGGATTTTTCCTCCTGCCCACCGGTCTTCAAGAAATTCAAGGTTTGCATCAGCCTCTTAAAACCAGAAATATCACCTAAACACAAAACAGAAGAACACAAAAAGAATAAAGAGGTGATATAGTTGACAAGCATAAAAATCCATCATCGTGTTTTCCTTTTTCTACGACATAAAAGATCCTTAATTTTGAATATGGAAATATCAGCAACATTTAGACCAAGTTTCAAAAAGGTAAATGCACAAAGGTTAGTTAGATTTGTGATTTGAACAATATATAATCTAATGTTTTTTAATCAAACTCTTAATCTATAAAGTAACATCTGTAATTGTTCAGATCTGCAATCGTGTGTAGTAAAGTATACAATATTCCCCTCTTAATGCTAGTGTAGCAGGTGCATAAAGTGATAGAAAAGGACAACATGAGTAAAAGTAACTCAATATCTTTCTTTTTTATTTGCCTTAGTAAGAAATGATTTCATCACAAGGCATACAAAACAAAATAAACACTTACATATATAAACTAACTACACAACAGTCAACAAATGAGGAAAAGAAAAACAAATAAAGAAACATTAACTTATAAGAACAGCTTTACACATAATGGGTACAACACTAATCCTCATGCGTATATTAATCGTCAGATCTGACCACATTGTCATTGTAAATATCAAAGTCTTACAGTACATTTATTTTAAAGGAGTCAGTGAATTAGTAGTCAACCCTTTGTTTCCTCCGGCAGATGGCGCTGCAGGTCGTGGTTGGGGCTCCATGCAGTGGAGCAGAGCCCCGACCCCTCCTGCGCGCTGCACCCACCCAGGCGTTGTTTTCGTCTCCTGGATGATGAGGTGCGTAAAGAGGCGCCAACACACCGGGCTGAGGAGGCACACACACACATCTCCTCTGCAAGAGCATCCACGCAGCGCCTCAGGACTTCAGAGACCATGAAGACCAGCGGCAGCTCGAGGAGTACAGATTCACCTGCAGACGACTGAGTGAAGAGGCAGCATGGCGGGGGGTCGGAGGGGACTTGTGGCCCCGCAGAATACTTTTTTGGAGAATATTGTGAGACGGTCCAACGGTAAGGATGAGGATTAATATGCTACCTTGAAGTTAAAACTGTAAAACTAAATATATATGGTGCATAGATATGTGCATTGATTGCTCGTCAGCCTGTCTAGAGAAGCCACTTAACTAATTAACGAAATTAGAACAACGATGGAGGCTAATTAGTGATCGAGCCATTACCTTCATGCGCATTTAAAAGTTCGTTATAAATAAAAACTTCAGAGTTAACACATTTCCATTCATTCTAGTTAAAATATTCAGTGCGTTTTCTGACAAATCCCCTGTTCCCAATACGGAGTCTACGAAGCCAGTAAAAATCAGACATTAGACATTAGAGGTAGCCTTCTACTGATTACATAAAGCCACTGAAAGCCTTCATTAAACAATGAAATGGACCAGAAACATGCAAACATAATCAAGTGTAATACTTATTTATCTCTAAAAACAAGTTATGTCAGAGATCAGCTTGTGCAAAGACACTAATCCATTTGTTTTTATTCACCACGATTTCCCCACTAGGCTATTGGTTTAAATGAAACTATTAAGCTTTTGTTCATATTGTCTTAGATCAGCTAATGCTTTATTAACTATCCCAAGATAAAGGGGTTGGATCTATTAGGGGAAATGGATGAGAATGGTTTAATTGTTTTCACTGTATTGGATTTGATCTTAATTCATAAAAAAAGCAGTTTGAAGCACACATTGCAGACCTTTGTTAAAACCAGTGGATACAACATATCACAGAAGGTAGGCTAACCACAATGATGAGTTACTCATGTAACATGATATGTTTATTTATATACTTTATTGTTCACATGTTAATGTTTTTCTTATAACTTGTTTTGTACCTGAGATGCATGGGATTCATTTATTGGCCAATTGGTGCACAATATGGGGTTCAGAATGTGAAGCCGATATACTACCTATGATAGCTGAAATTTAGCAAACTTTGATAGAAATCTTGCAGTGATTTTGGAAATATGAGTGTCGGTAATCCTTTGGCTATGTATTAGATCAATCTGAAGTGACAGGACCTACTGGAGAGTTATGCCACTGGACAGCTAGCTGTGAAACTAAACCAGCACACCGTGTGCGTTTCTGTCACGAACAACGTTTGGAGACAATTATTCACACACACCAGCTCATTGGCTATGATTTCCCTTTTTAATGGGCTATAGTCAAAATTAGGTTTGGAGGTTCTTTCCTATAATGTATAATCGTGTCCCGCAGAGGTATACCACACAAACTTGTGTGTTTGTGTATACACGTCTGCTCCACATATCTCCATTAAAATGTGTCATGACAGAAGGGAACAACTTTTGCGGAAAGGGTGAATATGTCTCTAGAGCCAGGCTTTCTTTAGATGAACAGTGTAAGAATCTGAATCCCTAAAGTGAATAATAAATAAAGAATAAAAGAAAGGAAAATGTAACCTTTAAAAATAAAAGCACATGCATATGTTTTTCCTATGACCTTGGTCTCTCCCAAGCTAGAAACAAAAGAGCTAAGGCTATAATCTGCAGGATGCCACTGAGACACAGTGGATTGACACAATTGACTTGTGAGAGACCCAGCGGTGGGTGGGCGTTCACAGACGATGAGATGTTCCTTTATTCCTTTCTTTCAATGTTCAAAATTATAGCGCTTACTTTTCTGTCTCTATTTTGGATTTTCATTTTGGCTCTATTAGGTCACCGCCTAAATGTAACTCTACATTAAAACAGAAGTTTGTTGTTACATAATTGTATGTCTTTATGTATTGGAGGAAATGCATATAGGTGCAACTTTTAGCAATAATGATAACTTTGTTCCATTATAGTGTTTGTGAATAAGGCCAGTAAACTAACCTGGGCAATTTAACATTAATTTCACCCATCTTTAGGTTATCAGCACATTGGATGGGTGTTATCAATGGTTATCAGCCTCATATGGGTAACAAGGAGCCTGCTGCACCTGCTAGTAGGTTTGGACTGAATGGTGGAAAGCAGTAACAAAAGCCATTTAAAGTCTCTATCTATAACTAAATTATGTCATTAATCAATTTGTTTTATTATTTTCCACATCTAAGGCCAGACTTCCAGCCATGGTGTTCGTGTCCAGTATGAAACCCAAACTTAATTTGTTATGACTCATTACAATGAACTCTAAGCAATTAGAATGATAAGTAACAACTGAATACAGTCGGCCATTTGGCCGTATTCAGTTTTTGACCACCTAACGTGCTGTTTGTCTCAGTGAAATCCGCAAAACCTACATCTTGTGGGTCTTGTTAATCCTATGTAGCTATATGATGATGTTTATTCAGAGGTGGAAATGTTGAAAGGTAAGGAGCAGCAGGAGAATGTCAGTAGGAAGATAATGAAGGCAGTTAATTTTGCCGGTGAAGCAACAACTATTATGAACAACTTTGACTCCAGAATTGGAGGACAATTTAGACACCAACATTTTTGAAAAATGAACCTTTGATTTTATAATTTTTTTTAATGTATTTAGGAAAAACAGATAATAAACCATCAAAAAAAGTGATTTGCCCAGCTAGGCATCAAATTAATATTTTTCAATGAAGAATTACCCCTGTTACTCTAATTATAGTAACAGGGTTGAAAGTAACAGGGTTGAAAATCAATGCTAATTTGAGCTTTAACCTCAGGAATTATTGCTAGATGTAGCATGTAATGCTACTTTCAAGGCAAGGAGAAACTTGGATATCTAATGCAAGAAAGATAACTTTTAAATGAATATGCTTTATTCTGATAATATCAGTAACAGGGTTGAGTGGGTCAGAGTGCCACACTCTTTTAAGACTGAAAAGATTGTAAAAATGTGAAAAATAAAAGAGAGGACTTAGTTTTGGTCTACCCATGGGACTAGCACATGGCTTGCTGATGTCACTTCCACTGTGTCATCTGATTTACAGTTTGTTCACTTCCTGTGCCAATCTAAAAAGGTTTGGGTAACAGGGTTGAACGCATGTTGAGGGACACACCTTCTGTGCAAAATTACTGTTATCTAAAATATGTTTATGATTTAACAAATTGATTTGACCATTACAAGAGACATATGTCAATAGAATAATACCAAAAAAAGTAAATAAAATCCCTATTTTAAATGTTATATTTGACATGCAAGTTTGTCACCAAGAAGTGGGGACAAGAGAAAAATGCCATTTTAGGGGATGTTCGAGAGCTATTTGATAATTTAAATAATATTTTGAAACCACTTTTTCTACAACTTTATATACATTTTGTCTCAATACAAGTATGTTTAACACAACACGTGCATGTTTTAGCATTTTGGGCATGGATTATTAGATTTGTTATATGGGGGACATGAAATGTCCTCCAATTCTGGAATGACTGCATATCCACAAGGGACCCTTTAAATTCAATTAAACCTGCATTTACTAACTTTGGCAACTTAAGGGTTGCCTTAAAGTTGCAAACACAACATTGACATCTCACCTTTTAAGTTGACAAAGCAATATTGGCATTCATTGAATTTGTGTGTCTTGCCAAATTCAAGTCAAATATTCACTCAATTTCAGCTGTGTTTTGGCTCTCTTACCACTCCTAAGGGAAATATCTTTCTCTTCTCTGTCTCTTTAGCTGATAAATGCTTCAATATGTTTACCAGCTTGTCACTTACTGTCCCTGACTGCAGTTTGCTGCTGAGCAGGTAGGGTACAGTGGGATTTAAAGCCTTTTTTCACTGAAAAGAGCTTCCTGCTGCAGCCAAAAATAACCCCATGGGTGCAAGAGTGAACCAAACAGTTAAGTTGCGGCCCAACAGCTAAACAATGAGTTGAAAAAGCTAATTAAATACATATTATGTTGATTTACATTGATTCAAATGACTACGTTTTGAAGTTATATGAACTTTGTAGCTCTATGGAGAATTTTTGCTTTGCTTAGCTGATTATTCAACCCAGTCTCACGGCATTTCGTGTTCACCAACACGATTTTTAATCTATTGATTCGTGTTCCCCAACACGATTTGCCCCTTTTTTTCGTGTTGCACAGCACGATTTTAAAAGCAATGTATTTCTATTGCCTGCAGCACGTCTTTTTCTCCGGTCGGGTCGAGGAAGACCTGAAGCTGTGTGGTTCATAAAAACATGTTCTTACTCAATATCAAGCCACAATTATTGCTTTTATTTTAAATCGTATAATTTCGGACTTTTGTTGCCGTCTGTGAGGAAAATAAATGGGGCTCAGAGCCTCAGAATACTGAAATCTGTATTTTTAAAATATTTTTGTTATTCTTTTCAAAATAACACACTGTTATTTACTCACCAATAACACACAATTATCCTTGCTTTTATTTATTGGTTTAATTCCATAATCTCGGGCTTTTTTGGCGTCCGTCAGGGACTGAATTTCAAAATAAAATATCCGGAAACAGATGTAGGACTATAAGGGACATTTCGAGCGTCATTGCGATTGTCAACCTTTCTGAGTTTAGGATGGCCGAAGACACTACACTACCCATAATCCCCAGCTATCGTTTAGGACTACAGTCCCCCGTAAGGTTACGCAGAGCGTCAAACAGCTGTGTGAAATGGAACGAAACCACGCCAGACTATCCAAAACTGGAATCGAACGCCCCCCCCAGAACTACACATGCTGGATGCTGGCTATTGTGTTTCGCCAAATGTTCTATGGGACGTCTCTACTGAACGTTTTCGTTTTTCCCACAATTAGAAGTTGCCAGTATTAAACACATTGGCGTTATCAAATGTAAAACTATTATATATTATTTATTATAATTAATAAATGGGTGAAAATCGCTATATATACCCACATGACAGCTCATTGTTACTTTGTAATTCTACTCCACTACAATTCAGAGGTTAACCTGGTATTTTTACTCCACAGCATTTATTTGAGTTACTTTGCAGATTCTGATTAATGATGTGAAATATAAACAACCCTTAAATCAGACTTTAGTTACACCTGAGTAAAATTCAGGTAAGGTGATTGTCAAGTGCCAACAATCAGGAGAGATATTTGATAGTTGGTGCTTGAGAAGACTAAACATGTATCTGCAATTGACATGAATGGAAACGAGTAATAAAGTATATTCATTACTCGTTATTCTCTACTAATAGTTAATTAAAGACTGTATATTATGGCTATTTTGCACATCCCTTTCAAGATTTTCAAAGGTTTATTGACATATCATATACACAACTGGTGTAGTTATGCAATGAATGAAACACTTGGGTCACAGGTTCCTCAACAGTGCATTACAAGACATCTATCAATATGTGTGAACCTCCACCAATAAACTGTCATATTCTGCACATTTCTTATTCTATCTACATACATACGAGTATAATTCATATGTATAATGTGAGTTAAAATAAGTGCTTCAACATAGTTAACATTGCAGGAAAGCAATATAATAGACGTTAAGTACTTTGTCAGGCTTAATATTTATCTGTAGATAGATACCCCCAACGGTTTTTTCTTATTTAAAAGAAGACCTTAATCTGTTATTTAATGTTTAAATAAAGGTTAATTCGTTTTTCTGTTTTGCACCTCCTCCTATTAATATCTTTGTACATGCTGCACTAAACTGTTTTATTGTAGAGATCACTTTATAGTATCTTCTTGATTTTTTATATTCTATATTTATATATTTATACTTTCCCCCTATGAAAGTATGCAGGGCCGCCCCTGGCCAACTTGGGGCCCCAAGCGACATTGTGAGATGAGCCCCTCCCCCCCAACCGACAGGAGTGAAAAAACAATGTTTTGGAAACAAAGTAGGCTACTTTGCAAATATAATTCCTGTTTATTATTATTATCAACACTTTTTTATGCAGTGAGGTAAATGGTTGTGCATGTATGTCGTTCAGTATGCAGGTGAATACGTCTGCATTTCCTGCCAAATACTAGCCTCAAAAAGATTAAAATATAATTAATGCAAATAAACAACTTCTACTAATAATCATAATCAATTCAATAATATAAATACTATATTATTTTATTATAATATAGTTGTAATATAGTCGAGACAAAACATGCTTATGACATGCTCAAAAACTGATATTTCTTAAATCTGTATTCAAATGTAGTTCCCTCTGTCAGCAATGTATCAACAACTACACACACATTTCTATCAGTACAGTATTTATCTGTGTTGTGGTTGACATGATGATGACTGTTAGGAGTTAAGGGGAGAGGCTGAGCATCACCATGAAATGTGCAAATTGACATAAAAATGAATATAAGGGCGAAAAATGCTCCATATTTTTTAGGCTGTAAACTTTAACTGTTATGTAAGCCAACTAGACAGACAGTTTATCACTCTTCCTCCTGTACATTAGCAGATATAAGGCATCACATACTTGAATGAATGGTAAATAAAGAATGCTGGAAATAACTGCATCTCCATTAGCCTATATGCTCTGCAGAGACTGCCTTCTTCATGTCGTGAATTGCAGCTGATGTTTTAATATGGCAATTGGCAATTTGACTTATACAACATTCGCAAGTTGTACATTTGACTCATACAATAACCCACCTTCGAGTGATGCTCTAGTTTCTTCAAGTTTAGTTTTTTTTCCCTCTAGCTTGCGCCGGACTGAAACTGTCTTTTCACCGACATCTCTTCACCTGCACTAGTGGCCGTATCAAAGCCGTGATTGGTCAGATGTCGATTCATTGCAACGGTGTCGGGTTATAGACGTGCTCCCCTTGTCACCTCTCACTCTCGCGTGTCAGCCGGGGGTGCGCGGAGAACTGAGCGGAGAACTGCGCACAGCAGCTGAGGCCCTCTGGGCGGGGCCCCCTGCGCAAGGCGGGGCCCCATGCAGCCTGCGTGATTGGCCTGTAGGGAGGGGCGGCCCTGAAAGTATGTACTCGTAATATTTTTTTAATCAAACACAATAATTCAATAACGTGCTTTAACCACTAGATGCACACAAGGTACACAAATGTTTTCCGGATTTCATATCATATAAACACCAAATCCCAGCATGCATTGCGGCTAAAACATCCAATAAACGAGTTTAAAACCATAGCTGAGGATCTTGGGTAATGCCTAAATCCGGTTATTTTTATTTTGAAATTCAGTCCCTGACGGAGGCCAAAAAAGCCCGAGATTATGGAATTAAACCAATAAATAAAAGCAAGGATAATTGTGTATTATTGGTGAGTAAATAACAGTGTGTTATTTTGAAAAGAATAACAAAAATATTTAAAAAATACAGATTTCAGTATTCTGAGGCTCTGAGCCCCATTTATTTTCCTCACAGACGGCAACAAAAGTCCGAAAAAGTTATACGATTTAAAATAAAAGCAATAATTGTGGCTTGATATTGAGTAAGAACATGTTTTTATGAACCACACAGCTTCAGGTCTTCCTCGACCCGACCGGAGAAAAAGACGTGCTGCAAGCAGTAGAAATACATTGCTTTTAAAATCGTGCTGTGCAACACGAACAAAAATCGTGCTGTGCAACACGAAAAAAGGGGCAAATCGTGTTGGGGAACACGAATCAATAGATTAAAAATCGTGTTGGTGAACACGAAATGCCGTGAGACTGGGTTGGATTATTTTGGCCTTTCCAGCATCAAAATGGCCGACAAACAAAGTTAGCGACTACATTATCTTAAGACGGCTGAATATTAGCGGCTAAAGAACAAAGTTTCTCTCAGAAGTTGGTAAGAAAGCTATAAGAAGAGTGAATATAAGACCTACATTCATCTGTTGGCCAGAAAGATGACTTCAAATGAATGCCAAGTTTCACCAAGTGTGCTGCATGTAGTAACTGTATGCTAATGCATTAGCCGCAACAAATAATGCTAGCTGTGTGTCAGCTTGTTTCTGAGTTGATCTGACCCTTAGTGGCTCAAAAATTATAAATGCATCTTTAATTATCATACGTCTACCTTAATAGTAACACTTATTTCTGTTGAGCTTACGGTTTTTTTACGAAACAGCTGTTATTCTCACGTTAGCGTAGCGATAAACAGTGAGGATTGCCAATTCACAGTGTTGTGTTTATGTTTTTGGTTGACACGTCCATTATTTTTTGTCTGACACTCAACCGATATTTCTCACTGTAATCTTTTAACCTTGTTTCTTTTTCAAATATTTCAGTTTGGACACTGTCACATAAACAGACAGGTACTATACAGTTTAGTTTGGTGTGCTGCTTATGTTTTCTTGACGGTATCTTTCTCTTTGTAATGCACCACTAAATGTTCTATACCAAATGATGTTAATTTACCAAACACTTAACTAATTAGACATGTTAAGATTAATAAATAATTTGTTTAAATGATATGCAACACAGCAAATCCAGGGCTAATTATAGTACTGGAGCTTTGGACTTTCTTTAAGTTTAACATTCATCTGATTATTGTAAAATAATACGTTGGCATGGAACGTCTCGTGCTTCATTTGTCGTCAGTTTTCTCATGCTTGTATTTGTCATTTCAAAGTGTTTTTATTTTGTGTTGACTGAATATTTTCTGTGCGTTCACATGAAATAGGGAAATGCTATTTCTATGTGTTTTGTGCAAGGTGTTTTTAACTCCTTCTCTTTCAACCCCGTGTCGTCACATTGTTGTAGTTTCTGCGCAGATTTGGGAATTTCCATACAGGTTTTATTATTTTTTTGGTTTTACCCCCAGTCATCATCACATTTACTTTCCCATTTAAAGCCAGTACATTTTCCCTTTGTTTTCCTTTTATTTGCCAATTTTATGTGAATGGATATTAGATCGTTTTACTTTTAGATATGTTTAAATGTCAAAAATAATCCTGGAAATCAATCTACATTTTTTTATCCCAGGAATGAACATACACAAATAAGTTTGTGTTTTGGAATTGAATGGCATTTATTTGATAAGAAATATCAAAATGGCAAAAAGCTGATTAATTTGTCCATGAAGTCTTGCCCAATTGTCCTTAAAGTACCACTATACTGCTTTAAAAGAATGTTACATTTTAAGCTTTAGTATTTTCATGTCTAAATTACACTCATAATCAGTTGCATATTTTTACAAAGCAAAAACTGAACAGTGGAATTATTTGCATATTTGTTTCAATCATACTTAATCCAAAAAGCCAGTAACCAAACCCGCTGGCATTTTCCTTTTTAGTTCATGAATAATGACATTTAAGAACAAATTGGAGTTTAAGTAATGACACAGAGTAACAATAGTTGATGTTAATTATAAAAATGCTTAGGTTTTGAGAAAGGCTGAAGCAAAATACAAATGATTCAATGATCACTTAGGTTTATTAACATTTTCGACCATTCATATCTTTGCTTGAAGGCTTTGCTAACATTTGAATATGCAAAATGTGCCATATGATAATTAATGTACTCTGTTTTCATGACATTTAAAAATCGATGACCACGGCTATAAATATTTGTAGACTATACTGTCCAATAATGGAAACCTAATTACTTCATACTATCAGCAATAACTCAGACTATTTAATCACAAACACAAGTACTCACTTGTTTCTCACAAACACTTCTGAAACGGCGAGCTAAATTACTCTGTCTACATGGGGAATGTAGAATCCCAAGATGTTCCCAAGGAAATACTAATAAAAAACGTCAGGTAGCAGATGTTTACTGTACATAGTTATAGGATGTTTACTACATAACAAAACCAATCTGTTTGGCCTACATTTGTGTGCCAGTGCCCCATGTGGAGTGTGTAATGCGCCGTAGACCATCATGGACATTAATGAAACTGAAGTGTGAGGGAAACATTACAAAGCAAATGTGCATTTAAAGACATTTGTTAAATAAACATTCAGCAGTATGAAGGAAAGTTAAATCATTAGTTTTGAAACCGAGGAATTTGTCTCAAGAATCTGTGAAATATTATTTTCAACAATAACACATTTTCAAAGATAGGCACACATTTTTTTATGCCCTAATGTTTGCTGTTTAGTTATGTCCCGTCATTCTTTGAAAACTCTTGCAATGTTTATTTAGTTGCAGCTCCACAAAATCTTTGACTTTAGATTGAAAAACCTTTTCCCTACCCAAAACTACTTTGATATTGTTGAGTTTTTAGGAAATACTGCAACCCTTCAAGTGTATTCACCCTTCATTCCTGTTCACTTCTAAACAGATACCAACTTTGTCCTGGGAAACGCTCAGATAGTAGACTGGCCCATCGTCTACAGCAACGATGGTTTCTGCAAGCTGTCGGGGTATCACAGAGCAGAGGTGATGCAGAAAAGCAGCACCTGCAGGTAGGAACAATGTTTATAGTTCACAGAAACTGATGAGAGAGCATATAAAACACAACTTATAAAGTAAAGTTTACCAAACTCTAAAGACTTACTATACGATACTAACCCTTTTTTATATTTCGCTGTATTAGACATAAGTTCAAGATCAGCCAGTGACATTATAAGAAGTTGTTTTGGCTAACCTCAAGCTGTCTTTAATCTAGATGAGCCTCATCTTGGCTGGCAAAGCTAAAATAATCATGCTATTGCTGAAGTTATACAACAGTGTCAGATAGAGGATGACTTTTTCTACAAGTTTTTTTTTATCTTAAAAGTGCCTGCAGTAAAACACTGTGTGGAGGTTTCATTTAGATCCCTGTATCACATATAGAAATAGATTCTTGCTGCAGTGTTTTCTGAGAATTCAATAGGTTTATGTGTGCCACTGTAGAGGCCATTTTCAATGCTATGTATCTTTTTGAGTGTGTTTGTATTTGCACTTCTTAACACCAGGCGGAGCATCCTTATTTAGAGGTAATTGGTAGAGAGAGTTATTCGAGGATGATAACCGGGTGCAGGTGTGTGCAGCTCTTCACTTTGCTCCAAGTTCCCTGTGCCAGTGCGTGTTTCATGTCTGTGGGTTTGAATCCTCTATGGAATATTTTGGCTTATTTTAACAGAAAGGGATATGATGCTGAAAGTTCTCATTGCACAAGTGCAGTGTTTTCAGATGTGATTCTCGTGCACAATGCCGTATTAATTATCAGAATTAATGATGAGCTCATACATCAGCTGCTGAGCAAAATGTGTTAGCAATGTAAGGGCTGATATTAAGATGGTATGATGTTCACCCTGTACATCATGTGAGATCAGTGTGTTGACATGGTGATATTTGATGATGAGCATTAAACACAAAATACAGCTGATGTGGATGTTATTCGTTTAGCAGTTCTTTAGCATTATGATGATGGTACCAGATTAAAAAACCTAACAATGCGGCAGGAATGATTCTGAGAACCTGGAAATTAGTAAAAAATGTTGCACTTTCTGTACCCTTGTTTTGAAGTCAATGGGGTTTTTGAATGGGTTTTGTTGAAACTTTTAAGTGTCTTAAAAAAGGCTTTTGCTATGAGACTAGAAAAAAGTCATAATGCCGTACAGTAGTCAATCTTGATCTCAGTGGTGACGTTGAAGGCACAAAGTGTAGTTCATTCATAGCCTAAAAATAATAGTGTTATTTTGTGAAAATGATTTGCTGAACAAAATAATTTTAATATTGAAAATGTTTGTTTGCAACAGAGCTGATTTTCTGTAATCATCCAAAGTTAAAATCACAATAAAGTATTCTATATTGAAAATAACGAGAATACCACTTACAATAAGAGTTAATACCATCACTTCAGTAAGACAGTTAATTAGTCTTTATTTATTTCAAAGAAAGAAACCAGATGAGTAAAACAGTAATCTGTGATGTAATCAGGTTGTAACAAACTGAAACTGCTGGCTGACAGCGTCCCGGGGTGCTCTCTCCAAAACTCCTCACATAAAGCAATACAAGGGAATCTAAAATGAGTAGTATACCTATTCAAGTGAGTAAATTCTGGTCTATTTTGTTTATTGTGCTGGTAAAAGCATGCCAGTAAGCACTATATTAATAGGATCACATGGAAACAGTTGGTGCTGCCAGGATCCGTGGGAGATTTCTTGTGTTGTGAGAGATGGCGTTTGTCACAGCCAGCACTGCGGCTATTACTGATTTAGACCCCCGGGTCCCCGAGCATAAGCTTCAGAAGACTTGCCAATACAAATATTGAACAGAGTGTGTGAAGATTAATTTGAGTATTATTTTTAGGTTGCTGTGTGGATCACAGTCTTGTGTTTGTAAGAGGAAGGGAACATACGTAAGCTCTATTGACTGTAATTGAGATCCAAAAGAAAATATTTATACTTTTTTCTATATGGTTTTGAATGTATACATATCACCATACACTTCAGTAAATAACAGTTTACTTTGCAGCAAGGCACATAGGCCCTTGACATTGTGTTGGAGAGCACATTCAATGACGGTGAATACAATCAGAAAACAATCATATTTTATTAATAAGCTCCAGACCTTAAAATGAATTAGTATTAAAGATTCAATTTTCTTTCAATTTGGAATCAAGCTAAATTCTCCAAATTACATCTGCCTCTGTTTTGAAATATATTTTGGTTCCTTTCAGACAAAGGTTTATTATATGTGTTATACCTATTTGTCCTGTCTAATCATGTTGAACAGTAACTAAGTACTTTTACTGAGTACCATTTTGAGGTAGTAAAAGATCTTCTTCCAACACTGAATGTGGGTTATTTATAAGTAGGTTTAATAGGTATAATTAACCACTTTTATTATTAAAATACACCTCTATGCCATGCAATCATTTGGTCTTTTTGAAAAACGTTATAAGTAACCGCAATAATACAGACATCTGACATGAGTGTGCGCTTCCAGCAGAGCCTCATCATGATTTAAATAACATAGATATACAGTAAACTGTTAATAATAGTACAAAGAAATATGTAGAAACACAGATGCGTAATGAAAACAACAAAATCTACATATTTCTATCTACAATTATCTCAGTGATGGATTTTCAAATCTAATTTATAAGAGAAAAATACTAATCGGTGAAAATCATAATCTTTACCAGAGTAACATGATATTTCCCTTTATCAGCCGGTGCATCTGTCAACACTATGAGTACATCATATTTTGAAAGAGATACGTTTTCAACACAGGTAGTAAATGTTGACCATGTTTTGCCATTTTTCTGTGAAGTACCGAAATCTCCTCCAAATTCAATATAAACTCATACTGGATCCACTGGTTATAGGTAGGAGGGCTCATGTATCTCAGTGAAACAATACAAGAGGGTGCCATTGCATTTTTAAGGAGGCAAGAAAACATTTGATCTTTCTTTTTACTGTCAAAAAAACATCTCCATGAGTTTGATAACGAGGCCATAAAACATTCAGAGTGTGGATGTTTGATGTTTCTGAGGATGACTCAAACGTAAAATGTATGCTCATCTCCCCAGAGAGTTAAAGTCTAATATATCTTCCTCTTCTGCTGCAGATGTGTGTGGATCAAAGATGTTTTTTCCTCCCCAACTGCTCTGTCTCTTCTCAATTATTTATATAATTCTTTACTGGATCCCGTAAACATACAGGGACAAACCTGTGGGAATTGTTCTCGCATGACGAGAAAGTCATTTGAAGAATCGTGTTTTTGTTTTGTTCTTTCTTTGAAGAAGGACATTCATCAGTGATATTACATCAAGCACGGTCTGAAGAGCCTGTGCAGCGTCAGGATGTAGTCTCATTAAATGTAGCCGTCCTTTTTTTTATTTCATAACAAACTCAGTTATATTTAGATCCTGCTGGAACAGGCTGCTACTGAGGGTGGCGGTAACAAGCAAAGTGAGATGAATGTCTCCGCACCGTGCTTTAATGTGCTCATGGATGCTTGACCCATCTTCAGGTCTAATTTGTTTTTTAGAGGTGCTTTCGCTAATTAGACTTCGGGCTGAATTTCTCTTTTTTATGCCATCAGGATACATTTCATTGAGTTTTAACCCACCTCTACTTCATATTTAATACAGTATAATTCTGCGATATGTGTCTATAAAGGTCTATAAATAGCACTGTCTGGACAATTTAAGTATAACTATAAATGGCGAATCATTTTGTTGGGAAAGCATACGGAAAAATATTAGAGGAAAACGTAGATAAGACATGAAAAGGTGTCATCAAAGAATCAAAATAACGGAAACAAAGTACCACAGTGTATCCAGGGAATACTTGACGTCTAACACAATATGATAATCACTCATTCGAGCATTTCTCGCCACATTACAGAGCGGGCACGCTTGTCCAATGTGCCGTTGCCTATTAAATATTTAAATTGTTATATCCCTTTGTGTCTTCCAGCTTCATGTACGGGGAGCTCACGGACAAGGACACGACGGAAAAAGTGCGACTAACATTTGAGAATTATGAGATGAATTCGTTTGAAATACTGATGTATAAAAAGAACAGTAAGTCGCCATATGTGAGGAAACTAGGAAAATGTGAAGTTTTCCTCCACTCTCTTGTCATGCAAATGTATTCCGAGCTCCTGTAACGTAGTTCAAAGGAAGCCCAGCACATTTCTACCTCTGTAGAAATGTGCTAATTGGTCCAGAGCCAAACCTTCCTTTTGAATAAATATAGATGTGTGTTTCCATCTCCCCCTTCTTCTTGCAGATGTTACAGGAAAACACGGGCAGCTTTAAAAGTCCCTTTGCAAACTGTGCAATACTTTTTTCCAATATTCGTGAACTCACTGTTATTTCCTCTAGCAGTGTGGTACAGATCATGCCCTGAAGCTTTTATTTAATGGGGTCCCATTATGCTCATTTTCAGGTTTCAAATTAGTATGTTGTGCCTCTACTGTGAAGCTCTTCATGATTCTCATACTGCCTGTGCTCCAGCACCTCTTTTCACCCTCTGTCTGAAACCAGAGCCCAGTCTGCTCTGATTGGGTAGCTGGCTTGCTCTGTTGTGATTGGTCAACCGCTTAGATATGTCCCGCCCCTTAGCCACGAATATGTATATCACGTGTATACAATTAGTTGGAGCGCTAGCCAATAGAAGTGCGAGTGTTACATAGTGATGTGACTTTTAACGAAAGTAAACAAAGTAGTCCAATGGAGGCGTTTCAGGCAGGGGGGGGAGTGTGTGGGAGAGAAACTCCCTCTGAAGGGAACTTTGGGACTTTACATCTACAAAAACACTCAACAAATAGGGCCCCTTTAATAAGATAAGAACCATGTGTTTGTATATTCCTGTTTAGTATTGTCAATTTCTGTTCCACCTTTCCAAATCTGTCATGTTCTATAACCCTGTTGATTTAAAAATAAAAACAAACGAATATAAAAATAAGCAGATGATGCAGCTGAATATATATTTATGTTCTTTTTATGCTTTCAGGAACGCCGGTTTGGTTTTTTGTGAAGATTGCTCCAATACGAAACGAACAAGAGAAGGTGGTCCTGTTTCTTTGTACGTTCAGTGACATCACAGCCTTTAAACAGCCCATTGAAGACGATTCCTCTAAAGGTGAGAGTCAACAGGATTCACTCGTATAACTTCATGCCTTTTATCCGAAGAGGTTGTCGCTCTGAATCTCCCAATGAAAGTTATATCTACTCCATTGGGATTTAAATATGTAAAATGCATTTATATGAACACTTCATGGCCCCTTCAATCCTTTAAACCTACATTTGCGAGAGGTAGAGGTAAAGTTTTGTTGGCCACCGATCATCATCCAACCCTGTGCATTGTGCATCTGCTCGGGGGAAACACCCACTCAGTGAAATACACAGCCATCATGATGGTTTTCAGCACAAAATGAATCACTGGACTGTAAAAGTGTTGCAGACTGCCAAAATAGAACACGGATCAGTACAACAGGCCACAGTGACAGAAACAGGATGTGGAATTTAATGAAATAGAGATTGTAGTTCAGCATCAACAGGTAGCTGCTGTAGAGGCTGTTGCACTCTCTCTCTCTCTCTCTATCTCTCTCTCTCTCTCTCTCTCTCTCTCTCCTCTCTCTCTCTCTCTCTCTCTCTCTCTCTCTCTCTCTCTCTCTCTCTCTCTCTCTCTCTCTCTCTCTCTCTCTCTCTCTCTCTCTCTCACACGGGCCATCGCCTGCAAGCAAAACTAACAAGCACCGGTTTGTGCTGCCTGAATAGAGAGTGGGTCTGAAGTGAGGCAAACACTGCAGTAGATCACATACACCAGGTAAATCATAAATAAATCATGGAGGCAATCTCTTTTTCTTAATAACAGATTTCCTGCTTAGTCAAACATTTTAAGGAAAAGGACATTTGTATATAAGATTGAAAAAAAACACAAAAAAATGAAAACTAGCTGAAAGACACATATAAAGCTTCATTGAGCTAATTGGAAACTGCCTTTAATCTCCTAAAGAAAAATTAACTATATGCATTGAATGAAAAGAGTGATGTCTCCGGTTCTGCTGAAGTGATTTGGATAATTTGTTTTAAACTGGCAATGAAAATGTGACAGGAATGCAATGCTAAATTGGTTGCCTGGTCTTTTTGTACAATCAGTAAACATTATTTGAATACACCAGAAAAATAAATATATATCAGCAGGGATATGATTTATGACCTTGATAAAAAGGCAAATAAAGGTGTGGAGTAGAATAGAAGCTTGTAAATAAAACCTTGATGGATTCTCACAGCCCAGAAACCCCAAACAGGTCCTTGTTAAAGACTTATTACTGCTCTACTAAACATTAACACTTAACATAAACAAGATCACTTACAGAACATGCTTTTTAAGAAGCTTAATTTAAGGTAATTTACAGACACAGATGCATCACCGTCTTTTCTCTCCTTCCACAAATCGTGTAGCTCGAGCGAATGTAAAATACCAGAAACGATCTTAAATGTCATCACGTAATATTGTGGATACTGTCTGTGTTTCTGATCCTCAGGCTGGGGAAAGTTTGCCCGACTGACTCGAGCGCTCACCAGCAGCAGAGGAGTCCTCCAGCAGCTGCAGCCCACAGTGCACAAAGGAGAAAATGTCCACAAGCACTCCCGCTTAGCTGAGGTACATACATGAGATTTTTTATTTATGACTTGATTCCGGTAAAACAAATACTGTTATCTGTTTTATGACCTATATATATTCATGTTGCCCTGTTGGAGGAGCCTGTGTTTTTCATTGCCATATCTACACTGTAGCTAATTGCTACTGTGCACATGACAATAAAGCCTTGAACCGTTTAATAAGGAAGAAACATTGGACACTTAGTCCAGAACCAAGGTTTTTTGATATCATAATCACTTCTGTCCATAGTGTGTGTTGAACTCCTGAGCTCTGTGAAGTGTCACCACCTAAATACTGTATATTAATAGCACATAAATCTGTTAATAGTCCAGATATTTATAATTATAACAATATATCGGTTCCTGCACCATCTGTTAAATAGCACGACTGGTAGGTTTAAAAAATATAAACAGTATTTTTGCCTCCTGTTGTTTATATTTAATAATGATAATAATAATACATGACACTTATGTGACATGACGCTTTGACAGAGAATAACACAAAAACGAAGAAAATACATAAAGAGACAAACAAACACAGAAAAGGGGGGGGGGGGGTGGTCAGTGGTTGAATGCGGTGTTGAACAGGTGGGTTTGAGTGATCTTTTTGAATGCGGTGAGGGAGGAAGAGTATGTAGGGGTAGGGAATTTCATAGGGTGGGATTTAGTCACGTGTCTGTTTTTGTAAGTGTTCCTGACTCACTGTCTTTCGGCAGGTACTGCAGCTTGGCTCAGAAATCCTACCTCAGTACAAACAGGAGACCCCCAAAACCCCTCCCCACATCATCCTGCACTACTGCCTCTTCAAGACCACGTGGGACTGGGTCATCCTCATCCTCACCTTCTACACGGCCATCATGGTGCCCTACAACGTCTCCTTCAAGACCAAGCAGAACAACGTGACCTGGCTGGTGGTGGACAGCATCGTGGACGTCATCTTCCTCGTGGACATCGTTTTAAACTTCCACACAACGTTCGTGGGCCCCGCCGGCGAGGTCATCTCGGACCCCAAGCTGATCCGCATGAACTACCTGAAGACCTGGTTCGTTATCGACCTGCTGTCCTGCCTGCCGTACGACGTCATCAACGCCTTCGAGAACGTGGACGAGGTGAGTGCTGAGTTTGGGCTGAGCAAGTATTTGATTTTTACTCCAAGAAAGAAAGACTTGATGGTTTTATATGTCCTTCATGCCTAATATCTGCTAGTTACAGCTTCTCTGACGGGAGGATTTGCTGCTTTTCTTTATTTTAGATGATTGAAACTGAATATTTTATGGTTTTCAGACTTTTGCTCAGACATAAAAAGTCATTTGAACTTAAGTTTTGGAAAATGTGGGCTGGCATTACTCTGAGATATTAAGCAGATGTATTGATATGGAGCTAAAACAGCAAGTTTTCTGATTGAGTTGATCGCAACAATTTTGATAATTGATTATTTATTTAGCCATTTTTAAGCATTAAGGCCAATCATGTCTTAAATACAATACAAATCGTTTTTTATTTATCACTGTAAATGTAAAATATCTTTGGGCTTTAGACTTCAATACAGTACAACATAACATGAGGTCAATAGCAAACTGCATTTTCCGATTACTGTTTAAACATTTTTTTTTGTATCCCAACACAATGGAGAGGCCCTTCTTGTGCTCTGTCTGCTCAGTTGTTTTGCAACCTAATTGAGACAGAGCTACAGTCCTAGAGGGGATCATTTGTGAGGCGACTGACAGGTTATTAGGTTTCCATGCAGGTGTACAACCAGACGTAATAATGACGAGATGACAGCGACAATCAGATCCTGTTCTCTGGTTGTTTTATTACAGTGACAGTGGAAAAATGAGGTAGGAATGAGCAACATAATAATATGCTTGTTTGTGAATTCATAAATGTTCGACTGTAATGAGGAGTGTTTGCTGGAGAGCTATCACAGGATCTTGAGATAATTGGCACATTTTAATTGGGGAGCGTTACATTATTAAACAGAGGCGGCGTTCAGAGCTCGGCTGATGCCCTAAAACCATTAACACCTAACGACAGCTGACAAAAGGGCCGAGTCAGGATTAAAGCTGATGTTTGTTATGGCGTGTGCTGCAGTGGGTTGTGCGTAGGTGTTGGGATCAGGGGGATAGGTTCAAACCCCACTGCAGTCAGCATGTCGTTGTGTCACCAAGACACTTCACCCCAAATTGCTCCTGTGGGGATTGCCCACAGTATTGAGTATGTAAGTCGCTTTGGATAAAAGCGTCTAACAAGTGACATGTAATGTAATGTAATGTTGTGTTACCATCACTTTTGACTAGATACATTACAGTACACACACTTGTGAGAAAAAGGGTGTTGAGGTTTGCTGTAAGTCTACATTTCCTAAGGCAAATAGGAAGAAAACATGTATTAGTTGTTTATTTATGACATACTATTGCTTACATGCATTTGCGTCATCAATATTTTAAAATATTGTATGTGTTGTATGCTGATCAAATCTATTTATAATATTTTTAACTGGATGGCACATTAGATCTCCAGCTGAGTCTGATGGAAATGACCCCTTAGTATGCAACCTTAGCTTATGCTGGCATTTTAAACTAAATAAATTACAGTTTTACAATTTTCTTTTATGAAAACTGAAAGTCTACATTTCTCAAGCCAAAGAGAAGAAAACATGTATTTGTTTTTGATGTATGACTAACATTGCTTGCCTTGATTCGTGTCTGTTTACCCACTGAAACAATTAGTCATTTAAGTGATTTGTTGATTAAGGAATCAGTTAATTTAAATTGTTGCTTGATTTGTGTTCATCTAGCCAAAAGGCCAAACATGAATGGATCACAAATGCATTAATGTTTTACACAAAGTAGGGAAACTATTTTACGTGTGTTGAGAAAATGTATGTGCAAAATATTTAGCTGGTACGTACATATCTCCAGCTGCGTCTGATTGAAAATACTACTAGATACATTAAACTAAACTAATAAACTAGATCCATTTAAATGTTACCATATTCTTATGAGGAAAAAAAGTGTGTGTCACTTTGCCAAAAGTCTAAATTTCCCCTAGCGAAAAAAATGAAAACATGTATTCGTTTATTTGTGACATTATAATGCTTGCCTGCATTTGTGTCCTCAATATTTTAGAATATTCTGTGTTGTATGCTGATATCAGGAAATCTATATTCTAAATATTTAGCTGGTACGTACATTTTATCTCCATCTGCCTCTGATGGAACATATTCTGTACAGTGCAACCCCAGCTTCTGAATCAGATCGAAATGTTCACATAAACATTGATTAAATGGAGCCTCGGGGTCCTGCACTTGCTGGTTTTCATTCTAATAATGCATCATCGTGTGCCTGTGTGTGCTTCAGTGTCTCATGATGTGTGTGTATTGTTATGTCTGGGTGAAATGCTGTGAAAGCATTAAACGACGTGGTCGGTCACACAGCGAGCAGCACAGTGTGTGTTAGCTCTCAGGGGCTATCCGGTTGCACACACAGTACTACGTAATATGAAATGCTGTTGTGAAGCTTCAATACAAAACTAAAAATAAGTGGTTTGTCGGTGGGCTGCAGGCACTGAGTTGTGTTTGGAGGTCCAGCATTTTGTCCCCTTTCTAGTCTTTCAGCGCTTCAGCATCCTAAACGCTGACAAAGTGAAGCAGTGACCAGAAGCAGTTAGTGCTCAGCAGGAGGGAAAAACAACAAGCTTTAGTGATTTAAAAGATAACGCTGGTGTTATTTGATATTTTTAGCATGCAAACAAAAAGAAATTCAATAATAAGTAGATGTTAAAGTGAGCTTAAAGGGGCCCTGTTATGCTAAGTTTCAGGTTCAGAGTTGCATTGAAAAGCAAATGGGCGACTTTCCTCCTTGAAGCATTCGCCGAGCTTATTTTTTTAACTGTTGCAACGTGCATTGTTTTCCATATGTTCTTCTACTCTTCTCTTCCTGCCTTTGCTGGTGCAATACTTCATATTGTGACATTACCGCCCCTAATAAGAAATAAAATACGAAAGCTTTGCCACAAGTTTGTTAAAAACCCTAGAGAAATCCTACAAAAATAAAATATTATACTGTACAATTAATTTTCACCAAACTAGAGCTAACTGCCATCCATCATGCTTTGCACATGATCTGCTAGATAAAGATCCCCTTTATAGCAAATGAGAAGTAAACCGTGAGTAAGCGGACAGTCTGTCACAGGCCCGTTGTAGTTCATTCTTGGCAGAAGTGTAGACAGCAAACCACTTCTCTTATCAGGTTTAGTGTGAGGAGCTACAGTACCTGGCAGGAAAGAACATTGCAGCCATGGCATTGTTTCTGAGCTGGAAATATGGCCTTTGTGATGAAATAAGTCACCCAGCCCAACACGGTAGCTGTTAAATGTGTTTTGTTGACCGCATCGCAGGGAACATTAAGCAATATCAGGATTTGGATACTCAGAAAATAAGTGTTAGCAGTATGTATTGTTGGCATTTTAAAATATTTAAATAAAAGAGAATGCATCAGCTTTATCCCATATCATGTATTGGCTATTTAGACTTGATGCTATCAGGCATACTATATTGTATTTACTCACTGACACAACAATATTTAGGTGCTATTTTTTCCTCATACATACTTCACCCTCTGTCCGAAACCAGAGCCCAGTCTACTCTGATTGGTTAGCTGGCCGGCTCTGTTGTGATGTCCCGCCCCTAAGCCTATATGTAAAATGTGTTGGCGCGCTAGCCGATGGAAGCGCAAATGTTACTTATCACGATGCAGACCATTTACATGCACTCCTATATAACACACTACAGGAAAGCAAACCCTACAAAGCATATTAGGGTCCCTTTAATTAGAAATCAACAATTCTGCGACTGATAGTTTCTTGCATCTCTACACTTCACATTACAGCGTCTTACTATTGCTTTACTGAGAGGGTCACGTGTATAATTAGCCTTTTATAACATTATGAACACATTAGCTGTGAGCCAACATGAAAGATGACCATCCACTTCCAGGATAATCTTCCAGTCTCTGCAACAACTCAGTGACTCCAATTTGCTCCAAATTGCTTTGAGGCGATCCATGGCCTGGGTAAATGAGAGCGGGTAAACAATCGGCTGTGTTATTAAAGCGGGAGCCCCAACATTTTGCTGCAGCTACAGACCTTAACGACTGACATGAATAACTTTGATGGCTGTTTTCCCCCCCAACAGGTTTCCAAATAGGGAAGGGGAGATCATTAACGAGGAGCGGCTGTCAAAGTTGTTCTTGGCAATCTTAAAGTGACGCATGTCACCTCGAGACTAACTGACTGAAGCTCGCTGTTATTGTGTCAGCTTCTAATGAGTGATAACCTAAAACAACAAACAACCCGCTTCATGTTGCCGCTGACAACGTGTCAGTGCATGCTTTGGTCACACTGCTCATGCTTTACAAACACAGATCTCTTCATTTGAAGCCTTTTATTGAATATTGATTTTGTCATGTGTTTATTCATCGCTTACCACTGATCAAGTGTCTTCTCTCTTACTTGTGCTTCGTTTTTGTTTTTCTTCTTTTTCATCCGTTCTGTTTGCATGGCCCCCCACCTCTTCCTCTTCTGCCTGTATTCATGCATGGGACGTGATGGGAAGAATTGGAACCACCAAGCTGTCACTCAAGTAGGCTCCAGTTTGATTAGAATATGATTATGAACAGTTTTGTGTTTTATTTCACATGCTCACTTGATGAACACCTTACATTTACTCTCCATCACGCTTTGATAGTCCCACATTTCCTCTGACATTTCCTCTTGCACCCACATTTCAGCTGTGGCGCCCGATGAGAGTATGACAGCAGAAGCATCAATGCATGAAATAAGTGTCACGAGAGCAAGTTAAGATTTGTGCTGCTTGTTTTTTTTTTCCTGTTAAAGCTTTTCATTGCCAGCAGATAACATCTATCAGATAATGTTCTAGTACAATTTGAAAGTAGCGTTATTAAAGCTGCATGAGAGCTGATTCAGTCCTCACGGCAGCACTAACAAACATATCATTTGTGACAAATGTACTGCAGCAACAGATTTCAAAGTAAGAGCCATCCAGGCATTATAATTGGATTTATTAGAAGGAGTTTTGAACTTTGTGTGTTCATTATAAGAACCACCTCTTTTTTAACCACCTTCATTTGACAGCATATTTTTGAACTTTTTTTATCAGCTAACTAATTGGGTGTCAGTAGATTAAATGTATGACCTCTCATTATGATGTTTAAATTGGACATTATAAAACACATAATCAATTTCTCAAGTTCAAAAAACAATCCCACTTTAGATCACTAGTTATCTTATCGAGTAAAAGTAAAAATGCATGACTTAAGTAATGGTACCTTTTCTAATATAAGTCAGGTCATTACATTTCTTAAAGGAGTGCTTTGGCATTTTGGGGGATATGCTTATTCACTGTTTTGGTGCGAGAAGGAAAAGATTAAATATATATAAAATATCTGATTTCTGGGCAAGTCATGAGTCCATTCGTTTAGCAAAACGAGTGTAATGAAAGGGAATCAAACATGTGGCTCGCGCCCCGTTGAAACACCAATTGTTTGTGCACAAATGAAAATTAATAATAATGTTTTCTGCACTCTAATTCGAGATATCAAATAATATGGAGCATATTGATGAACTGTCCTTAGTTTGATTACTGCCCGTTTAGCCTAGCTTAGTTAGCAGGGGGAAACAGATGGCACGTACGTCACACCCCATAAAATCGCAAACTATAAAAGCAGTCTAATCTCTGTATGTTGTATAAACTAACGCTAGAGAGTCTATTTTCAAACCTCCTGCTGGCAATTGCTCTACATTAAGAGAACGATGGCTCATCTATCACTTAGCAAGAAAGCATATTTCCCAGATTGTCAAACAATGCCTTTAATAACATTTATTTTAGGCTACATGAACTTCTATCCCACCTGGTGTTTGCAGCAGTACTCTTAAAGTCGATGGCTCTGGTAATCGAGTTGCGTTGCAGCTCAGGCCTGTAAAGTGATTTTGAAGAAGCCGAGGTGTCTAGCAGGCAGCGAGATCAGATCAAGTGACAGCAAGCGCTGCAGTTGTACTCGCATTGCAGACCACAGCACATTAGCAAATCAATACCCTTCCCAACACACACACACACACACACACACACACACACACACACACACACACACACACACACACACACACACACACACACACACACACACACACACACACACACACACACACACACACACACACACACACACACACACACACACACACACACACACACACACACACACACACACACACAGACGAGCAGCAGAAAACTGATGGGACTGCAATTGTCTGTTTGAGTGGGTGTTTCAATATATTCATTTGAGCTGAGTAGGCATTTATCTGCCGGTTATGTAAGCGCTAGAAGTTGTAAAATATCATCACATTGCAGAGAAATGTTTTCAAGATGAACTCAGCATATTTTGAATCTTAATATATTGTGTACTTCATCGTCTTGAATCTTGTTTCCATATTCTGTGTTGCTGCACATTTTCACCAGATTCTATAAAATGTTTTCCAATGTGTTTTTGTTTCACTTCATACGTTATGTTCACAGCGTGTTTCATTGCTTCTTTATCTTGATTAAAAGAGATCATTTGGAGTTAAATCAGATTAGTGATATTAATTAACAGTTGTCCTTTTATGCGTATGCTGCTAAATCTGAAAAAAACCAGCATATTATATTTTGTCTACTATGTTAGATGTCTTGTAAAGTATTTTTTGCTCATTGTTTTAATCCCAATGGTAAATTGCCCTGTCAGAGTCAGCAAAGTCACTCAATAATAGTGAAACAAAGAAGAACATACGCACACACAAACAGGTAGAGGGGCAAAATAGAAGAATAAAAACATACATAACTACACCAGCAAACTAAAACCGGTTTTAAACTGTATAAAAGCATTTAATACATTTGTAATACTATACTATATTTTAAGCGTTAATAATGTGTATATATATATATATATATATGAACAGTTATGACTCCTCCTGGTTACTCTCATCTGTAGTTACATGACACAGGTACTGGATTATTTATAATTACCAACCAAACACTTAAGGCTAATTTATAAATGTCTTTACAGCTGCGTAAAACTACTTTATAGTGTGTCATCAACTCTTAATATAAGGCTTACATGCCAAATAAAGCGACTTAAAGTTGTATATCTGAGCAACATCATTTTGGTTTAAATAATATACCTCCAGGTGTTGGACAGACACAGAAAGAAAAATCTCAAGTATTTTAAATATACAGTATATGTTACACTTATATACACACAAATATAAGTATTGTTTCTGATTTTCTCTCTGCCTCTCCGCTGTGAATGGTGTTCCAGGGGATCAGCAGTCTGTTCAGCTCTCTGAAGGTGATCCGACTGCTGCGTCTGGGGCGGGTCGCTCGTAAACTGGATCACTACATCGAGTACGGGGCGGCGGTACTGGTGCTGCTGGTCTGTGTGTTTGGACTGGCCGCTCACTGGCTGGCCTGCATCTGGTATGTTCATGACATTTATTTATTTAAGATAAGATCAAATGGACCTTTATTAATCCCCTCGGGGAAATTCAGTAGTTTAACAGCAACAGGGTAAGATTGAAAAACAGGACAGCACAGATTAATACAATTAAGGATAAAATCAAAGATACAAATTAAAAATGATAACTAACTATAAAATAAGAAATGAATTGAAATGCATATATATACATATTTGGTCATGTGCAAATATTATTTACATGTTTTACTTACATTTTATTTATTAATGTAATATTACTTCTTACCAATGGTGGAGGAAGTACTCAGATATGTTATTTAAATATGCAACCCATGTCCCTGGGCTTCGTCCCCGCTGTGGTTTGATTCTGACCCTCTTTCAACACTGTTCCCCAAACATTTCCTTACTGTAAGTACAGACATTTACTTATCTCCTGCTATAAGAGAGATATAATATTCAGTATAGATAATGCACTTTATATTCAATACAGGGATTTCTAGTTTTCATTATACTGTTGTCAGAAAGGAATCAAAAACGTATAAGGATAGTTACGGTACGTGTGCAAATACATTGCATAACACATGAAAGACTGCTACGTTCTAATAGCGTAGCCAATTAATATAATGAGGCCATTGATAAGGCTAATTAATGCATTCATTAGCACTAAACAAGCTTGTTTTTACACATCAAACTGTATGTTTTGGTACCTTACAGAAACAGTTTTAAAGGTTTCAAGGGAATCAGTTTTCCCTCATTAATATGTAAATGTAGGCGTGCAGGCCTCAGTCTAATCAGATCATCTACTCTACAGGGTTAGAGTTAGAGTGGAGGCAGCATACGTTGATTTATTATGTTTATGGGAATGTCTAAACACAGACAGATGAAGATGCCACCATGAAAACTTAATGACGTGCATACATAAAAACAAGGAAAATGTGCTTGATAGATGACAATAAATACATTTTCTTTGCAGATTGCCGTTTATGTTCATTTTGTGACGTTCTTCCAACTACGCACACATACAAACAGTTGACCCATCCCTCATAAACAAAGATTACAAGACATATTAGAGTAAAATATTCATGACCACAACATTATGTGCATCTATCAGATGTTAAAACAAGTTATATGCAACATTTTATGTGGTTAACAAACTGGGCTCCAACAAGAGGCTCTGACCAATATCATAAACATAGAATAAATCAAACTTTAATAAATTAAGCCGGTGAAAACCTCAGACTCAAATAAAAATAGCTCCTGGATCTTTCTCTCAAGGTGGCTTCTGTGGTTGGCATGGACACAAGCCCAGCGACAGCGGTGTTGAGAGGAGAAACGTCAGCAGGATTAATCATGAACACTAAGATATGAATTAAGAACATCGAAATCCTGCCACACAGAATTATGGTTATTTTCTCTTCTTTTTTTGTTTTCACAAGCAATACTGTTGAGACCTCTTCAGGCCCCTAAAATTGACTTCAAATAATCTGATGGGTGAAATATGTCTTGCAGCTAATAGACATGCCACCTGTGAGAGAGAAACACGTTGGACAGATGTGTTTGTCAAACACCTGAGAGTATTTCCTGTTGAGCCTCCCACAGCATTTAGTTTAGACTTTTATACACTAAGTAGAACATTTCATTAAATATATTTCGCTGATGCTTTTATTCAAAAATAAAAATAAATAAGTGTATATGTGCCAAGGTGGATTGTGAACAAATGAGATTTAGTCTTTTTGACAGAAGAGCAAACACCGGACACCTAGTAGACCCTTCTTCATAGTAAGGGAGTAGCAAGATGATTGACAGTATAGTAATTGTGAAATGCTTTAAAAAAGAGCTTTGTTCAAGTTGTAGTTATGTTTATTGTATTGGCTTTAACTTTGTATAGATGTGTCTGTTGTCATTGTTGTTTGAAACATGGATAACTTGTCTTCTCACTGCAAACTAAATCTACACATGAGTACAAATAAATGACCCTGAACCTGAACCTGAATGCATCTCTAACACATAACTCATTATTGGTTTCCTGATCACTTCTGGCTCTCCAGGTTCAGCATCGGTGACTACGAGGTAATCGATGAAGAAACAAACTACGTGCGGATGGACAGCTGGCTCTACATCCTGGCAGAGTCGGTGGGAAACCCGTACCGCTTCAACGTCAGCGGCTCAGGGAAGTGGGAGGGCGGGCCGAACAAAGACTCGGTGTACATCACCTCGCTCTACTTCACCATGACCAGCCTCACCAGCATCGGCTTCGGAAACATCGCCCCGACAACAGACGGAGAGAAAATCTTTGCAGTGGCCATGATGATGATTGGATGTGAGTGGAGGCGTTTTATCTTTCATCCAATGTAGCAGATACATGATGCATGAGAAGTTAAATATGCTCTTTAAAGCCACATTCCACTGAGGTAGATGAATAAATGAATTATGAATTGAGCCATCGAAGTTTAGAAAATAGAACTTTACAGATGATTAGCTGAGCAGTATTTCTAACTCTCCTCTAAACCTGAATATGCTGCTAAATTTGAATGGAGTTCAATGCCAGAACTGCAGTTTTATTTCATTTACAATTTCATAGGCCTGTGTTTACTTTCACTGCCTACTAGCTACTGTACAGCATACATAACAGGAGCATTTCAAAGGCCCTATTATGCTTTTTGGGGGTTTTCCCTTTCCTGAAGTGTGTTTATATGTGGTCTCATCACATACAGTAGGAGCGCAATTTTATGTTGCTATTTTCCATGGGTGCATTTGTTTTTCCGGGTCAGGCAAAAGCAGATTGCTTTCTATTCTCAATCCCACAAAGCTTTGATTGACTGATTGAGTTGTCAGTGAACACAACACCAGACTTATTTAAATCAGTGACTATATCAAAGATGTTGGCTTGTTTGAAACAGGCTACTGCATCACTGATATGACCATTTTTACAGAACAACTCCTACTGTAGCTTTAGAAAAACTGAAGCATTATAGAGAAATACACTGACTTAATATATGGCACATTCATTCAATGTCAAATTGAGAAAGCTGTCATGGGTTTTAAGAACTTACGTTTAGCTTGTACCAGTTTATTTTTCAGTCTCATCTACACTGCTGTCATCTCCAGTCCGTCCACTTTGATAATTTGACATATACAGTTCAGCAGGAGCTTTTTTATTCTTGCCTACATTAGACTCATTACATCAGACTCCTTTGTGACAATGTGCTGAATAATTAAGGTTTTCTGGAGCGTAATGCATCGCTCAAACGATGCAAACGAAGCTGTCTGAAACGTCACAAAAAAGCTGTTGAAACGGTGAATAAGACAGCTCCTCCCCAGAGTATTAGAGGAGCATTTTAAACATATTCTGTCGCTTAATGGCTGTTTTTAAGATGTATATGTGTTAAAAGTTATAAATAAGAACAAAAGAGTTATCAAAAACAGTAATATCTAAGGAAAAATGACATTTAAAATATGAACAATGTCTGTTTATGTCACCTAAGAATTAGCCAGTTTTGCTGTAGGCATGATTAACAATATCTGGATAACAATTCAGTTAAAAAACCTTCTGCCTCTAACAACAAAACAGAAATGAAGCAGGCAGATTCTCACAGCTTGCCCTTCTTTCCACATCTCAATATTAATCATTTATATGGCATCTTCTGCGTGTGCAGCGCGTGTATTTATGTGTGACTGAACGCGGCGAACACCTCGAAGCAATAACTGACCGGAGGATCAATTTTGCACAGTGCTCCCTGCGATCCCGATGCAATCACTCCTCACCTCCCTTCTACTTTTTTCTGAGAAAAGAGCATGATTGCCCCCCCCCCCTCTATCCCCCCCTCTATCTTTTGGCTGCTCAGGTTTATGAATACACTCTCGTGGGAGAACTGGCAAAACTCATCTGCAGACTTGTCTAAGTGTAAATCTCTCATTGTGAGATAAAAATCTGAATATTTAAATGTATTTTTCTTTCAAAACGCAGACTGCTTCGGGAGGGTTCAGTTGCAGATGCTATCTACTGTAGTCTATGGCTGTTCTCTATGAAATATGGATGCTCTGATACTGAGCTATTTTTACCACAAGCGCTGGATCGGTGCTGGCAGTAGAAGATCACAGTGTGACGAGGGATTGGGGAGAAGGGGGGGGGGCTGTACATATGTCCTGTTTCTATGGTTACTGTTGGCCTGGGGGTGGAGTTTCTGACAACTGATTTGTAACTACCCCTCGAACAAGCCAGCTGTTGGATGCCCAGCACGATGAAGTTCTGTACGTCAGCAAGTAAAGGGCGCTGTTGTGGAGAAGATGAAGCACCACTCCACGGGGGCCCATTAAGTTTCCTTTGTTATAACATCAAGTGATTTTTCAGAGAAGTGCGCAACGCCGTCTGTGCACAGGCTCGATTCGTCGAAAAACTTTGGCAACTTTGATATTTACTCTTTTTTTCCTGTAGTGAGTTGATTAGGTTTTCGTGCACGTAAATGGTCTGCAAAGCCTACAATCACAAAGTTTATCAAACATTGTGACATCATCATGTAACCCTCGTACTCCTTTTGGCTAGCGCTCCATCAGATTGATAGTGATAGCATGAGGGGCAGGACATCTCTAAGCGGATGACCAATCACAACAGAGCCGGCCAGTTAACCAATCAGAGCAGACTGGGCTCTGGTTTCAGACAGAGGGTGAAAGAGGTGCTGCAGCACAGGCAGTATGAGAAGAATTAAGAGCTTTTTTGAACAATAAAGCATGGAGACATGTCACAGTAGAGGCACAAAGAACATATGTAAACCTGGAAATGAGCATAATAGGGTCCTTTTAAGGTCCATTGGCGAATGAATATATTTATCTAAGGTGCGTACAATATATATTGAACCACAACATAAAGCTTTTTTTAAAAACGTTTTGTCCAAGCCATGCACGATGTTCCCTGTTTCCAGCCTTAATGCTAAGATAACGAGCCTAATGTTTAAAATTATATGAGTGTTAAAAAATCTACTTATCTAACAAAATAATATAATGGGATGTCTCAAATGTGAAACATTTGTTTGTTAGTAAGTAAGTAAAACTTTATTTATATAGCACCCTTCTCAACACGGATGTACAAAGTGCTTTACAGTACAGTACACAGGACACAATTCAAAGTACAACTATAAAATGTAGAATAAAAGGCATAAAACAACAGCAGGTAACACATAGGATAAAACATAGGATAAAACACGAATGAAAGACAGCTACTAACTCACCTCCTCCGGCGACCCAAAGGCCTGTCGGAAAAGGTGGGTCTTTAACTGCCCCTTAAAAATCTCTATTGAGGCAGAGGCTCTTAGTTTCTGGGGGAGTTCGTTCCAAAGCCTTGGGGCCACCGCCTCAAAGGCACGGTCCCCCTTAGTCTTTAGCCTGGTTCGGGGCACCCTTAGGAGGCCTTGCTCAGAGGACCTCAGGGCCCGGGTTGTGCTGTGAGGGTGGATAAGGTCATTAAAGTAGGCTGGGGCTTGGCCATGGACAGCTCTATATGTGAAGACCAATACTTTGAATTGGGTTCTGAGATGGACAGGGAGCCAGTACAGGGCAGAAAGGATCGGAGTGATGTGGCATGTTTTTTTGGACCGAGTGAGCAATCTGTACGTATGATTTATTTCCATGTTAGAGCATTTTAATTTAAAGCATTACAGCCAATTTTGACATAATGTGTTAATAGCTTGACTTTAAAACAATGTATACAAATGCAGCGTGGTTGGTGTAACCTGGATAGTATAGAACAATTATGATATATAGAGTATTATTCCACTTGCTCTGGGCTGCAGGACTAAAACAATCCTCTGCCGTTGATGCTCTCTAAACGTCAAAATAAATGAAAGCCATTTTTCATTGTTAATCTGTTTTGTAAATCAGGTCAGGTTGTACTGTGGCAAAATCAAGCAGCCTATTATCAAAAGCAGACAGTGCTTGAGCTCAACGTCGCATTCATCGAAAAATGTTGGGCATCCTCAAGAGGAAATCATGTTCGATCTAATTGGCTCTGACCTTTTTAAATAACCTGTCTTGATCTGTGAACCTGCTAAATTGTGATGCCTGCGGATGGGTTACAAACGAGCAAATTCTTCGTGTTTAGATCAAGAAAATCATATAACACTAGAAGGCTTGATAGCATGGCTGCACAAGTGATGGGGATGAAAGGATGAAACCTGCCGTCACCCTTGTCCGTGAGGAGCACTTTTTAATTAGCATTATTCCCTGTGCAGTTCTTCAACTCTTTGATTGTGCACTGTGAAATAAACAAACGCTCACACACACAAATGCATGCACAGGATAATTGAAACGTGTGTCTGGCATGTTTCCTCTCCGTCCTTCGGGCTAATTAGAGCTGCAGAGCCGAGAGAATACTACACACTCGCTGCAGACATCTGATCGCTTTGATCCACACGCGCCAGCTGTTGCACCAGCTCAACCACCTCAGATTCACTGCTGTGCTCTTCCTTTATTCCTTCTATCACTTTGAGACATCCTTATATATTACAACTGCATGGCGGTGGAGGTTTCTGCACATCAATACAGAGCTGTAGTTATAGATTTTACCCTTGGCGAGAGATTTGTGGAATTTGTTAGAAGGCAATGATGAGAAGTAATTGTTAATATCCCACTGGATTGATCCATGTGCTCACCACATAAAACAATATTACTGTAAGTCTTAATGCACATTTAGTCTGATATATTATTATTAGATGTAGTTTATATTTCAAGGCCAACAGTGCAGCGTTGCAAAGATTTGTACATTTGAATGTGCATGAACCACAAATTGGAGGAATATATATTTTGTCGCTGTAAACCACGTTTTGGGAGATTTTGTGTCCATGTAAAACAGTTATTTAATTTTTTTAAACCTTCATTTGGAGTTTTTTTTGCTTGGGAAGCTCGAATATTGATTTTTTTAATTGTTCTGCAGTCTTATGTGACCCTGGGTTTATAAGCCTCTTAATAAACATTTCCAATTCCTACAGGATGATTTGAAAAAACGAATACTTGAAGAAAATAATTGACCTTAGTGGGGTTGAGCCAAACACTGAATCCCTACAACAAATATCCAGTGTCTATCAGATCTTTAAATGGACAATAAATTGCATTTTCACATATTTTCCTTTTCACATTTATTTGATGGCACACAATCAACCATTCCTCATGAAGTCAACTCAATACAAACAGCTAATAAATCATATGATTTCATATAAAAATCAGAATTTTACTTTCCTTCTTTGTATTTCCCCAGCCCTTCTTTACGCCACCATCTTTGGTAATGTGACAACAATCTTCCAGCAGATGTACGCCAACACAAATCGCTACCACGAGATGATTAACAGCGTGCGGGACTTCCTCAAACTCTACCAGGTGCCAAAGGGCTTGAGTGAAAGAGTTATGGACTACATCGCCTCCACCTGGTCCATGTCTCGGGGCATAGACACTGAAAAGGTACGTCAGACTGCGACTTCTTTACTGGTCCTACTGCAGCCGGTGATTACTGGTTGTTTCCTAATTTTCCTGATGTTTTAAAAAAAAAAATGTAAAGGTTTTTTACATCCATTTGGGATTGAAATATCTAAGTTATAACTGCACGTAAAACCACAACAACTTTCTGGATTGAGCTTCCTTTGTTTAAACATGTTCAGATTTGTTGAGAAGTGAGCAATGCCATCTGTAGCATCTCTACTGTAGCTCAACGTAGCATTCATCAAAAAACGTTGGCAACTTTGAAATAAAATGTGTCCTACTAAAGGTCCATTGGGGATGAAATATGTTCATCTTAATTGCTAAACATATACACTGCTCTTAAAATCACTATGCAAGTTATTGTTGTACCTTTTAACTTTTGGTCGAAGCAAGGCTAAGTCTTTCCCCCTGTTTCCAGCTATTATGTTAAGATAAGTTAACCAGCTAAATGTTTAATGTGACATTTGAGTAGTATTAATCTACTTTTGTGTTTTTTCTTGTGTTGGACTAACATCATGAGAAAAGCATGATAGCAGTGATACCCATTTTTCAGTTGTTCTATGCTAGTAAACCTAAAAACCTCTGCTGTTGGTGCTCCCTGAACGTCACCAGAAATTAAAGTCATTTTTCATTGCTTATTTGTTTTTTCCTAAAACAGGTCAGATTATTCTTAGGCAAACTTTAGCAGCCTATCATGAAAAGCAGACAGTGGTATGGCATTTATTATGGCACAGTAACCATCCATCCTACTGAATTCAGATGATGCCAAAATTATTTGAGTGTGGAAATTAAACATTTAAATCTGGCAGCAGATAAATTGAACTGGCGCCGCTCTGATTGATTCGAAGCCAGAAAGCATTCATAACGCTGCGTCCCATTTAAATCCACCTGTCCAAAATCCAATCATGGAAAAAGTTGTATTATTTCACCTCAAATTTGAACCATCACTTGTAACAAGGTCTGGATTTTGTCATGGGGAAATCTGTAGTCAAAATCAAACTGTGATAATTATTGTGTCCCCTTTATATCTTGCACTGCATCTATGTTTTATTTATTTGTCTGGCTTCCGGCTACACTAAAGGGTCTAAAAATGGCGAATAATCCCTCTCTGCTTGACATTCATCTTCAAAGAGATTTGTTTCAGCTCTCCCACAGCCTGCCATCCTGGTGATTAGTAGGTGTGCTTAAACAACATTCTGCCACTCTGTGACACACAGCACAGAGGAGGTGGTCGTGTGACCTTTATATGAAATGATACAAATGATTCATACTGGACATATTGAGACCAAACCAATGGGTAAGTGGACTTCTAATGAAGTATTTCCTAAAGCAACTGAAAAATAAAGAAGCTCCAAATCAGCTAGTTGTAGTTGAAAACACACCTAAATTGTGACAGTTAATTAATTATTTAAAAACAGCAATACTAACTTCTGAAAAACTTGCGTGCAGACATTAATTGGAGACTTCAGGGTGCATTTGTTAAATGAACTTCAAAGGGCCCTATTATTCATATTAGTATGTAGTGTCTCTACTGTGACATGTCTCTATGCTTTAATGTTCAAAGGCTCTTTAATTTTCTCATGCTGCAGCACTTTTTTCACCCTGGGTGTTTCTCAATGTCGAGGACGCTTCCTTGGTAGCACATGTCTTCCGAGTCACTTGCTTCAGAAGTGAGGCAAGAATCCTTCCTAGCCTCGGAAAACGAATAATTGTGGAACAGGCTAACAGGTGTGCAGGTGGGCGTCATATGAGAGACCCCGCCTTAAATGGAGCGCGATTTCCGCCAAAGATTTGGAAATTGGTCCGTGCGCAAAGCATTGTGGGGATTTTAAGACCGCGGAGTCTACATATGTACAGCCTCGAAATTTCTCGCTACGAAGTACGCTGGCCTCGGTAGAATTCCAATTATGCTGGACAGTCCTTCGGCGGCACTCAATGACGTAGTATGCTTGAGATAGTGGCTCTGGAGCAGCCTTCCTCGACATTGAGAAACACCCTCTCTGTCTGAAACCAGAGCTCAGTCTGCTCTGATTGGTTAGCTGGCTGGCTCTGTTGTGATTGGTCAACCGCTTAGAGATGTCCTGCACCTTAGCCTATCACGTACAATGTGTTGGAGCGCTAGCCATAAAAGGACAAGTGTTACCGATGTCCCTTTGTTACTGAAGTAAACAAAGGAGTCCAATGGGCATTTCAGGCACGGGGGTGGGGGACCAGACCAGACCATTTACTTCTACAAGTAAACTCTGAACATTTAGATGTATTATATATGTACTGGAAAAGAGTATCCAGAGACACATGACATGTTTAACCCTCCTGTTGTCTTCGGGTCAAATCTGACCGATTTACTACTTTCATCACCTTTTTGTTTTAGATTCGATTGCATTAAGGCTTTATGAAATCCTTCACAGTAGACATTGAACATTGAACATGAAATTGCTTATCACCACTTTCATTGAATTTTGGATGATTTAGTCAACTTTGTAACACCCATTGTGTTCCTGGTCTCACACACACACACACACACACACACACACACACACACACACACACACACACACACACACACTCCCAATAGGAGCACAGGGCTTCTTCTCTGCTCAGCTGTTATAAACAAGGCAATTAAAGAAAGAAATGCTGTTATATTTCATTTTAGTGAACCTGTAAAAAAAAGTGCACACTGGCCAGGAAAAATATTATCAACTATATCACCAACAAACCAAAACCCATTACTGTAAATGGACGGCATTTATATAGCACTTTTCCAGTCTTTACACTTATGGCGCGTTTCCACTGCAGGCCTCGCTCGGCCTCGCTCGGTTTGGTTAGGCCTTATTAGGTCCGGCTCACTTTAATGCTGCGCTTCCATTACAGTTTAGGGACTGGGGCAGTTACTATAGTAACGCAGTGTAGGCGGAGCCGTGACGTCATCTTCAACGAGAGCCCCAGAAAAACAACACAGCCGTTAGCTCTTAGCACTCAGAGCTCACGGCTCTTCATATCTGTTCAGAAACTAGACAAAAGTTAAACAAGTACAAACCACAGACTGCCTGTGTCATGGCGAATACAGTCGCTGGTTTATTTATGTCTGTATAGGCCGTTGTTGTGAGTGTGGACGGTCGGAGCATATAACGTTAGCTTAGACAAGCTACATTTAGAACACACGCATTTTAAAAGGGTTTTTCGCCTGCCGTCTATCTGCAGACTTGTCAAAGCATTAATTCATGGTTTTTACTAACCGGTATGAGTATGTTGTTACTTCGGCATCATTTTGAAACGTGTATTACAATTAAATCACGGTCAAATATGTTCATCTTGTTGTAGTTGTAGCCCCCTTGCCAGCGATTCTCTCTCTAGTTTAGCATACTCAGCCCGACTCAGCCTGGTTGTTCCTGGCCCTAGAACCACGATTTAGTCGGGCCAGAAAAAAGGTTAAAAAATAGCTTCGGGCCAAATCTAGGCCAAGTGGAAACGCAACCAAAAAGGGCCCCGCACGGCTCGGCACGCTTAAAGCGAGCTACCCGCTGCAGTGGAAACGCGCCATTACACACCTCGTGCCATCGGGAGCAACTTGGGGTTGAATATCTTAAGGATACATTGAACCATCCTTATAATTTCTTTTTTTATGCATGCTTAGGTAACATTAAGCTGTTTTTGGCTCTTTTCTGCTGTAACAATGTCAATGTCCCCTCTGGGACTAATAAAGGTATTCTGATTCTGATCCTCCCTCACAGTTGCAGCCTCTTGCAAGTGTTTAGTATAAAGAAATGTGTAAAAATGTCTGTTGATTTCTCCCAATCTCAGTGAAGTAACAGGCAGAAAACCCACATATTGTACATGTGAGATTTGTTTGAGATTTAATTTTTTTTTTTGACTGACAAATAAAAGTCTAATTCTACCATAATAGCGATGTGATGCCCCACGTGAAGTTTGCCTTCTCTAAATTAAGTCATGGCAACAGATCATAACTCTATGATCGCCTAATGGGACAATAACAAGGATTCAAGGCTTTCATTGTCATTCGTACATAGCTACAGTGTAGTTATGTCGATGATAATCTTAGGTCCCAGGCTCCTCCAACAGTGCAACACAATAAAACAGATCAAATAGTGCAAGTAAATACAATAAACAATGCACGATTTTCTTTGAGCTCTTAAATATAACTCATTATTATCTGATGAGAGACAAATCATCACACAGCTCTCGCTCTACTCTTCAGGTGTTGCAGATTTGTCCGAAAGACATGAGGGCAGATATCTGTGTTCATCTCAACCGGAAAGTTTTTAAAGAGCACCCGGCTTTCCGCCTGGCCAGCGACGGGTGTCTCCGAGCGCTGGCCATGGAGTTTCAGACCATCCACTGCGCCCCTGGGGACCTGATCTACCACGCCGGGGAGAGCGTGGACAGCCTCTGCTTCGTGGTGTCGGGGTCACTGGAGGTCATACAGGATGATGAGGTGGTGGCCATTTTAGGTGAGTTAACATTTCATGCTGTGAGACTTTTCAGCAAATTACGCAGCATTTATGGCATAATCAATAATGCAATTCAGCACTTATGTTTATTTAATGAAAGAGGCGGACACCTTCTATTCCCCCAGCTGTCCTGCCCTAGATCTGCTCAAGTTTCAGAGTATAAAGTTATCTGATTTAAAAAAACAAACAAAAAAGTGACAGTGAAGCAGAGATCTAGGATGCAGATGTTCTGCTGCTACAGTACCTCACTGATGTCTAAATGTGTTTTCTACAACAGCAGAAAAAATAGCAGTGATGATGTCGGAGAGAAAAACATTCAGTCAAACTGTCCACGCACGGGCACACTGTTTTGCATCATAGTTACAACATTTGTTATGCTTAAAATCCGCCTTTTCTTCCTTTACATGCTGTTTCGGGAAAACAGCTCTTTGGTGTTGCTGAGTCATACATTCAGGATTTGGACAAAAATATGTTTGTCACAGTTGTCACAGAATACAGACTGGATTATAAATACATAGACACATACCACAGACCCGGCGGCAGACATACATCTGTGGGCGGGCATTTGATTTACCAGGGCGGGCCCACCCTGACACTTACATTTCCCGGGAAATCTGAATTGTCAACGAGGGGGAGGGCGGTAGTTAGACGCTCGTGATTTGTCAACGGGGGGGGGGGGGGGGGGGGGGGGAGGGAGGCGCTCGTGAATTGTTGTTACGGAAAGAGAGGGGTTTTAGGTTGCCATAAGGCTGTTGGCGGTCTTATTATACATCTGTTGGTTGGTTTGGTGGCACATTTGTAACGCTGTGCCAATGTGGGCAAGCACGCAGGCAAACTTGAGCGCACACAGGGTGGAGAGGTGGAGTGAGAGAGTGAGAGAGAGAGAGAGAGTGAGAGAGAGAGAGTGAGAGAGAGAGAGTGAGAGAGAGAGAGAGAGAGAGAGAGTCTAATGTGCCTGCATCTGGCGCTGAGTTGCCATATTCCTTTTGTGAGCTCTTTTTGTTCGTGAACCACTTCCTGATATCCATTGTTGCAGATAAATATAAATGATAATAGCCAGACTAACCTAGCAGGAGTAAACTGACAGTCTGCTGTGCCGCATCTCACAAAAACACACTTTAAAAAAACACACGACTCAACCCAGCGAAAAACCACTCTCGCGCGCAGACTTTCATTCAGACTTTCATTCAGACTTTCATTCAGAATTTGATATTAAACTAATCTTTCAACATAGTTTAATACAAAATAAAATAAATATTAGGACAAAGCCCTGCAAATAACAACAATAAACATAATAATAAAAAAATTAAAATGTTTTATTCAGCCCTGATTAAAACAGCGGGCCCAAATCCTGGATGGGCATCTAAAATAAGACCCGAACTGATAACAGTATAATTATCATTAGCCGTTTCTAATGCATATTGAAAAGTAAAGAAAACAAATAATTGCTAACTGTTTTGACCTTTCTACATCTCTCTTTATCAGTATTCAGAGGAAATGTTTGTTTGTTTGTAGCCTTTATTTAACCAGTTGAAAGCCCCTTGAGATCAAAAGATCTCTTTTTCAAGGGTGACCTGCAGAAATAACAATTTCCCATGCCTACACTGGCTAAATCACAGCACAGTATTGTCGTCTTGGCAGTTTTGTCGGCTATCGGTTCCTCTTCACAACAATCACTAAACTGTCAGTTTGATACCATTGACCAGGGGTGGAAACAGGAAAGGAGCCTCAAATAATGAATAACTTACACCAATGAATCAGATTCTCATTAGCCTAATGGCACTGTAGAACCGAAACAACATGTCAAATACACAAGCAAGACATACTATATAATACTGTCCTCAGTCTGCTCGACACACAGGAGATCTAAGTGTTATTTATCATTAGCATCATCTGGATAGCCAACCCTGTCTCCTAAAAATTACGTTCCCACAGAACTAAACTGCATTCTCAATTACGTTTAGCTAGAAACGTATTTTCTCCCACGTTACGTTTGTTATGAACGTATCTCAAATATGTTTATTTTCTACATATCTTCTAGAAACATATCTTCTCCCACGTTACGTTCCTTATGAACGTATCTTAAATACGTTTATTTTCTACATATCTTTGCCATTTATTGCCTTGCTTATAATAATGATAATAGTCATTTATAAATATCATTTTAGAGCACACATTTGAAATCGAGAATCGGGCTCGATATATGGTTAAATTAAAATCAGTAGGCGAGGCTGTAATTTCGGCAGCTGTTACTCTCATGAGCGAGGCAGAAAATAATAGTTTTAACATGACAAAAAGCTGCTGTGTCGTTTATTGCACCTCAAAGATTAAAACAAATCCAGAGTTACTTGTTTCTGTACTTCCTCTAAGAAGAAAAGACAGTAAAAGAAGAGCTCTGTGGCTTCAGGCTTGATCGCCGTTCAAATGACAGCGTTGGTTTCCCCAAAAGTGGGCGGGGCTGTAAAGTGACGTTTTACTATCATCTATTATTCAAAACCATTCTATTTATTCTAACGTAAATTACATACCAGTGTTTTATCTTTTTATTTATTTGTTTTTATTTTAAATCGTATAATGTCGGACTTTTTTCCCGTCTGTGAGGAAAATAAATGGGGTTTAGAGCCTCAAAATACTGAAATCTGTATTTTTTAAAATCTTTTCCTTCTAATTTGTTATTCTTTTCTAAATAACACACTGTTATTTACTCAACCATAACACACAATTATCCTTGTTTTTATTTATTCATTTAATTCTATAATCTTGGGCTTTTTAGCCGTAAATAAAGTCACCGGAAACAGACGGGACATTTCGAGCGATACACACCACAAACCCACCGAACTGATTACCCAAGATCCTCAGCTTGAAGCTCGTTGATTGGATGTTTTAGCCGCAATAAACGCTGGGATATGGTGTTAATAAGTTGTGATATCCGAAAACGAAAAATAAAATAATACCTAATTCAGAGTGTTCTTGCTTTTCTCTTTGGAAGTCATCACATAACGGCATTGTAATACACGGTTCGGCTGCATTAAATATTATACATCTGCCGTAGTTCTTTATTTATAGAGCCCTGATGAGAAGAGTTCTAGACAAACATGAGGAACTGCCGCCAAAACTGAATACTTGATGTGGATCATAAATATATCAACAATTAAACAACATCTTCAATTTCTTTTCACAAAATACGTCTCCTTGCAGTATCAATACTAATTCGGCTGACTTTTATATTTGATCCAATTGGTAGATAGGTTACATTTACACCATAACGGTGCACAGCTGATAGAAAAGGACTTGTAGTTTTTAAAGATATTACTGATTTTCTTTGAATATAAGAATGTAAATACTGAGTTGAGAGAATAGTCAGGGGATTTGGGTGATGGGAGACACATCTATGGATTCACAATTTCAATAGCGTACCATTAAATGACGGATATACCTTTCTGTCTGTGATGTTTTACAAATCAGATATTAATGTGTAGAAGTAAAGCATGAAAAATAGTATAGCAATATCCTGTAAAATTATGTAAAAACATGAATAAAACTACACATCTTCAGATGTTATACATACATAAGTGTCCTACACTAATAATACAAAGTTATTATTAGTATGCTGTGTGTACCTTGTGTGCACCGCCTAGTGGTTAAAGCACGTTATTGAATTATTTTTGTTGAATAATGTTATTTGATGAAAACAATATTAAGAGTACATACTTTCATAGGGGGAAAGTAGAAGGTCAATGATAGAAATATAGAATATAAAAAGTCAAGAAGATACTATAAGTGATCTCTACAATAAAACAGTTTAGTGCCGGATGTACAAAGATATTAATAGGAGGTGCAAAACAGAAAAACGAATTAACCTTTATTAACACATTAAAGAATACTTTAGGTTAAGGTCTTATTTTAAACAAGAAAAAAGCTTTGGGGGTATCTATCTACCGATGAATATTAAGCCTGACAAAGTACTTAACGTCTAATATATTGCTTTCCTGCAATGTTAACTATGTTGAAGCACTTCTTTTAACTGATATTATACACATTAATTATACTCTTATGTATGTAGATAGAATAAGAAATGTGCAGAATATGACAGTTTAATGGTGGAGGTACACACATATTGATAGATGTCTTGTAATGCGCTGTTGAGGAACCTGCGACCCAAGTTGTGTATATGATCAATAAACCTTAGAAAATCTTGAAATCTTGAAAGGGATGAGCAAAATAGCCATTATACAGTTTTTAATTAACTATTAGTAGAGAATAACGAGTAATGAATATACTTTATAGAGATCTGCAGATAAATGTTTCGTCTTCTCAAGCACCACCTATCAAATATCTCTCCTGATTGTTGGCACTTGACAATCACCTTCCCTGAATTTTACTCAGGTGTAACTAAAGTCTGCTTTAAGGGTTGTTTATATTTCACATCATTAATCAGAATCTGCAAAGTAACTAAACTAAATGTAGTGGAGTAAAAATACCAGGTTAACCTCTGAATTGTAGTGGAGTAGAATTACAAAGTAAGCTGTCGTGTGGGTATATATTAATGCTGCCCATTATGGATATAAGCGATTTTTACCCATTTAGTAATTACATGTTTTAAATGTGTACACACCAATGTGTTTCCTATCGCCTAAACCTCCAGGGCTGTACACAGTTTAATACTGGCAACTTCTAATTTTGGGAAAAACGTCTTTTAAAACTACAATTCCCAGTAGATACGTGCCATAGAGAACATGTTGCGAAACACAATAGCCAGCATGTGTATTTCTCGGGGGGCGTTCGAGTCCAGTTTTGAATAGTCTGCCGTGGTTTCGTTCCATTTCAAAGAGCTTGACGCTCGGCGTAACCTTGGCGCACTACCACTCCAACATCACAGGGTTTTTCAACGGGACTGTAGTCCCAAACGATAGCTGGGGATTATGGGTAGTGTAGTGTCTTCGGCCATCCTAAATCTCGAAATGTCCCGTCTGTTTCTGGTGACTTTATTTACGGCTAAAAAGCCCAAGATTATAGAATTAAACAAATAAATAAAAACAAGGATAATTGTGTGTTATTGTTGAGTAAATAACAGTGTGTTATTTAGAAAAGAATAACAAATTAGAAGGAAAAGATTTTAAAAAATACAGATTTCAGTATTTTGAGGCTCTAAACCCCATTTATTTTCCTCACAGACGTTTATACGATTTAAAATAAAAACAAATAAATAAAAAGATAAAACACTGGCATGTAATTTACGTTAGAATACATAGAATGGTTTTGAATAATAGATGATAGTAAAATCTACGTCACTTTACAGCCCCGCCCACTTTTGGGGAAACCAACGCTGTCATTTGAACGGCGATCAAGCCTGAAGCCACAGAGCTCTTCTTTTACTGTCTTTTCTTCTTAGAGGAAGTACAGAAACAAGTAACTCTGGATTTGTTTTAATCTTTGAGGTGCAATAAACGACACAGCAGCTTTTTGTCATGTTAAAACTATTATTTTCTGCCTCGCTCATGAGAGTAACAGCTGGCGAAATTACAGCCTCGCCTACTGATTTTAATTTAACCATATATCGAGCCTGATTCTCGATTTCAAATGTGTGCTCTAAAATGATATTTATAAATGACTATTATCATTATTATAAGCAAGACAATAAATGGCAAAGATATGTAGAAAATAAACGTATTTTAGATACGTTCATAACGAACGTAACGTGGGAGTAAATACGTTTCAAGCTAAACGTAATTCAGAATGCAGTTTAGTTCTGTGGGAACGTAATTTTTAGGAGACAGGGTTGGGATAGCAGTCAATTGCTATTAATTGTTATTGCTTTTGCAACTTTTTTAAATTTGTTGCGGTTCAAATATGTAATCAGATGTTTTCAGTCATGTAAAAAATAAATTCATAAATATTTTCACGCTGTGTGAGAAGCTGTTGATTTTGTTGTTGATTACATTGAATCATAACACTTCATGTTTATAAGTTATAGTAAAAAATATCTCTCTGACCATTCCTCATTAGATAGTGTTAAAACCTGCTGGTATAACGTCCCCTTTATTTCCTCCCAAAGGACACATTTGTGTTGGATTAAAGGAATTGCCGCTTCAAAAAAGGAAAATCACCAAAGACACAGATTTACAAAAAAAACAGCAGGTTGTGAATTAAGTTTGTTTTTACTCAGAAAAAAAAAAATGGCCTTAAGAACTGCAGATGGTATTTTTCACAACCTGGGCCACCCAAGATGTCTTTTAATAAAAGGCATGATGTATAATGCTAAAGTAAATGGTTTGTCAATGTCGTATGTATTAATTTCCTTTTTGCTAGTATCTAGTTTTAACTCTTTCTCTCTCTGCAGGTAAGGGCGATGTATTCGGGGATGTTTTCTGGAAAGAAGTGACTCTCGCTCAGGCCTGTGCCAACGTCCGAGCTCTGACCTACTGCGATCTCCACGTCATTAAACGTGACGCTCTGCAGAAGGTGCTGGAGTTTTACACCGCCTTTTCAAACCACTTCTCCAGGAACCTACTGCTCACTTACAATCTGCGAAAGAGGGTGAGTGACTTTTAAAATAACACCAAGAAAGAACAAATTAGAATTCACTCAGTTCAGATTTGGGCTTTACACAATTCTTTTCAATATCTGGAGACTTCTGCTCTCTTTCAACTACAGCTATTTTCAAAATACTTGTTAGAGAAAAAAAGCAAGAAAAAACGGCAACTACAGAAAGGTAGTAAACATTCTGCTTTTCAATTAAAGTTCATTAGATTTCCTACTCAGTTTGATCTGTTACTGTGCTTCTGATCAGACCATTATTTTGAATGAAGAGCTTGAACTTTAAGTTCATCTCGTTTTTATTTGGTGTCATGACTCATAATTGCTGCACTGCTTTTTGCACTGTGCGTCCCAAAGGTCACATAGTAATATATGTGTGGGGGAGTGCAATGACTGCCTTTCTTTCTACAGTTTCTACAGGACCAGCTTTTTTCTTTCTCTCTATGTTTAGCTTTAATGGCTGCCTCTTCTCATGTTAAAGGAAGGAGACTAACATTATGTGAAATACGTTTGTTGCTAAGAGTTAGGCTAGAAGATGTATAACTGCTCTTTTGTTTGTCAGTTAAATATGAAGCTGCAGCTAGGAAAAAGCTTAGCTTAGCACCAAGACTGAAAGCAGGTGGAAACAGCCAGCACGGCTTTGTCCAAATGTACAAAAATCCACATACCACCATTTTGGAAAAACTCAAGCAGGGAAAAGCTAACTGCCTCATAACTTACAAGCGACAGCAACGTAACTTCAAATGACGGCAGCACTGATCATTGATTTTCTGTAACTTTCCAAGTCTGTTAGTTTTCTTTTCCATTAACCACTCTATAATCACTGCTAGAGCCCAAACCGTTTTCCTGTTAGTGGTTACTCCATCTGTCTTCTTCTGCTGTCCAGCACTCTGTCTTTTAACCTCTTTCCTTCTCCTGCCTTCTTTTCCTTTTCTTTACTGGGACAGTTCACCCATCATGAATCCAAAGTGTTGTGCTCTATACAAATATAAATATGAATATTCAAAAAGTATTCCACAGTGTTTTCTGATGGACACTAATGTTTGTTGTCCACAGCTGATGTTTAATTTATCTGATTTCTTTGTGCGGATTGATAGACCGTCTCTTGATCCTCCTTAGCGACGGTCTGTTCTTCTTAGCAACAGTTTGTAAGTGAGAATTAACAACATCTGAAATGTCCAAATTGACCAATCAGAATCAATTATTCAACTAAGCCGTGTAATAAAAAGTGTTATAGATCTTATTATGAAAGAAAAGCAACAAGACAAAAGGTGGCTTCTACCAGAAACATTGAACACACCGTTTTAGAAAAAAGGTACATTTGATAGATTTAATACCAAAAATGAAAACAAATCTAGCTGGGCTCATACACAACACATGCAAAAACACAGTTCCATTAAACAGCCACTCTTCATATCCTTTACCCAGAAATGAACATCTGTGATCAACAACTCAAGTGTGGCTACCAATCGTTACCGCATGCATAAGCAGGTTAGGCTGCCCCAGAGAGAACAAGTCAGATTGAATTGCCTGCATATGAAGAGGCAATCTCATCTGCTGCATTAAAGTCTCGATTCACCAGGGTCCCACTCTACTCTGAATGTATACTGCAGGGAAATCCAGAGATGGATTAAATAAGGAGCCTAACGCTGCCTTCAAGGAGCTTGTGAGGTTGTGTGTACGTCCTGGGAAATCCGACACACGATATGTTCAACATTCAAGTGGTTCGGGTTATGAGAACAGTGTTGCTATGAGGCTGAGAAGGAGAATAGATGTTGTCGGGCCTTTTTAGAAATGATGAATTATTTTGTATTTATTGCATTTCAGTGCCTTGCCCGGTATCTAAAAATGGGTATTTTTCTTGTTCCATTTTCTATCAAAAAACTTCCACTTAATACGTTGGTTGTTCAAACACTAGACTCTTCTCAAGAACATATCAGTCAGATATCCTCTGTTGGCTTTTATGTATAGCTGAAGCATTTATCTTTTACAGTTGTCTTTTAAATGTTTATAATATTTAAAATTAGATAATTAAACCCTGAAATATCAATATTGGCCTCACTCACCACTTTATTGTGTGTGCACTTAATGTGAAGCTACAGCCTGTTAGCTCAGCAAGGTTGTAAATTTAAATGTATTTTTGCTGAACCTGATCATTGCGCCCCCTACTGGCAGGTTAAGAGCAGTCAGTTGTTAATGGCAGAAAAAAAAGCTTAAAAAGCTTACAACACAAGTGTCCATTAGCAGTTGTGTGTTAAGCTAACAGTCTAACAGTGTGTGTTTACCCACGAAAGCCAGAGGCAGGATGTGAACTTTCCCTCTGTGTTGTGGGAATAACCTCTTTAAAGGAGACATTTACACATTTTGAAACATTGGCTTGTCTTCCTCACAATCTGTAGAATCAGTGAGATGAATACACCTGTTTATCGAACTCATTTTTCTCTGTTTTTATACTTCAAGAGATTAAATTGACTTAAGGCCCTCCAATGCTTGTATGCTTGCATTATATACAAGAAAGTAAGAGATAGTTTTTGTCATTGTGCTTTACTCATAATATCTTTAAATCCTTTTGTAGATTGTCTTCCGAAAGATCAGTGATGTGAAACGTGAGGAGGAGGAGCGACAGAGACGTAAAAATGAAGCCCCTCTGAACTTGCCACCAGATCACCCTGTAAGGAAACTCTTCCAGCGCTTTCGGCAGCAGAAGGAGTCGCGGCAGGAACCTGAAAAACTGGCTGACCATGACATCGAGAAGGGCCCTGTGTACGTGGACATCCCGATTGCCAAAGCAGCCGTCACAACCACCAGCATCGTCACGGTGACAGAGAGCCCAGCAACACCTTCATCTTCTATGCCTTCATCTTCAACTGCACTCAACTGCACTCCCTCAGACAAGGCAAAGCTGCAGGTGCCGGTCCTCGTCTCTCTTATCGGGGGCCGGGTCTCAGAACCGGTCAAAGTCAAAGGCTGGGGTCGCTTCAAGGAGTCCATGGCCAAACCTGACAATTGGAACAAAGTGTCCAAAGCCGAATCCATGGAGACTTTACCCGAACGGACCAAGGTGCACGAGTCACAAACGTCTCTAAAGAAGACAGACTCTTGTGACAGCGGCATCACAAAAAGTGATCTGCGCCTGGATAAAGTGGGCGAGTTTCACATTACGCCCCTGGACCGGAGTCCCGTGCAGCCTTCGGAGACCAGGCACGCCTTCTACACCATCCCGGAGCAGACGCTACAGGCCTCACTCCTGGAGATCAAACTGGAGCTGAAGGACGACCTCAAGAACCTGAACGTTCGAATGTCTGGCCTGGAGGCGCAGCTCACAGAAGCACTTCAACTCCTCAAATCGAGGAGATCAAATGCTGACTCTCCACAGCCACTTTTTGACATTTCTAGACCTGCTTCACCAGAACTGGACAAAGAAGACATCTTCTCTTGAAGGAAGGTACGTTAACAAATCAGGTTAACTCTGAATCAGCTGGAATCCAGTAATATCCAGATTACTTGGATAGGCTGCGATGGATGCACCATTTAAGTGATCAGGCAACAGTGTGGTCTTTAAGACGCACCGGCCTTTTATCATAGGGGTGTACCAGACCGTTTACAAGGCAACATCGTGTGGAAAAGTCGCGGGTGTATCCCAGAACTTGTCGGAGAAAAACCGAAAGATCGGGAGGTCATTCAAACACTGACAGCTCTATGTCTGTACATAAGTTCGGTTTATTTTTCCATCGCACTATAATGGAAAAATAGCTTGAGCGGTTTGATATTATCTCAATTTTGAGAGCGTCAGTGGAAGACCAACGTTATATCTCTGTTTTGAAATGAGTAGAAACAGCATGACCCACTGGTTTGTTATTGCATCATTTGTATGGGATTATTTGCATGTCACATAAAGTAGGCGCGTGTCTCTAAATTGCAGATGGTGCATATTTAATTAATTAAGGCCACACCGTGAGCCATTTGCATTATTTCACCATGACAGTGGGAAAGCACAGTCTTTCCAGATGTTGTAACAGGCGCCCGGTAATTTCCTCCAGCAATTGATGAACTCTTCTTATTAAATCAACTGCCAGGATCATTTTGAATAATACAACAGATAACTCTGGCCGAGCAATCAGATTTTCCAAGACGTCTTTTAGCAGAGCTAACAATTCCTATAAACCATGGGGGGATGAAAGGCACCACATGATCCATCTTTTCTGATATCTTGTATTTGTTTTTCTTGTGTACAAACACTACAAACACACATGTATGTACTGTATGAGAGCCATGAACTTCTAGCTTTGTTGATGCATAATAATGTGATGCAGATGGTACTGATAATGGCTGTGGCCCTTCCCTTATTTTAAAAACTGTAAAGTTATGAATGCTCTTTTGCACAATATTTCTTAAATAAAATGTATTTATTGTTAAAATATACGTCACAGTGCAGGTTTGTTCATGTAAGCAAACACAAAAGTAATTGGAAACTGTTATATTGATGAATTTTCTGGTGTACATTTTTCCATTTGTTGCACCAGTATGCATGATTCATTTGTGTCTCTCTTCACATTCACTGGAGGAAAAACACATCATCCCATGATGCCACCAGACACAAGTTGACTATATTTAAGGGACAAAGATGGTGAAAATGTTCAGGCTATGTGTTCGCAGTGCAGGTGATTTGTCTTTGTATTTGAAGCCAATATTTGGAGAGAACATCTACTTGCGTCCGGCTTACACGAACTTAACGTTCCCTAAATGTGCATTAAAACTTGGCGACAACCGAAAACACCAGACTGCTCCTGCATACACAGTGTCTCACCAACAATGTTCAACTACAAGTCATTTCATGTATGAATAAAGGAAACGGCAGGATTCTAAAGAGATAATATACCACTTTTTGTTCTTTATCAAACATTTTACTGTTTTGGGTAATTATTCAAAAACAGCCTTTTAATTAACTGAAATACACCCAGGCATTGTTTTCCAGTCATGATAAATAACATTGTTTAGGAAAAAGTATACATGTCGACAGCAAGTATGGGCGAAATGTCATGTATTTTTCTTTAAATTGTCATTTTTGTTTAACATTTGAACACAATGCAATTTCACCACAAAGGAAAAAGGTATTAACAGAGCAACACACTTATACAGAAAACAAACTGGATAGCATTTATATTTAAATTATTATTTTGTCCGTTACGGAAACCTTTCAAGTCCAGACAAAAGATACATTTCTAGTAAAAGTGAGTTCTGTCATCAAGCAATAATAATAATTGTGCATATTAAAGGACAATTTGAATGCTAACATATCCGTTAAGGCTCTTTAAAATTGTGTTTTCTGTTTATAAAATCAATAATAATTGTGCATATTTTACTGATACAGAATAATTTTAGGGTTAAAACAGCAGTTCAGGCTCTTTAGCTTTGAATAATGGAAGAAAGTCTAATAATATTCAGTAAATATGACTTACTTTTGCAGTTTTATTAACACCAGAATAACATAATTGAAAGTCTGGAACTTTACCATCTATACTGTCTTACACAAGGCAAAAATATAACCATCATTCTATATTATTTATTATTCATATTGATAATTTATGTTCTCTGTGAGACAGCACGACTCAGAGGGAAAATACGCTGTTTTTTTTTTCTCCAGCACATTCTGCGGCTCCATTTCCATCAAAAATTCAGCTTACTTAAAAATGCATGGGCATGTCATCACAGAAGTGAGAAAGCATTTGGTTTAGAGCCAGTGTTTGTCTTTATAGGTCTGCTTTGACAAAGAGTTTTGGTGGTAGAGAGACGGTTTGATTCAGAGATGGAAAAGCACTAAAATATGTTTGCTGTGACCTCTCTATCACAGAGAATTCATAAAGCTGCTGATAACACCAGTTCAGAAATCAAACCGAGGCAAAAAGAGGGCATAAAGTGTCTGTGAGGAATTCAGTCACAAGTCACATATCAAACGTATGTAATGCTAGACACAGTCTTTATCTAAAATTTGACATCAATAAATCTACAAATGTGGTAAAAAGGGACTTCTTCAGTTATTGGGATTACAATGGCACTTAATTCAGACACACAGTGACATGAAACAGACACATTTAAATCAGTATTATACTATGGTGAAACATTTTTACAATTTTTAAATTGAAAAAACTAAATTATTATTTTTTGGGTTTAATATTACATTTTTTCAAATCCATTATTGTTATGCAGATAAAGTGTTTACTGTTGTATTTAAACAAAAACAAAAAAAACACACAACACTAGCCTACAAAAAAAACAAAACAACAAAAACAGTATAAAAACAATCTTTGAGAAATGTAGAAATGTAAAAAATTCATAAAAATGAGGTGGGTTTGAAGTTATATCTGAACGACTTGGCATTAATAAAATCTAGCACATCAAATGCATTACACACACTACAAGCCAAGCACATCAACGTTTTTAGAATTACATGAAGGTACAGTATTGTTGGACATTCTGGGACATCCATATTTGTTAACAATAGCTCAATAGCAAGGCGTTTGGCTAGCTCATTAGCATAAAGACTATAAGCTGGGGAAACGGTTAGCATTGCTCAAAGTTAAAAAGCACCCACCAACACATCTAAAGCTCATTAATTAACACACTTTATCTGACTCTGTAAATCCAAAATATAAAAGTTATGTGTTGGTAAGCGTTTATAAACTTTGGACAAAGCCAGGCTAGCTGTTTCCCACTACTTCCTGTCTTTATGCTAAGCTAAGTTAAGTGTATTAACATACCGTTCTAGCTCCGTATAATGCAAGAGGGAAATACAGTTTCACATTTAACTCTCAAGGCATGTGAAGATATGTCAAACTAATCCTTCAAAAATAATGACTTTCTAGGGCAAGTTAGTTTTCTTAGTCAGAAGACAGTGTAGAAAGTGAGTTAAAGCTTTCTCTTTTCTGAAATTAGTGAATAGTAGGCTATGCATGAAAGCTCGGGACACACTGAGTCAGGATATTTTGAAATATTTTACAACAGTTGAACCACAACTGTTTAAAATAAAGTAAAACTAATGAAAAACGTTTTAGCTTGCTCTGACTTTTCATAATATACCAACAACAATGAGGTGCTGAATGTCATTTCAATATTATTTTTGTGATTCAACCATATTGAACCTGCATGGAAAAGAATATCTAATTTGTATAACAAATGACAATTGAATTGTTTTCTTAGAAGTTAGTAAAAGTGGGATATTTTCATATTAGCTAAAATAGTTTACTTCACTAATGACACTTGTGAATGACACCTGGCTGATAATATTTGTGAAGTTCAAGACACAAACAATGAATTTTAACGTTATGTTCTGTGACTTACTGTATTATTCTATTATAAGGATGCATTAAAACTGTAAATTCACAATTCTTTAAGTAACATTTTACAGTATCAAACAATAACTGAACCAGATAAAACAGATTCTTCACAATATAACAAGTCAAAAAGATCAAATGTGTTCCAGCTAGAAATCTGATTTTGTACCACCATTTGAATGCAGCCCTGCAACAAAGATATGGCATGTTGAGAGAACTTCCACCTACACCTGTTTTCGAAAGGCTGAATGTTTTTTTTAAAAATACTATAAATATACATAACTAAAATGGGATGTAGGTGCACTCTAAAACTCAGAGACAAGATCCTTGAAAGCAATATGTAGTTCTGTGCTGTAACATTTATAAACAAAGGTCCAAGTCGTAAGGAGAACTATGAGAAACCTTTTACAGTATACTGCACTACGACTTCATTACATTTACCCTTAACATATTAAACCTTTGATTGCTACTGAAAAGCATGCAACACTGTGCCTTCATAATATTGCCCCGTACTCCTTATCAAGGCCTGCAGTGAGAAAATTACTCCTTTGAAACAATTTGAACACAGAACTATTTTTGTGGTCAGCTATAGGAAGCTGCCTGGTTATAAAACCTTACACATAAATATATATATGCACAAATAATATTGCAATGTTTAGATTCTTATGAAAGAGAAACATTTTGTGTATGGTTTATGTAATATGCTCAAACACATCAAATTATGAGAAATGTATTTATTTCAAGCACAATGGGAACTCTTTGTTATGAAATGTGACACACTGTACTATTCATAATAAATATTTTATACACTGTAGCCTGTCTTTTCTCTTTGGGGAGTGCATGGCATCCGTTTATCCGTCAGTCTTTGTCTTTCAGCTCCCCTGCCACTGAGAGCTGGGAAAGTGAAACTCAGCAGGTGTTTTTCTCCCGCTGATCTTCTCACGTCAGATTAACCTCGCAGTTTCGTGCTCATTTAAGAGGATTCATTGCTGAACCCCGCTTACATTGATCCTACTTAGGTGCCACAGATATGATAATCCCAGGAGAACAGAAATCAACTAATGGAGACACTCGAGGCTCGCCACAAACAAGATGGTCCAGATTTAGTAAGATTTAAGCAAGTAATATTGTATTTATAGTATATAACACCAGGTTTATAGATAAATGAATGGAGGACACAAATACAAAAGACGCACATTAATTACAGCTCCAACACAGGGATAAGATAAGATAAGATGTACTTTATGAATCCCAATTTGGGAAATGTTTTTGTTGCAGCAGCATAAAACAAAACAAGGAATTGCACATAACAAATTAAAAGAATATAAATAGAACAATTCTAAAATAGAAACATCACAAAATAGAACCAGCATTAGAGAATAAAACAAATATACAGATGACCGTGAAGATAAAAAATCTATAAACTGTCTGACAAATAAAAACACTATTGAAGGGCCAATTTTCTGTTAACAGAATATACACAATATAAGTAGGATATTATTTACATCAAGTGTGCATGGGGATCACGTAGACATGGGATTTGAGAGTTGTTTTATTAAAAACGATTTTTCTTGGGCCACCAAAAAGTGCCTATGTTGACGCAACTGTGTTAGATAGGGGAAGACAGAGGGGATGACATGTGGCAAATTGTTCCCTGTTGGATTCAAACCCTGTCCCTCCACATTGGGACCGAGCCGCAGTACATAGGCTGCCCGCTCTACCATCTGAGCTATGCGGCGGCCCTTGGATCGTTTTTTTAAAGCAGACTCCGCTGATCTAACAGAGGGGAGGGAGACAGTTCCAGTGGCATGGGGCCTTTACGGCAAATGTGCAATCACACTTGGATTTAGGGATGTCTGAAGTTTAAGTTCTAGTCAAAGATCAAATCTACGTTTCTCATGGAGGAAGAAGAAACATTAGGAGCCAGAGGGCCGATGTAGGACTTCAGTTATTATATTTTCGGACCGTGTATTGAAAATGATGATTGTAAAGAGAACATAAGGATAAATTGCTCTATAAATAATAATGTATTGAGAGCCAAAAGAGAATAGTTCAATTGTAGGCGTCAGTAGCTCAGTCTGTTGAAACTTGGCTATTCAAACTGTAGCAGTGCAGACTTGTAGCTGGAGTACTGCCAGTTTGCCTCCTGGGTGCTGCCGAGGGGTCCTTGAGCAGGGCACCAACTGCTCCCGTACACCGAACCATTGGCAGCCTCTTCGCTCTGACACCTGTTACGGTTAGGGTTACCGGTGCATGTGTGTATTTGGTGATGCCATGTAATATAACATCAGATCGAAACATATCTTAATCTTGGTTAAGATATCAGCTTTGTTGTGATCGGGTGGCACTTGACATGATCATGTGTCAGTTATCTCATTGCATATCAGTTATCTCATCACTGGGCATGTATCTTTAAAACTGTAAGTAAGCATACTGTTCAGTTAAAGTCGTTGTATTTGGCAGTGGAGACATTGCTCTCTATTTGCTGTGTGCCTCTTCTGCAAAAGTTATTGCAAGAATTTCAACCACAATGCTTTATTCCTGCTGATCAAGATTACAATTACAGACCTTTGCAGGAAGGACAGTTCACTGATACACACAGGAACATAGAAACCTTGGGAACAGTCAATTGTTGTTGCTGCAATAATAATAAGAGGACCACAGGCAACATGAGTTTTTTGTTAATGATGAATCAGTCAGTAATGATTTAAAAAACACTCGATCTGAAATGTATCTCCTTGGATGCCTTGCCCTGGAGATGTTTGCTTTCCAAACTGTGCACTGAATAGTAAGAGGATCAGATTGTTTTTGCCACATCACACTTTCTAAGCTCAAAAGACCAAAAACAACAACACAGATAAGCCTTTCAAAGCAGCTTTCTGTTACTTACCCAGACATGGAGTTTGTCTTCAAAACGGTTGACTATTTAGCCATCCCCCACTGGATTACAGACTCAATTATTTATTCTGATCTGAATTTAAATGTGAAAGCTTTTAAGATGTGTAACTTATCGTCAAAGCTGTTCATTATGTTCTGTTGGGGTGAAACTAAACTGAATTGGTAGAAATTAAGTTAAAGGATTTTGCAACCATCAACATCAATTCATAATCACTGGGGACAGCCTCAACCTGATGACTCTGAACAAAACTACCCATTCATATTGTTAAATTAAATTAAACTGCAGTTTATTTTCTCGACTCATAGATCTTTTGGTGTATAATCATATCAATATACAGTAAAAATGTCAGTGTAGTTGATCAAATTCAGTTTACAATAATAAAGCAGAAAAAAACCATTTCAAAAATAGTTAACGATTATTTTCCTGTAGATCGTCTAATTGGTTAATTGACTCTATTCAGGCTTTACCCCTCAATTGTTTAGCATCAATTTCAACCTCTCTTAAAAGGAAAGACTTGTGATATTCTTTTCTTTTTTTATGTCTATGAATCCCAGCTCTAACCCTTTACTTAAGCTAGTTGTCATGCCTCAGTTTCTCAAGTACAGGGCAGTAGGTTAACCCCTTTAAAATACCCCACAACATTCCTGACTTGTTTGGACATAAACATGAACATGTGAATGAATCGTTTCATCAGGTACAGGAGGGTTATCCGTCATAAGATAGATGGATATATATATAATGACTAGGCATTAAACAGTTGACAGAAATGAGTAACTTGTGTTGTTTTTTTCCTTTTATCTGCATTCCAGTGGATAAATGTCATCTATCATTGTTACTGTGCTGAAAGAAAAGTTAGTAGTCCATCGGAAGTGTTTAGAAAATACATCTATAAATATTAGTGTCATCCTACTTTACCTAAATTGCATCTGTAAGTGGAATAATAACATTGATCAGGTTCCCTGCTGCTCTATTCAGCATTCTGTGCCTTTTTTTTTTACCTCTGAATAAACAAACGCTTTAGTGGCGAGCTAGAGGACGGTAAATTAGAAATTAGCATTTCTCCGGTTTACCGCACCACTAAGCAATACTTTATCAAAGTCATATAACCAAACATATTTAGGGTCCATATTTGAATTTACAGTTTCTTAGAATAACAGTGATTGAGTGTAGTTTATTGTGTAGAAAACATGCTTTGACACTGTAAGGGCTCATATTGGAAATGCCCTGAATTTGAGTCAATTACAGCTTATGTGCACTTTCATTTTCCACGAAACTCCTCAGAGAGAATCCGCAGTGATCCTTTAAGTCTTAGCTTACAGGCAGATTTTGCACGGCCTTGCAGGTAGTAAAAGTGTCTGCTCAGTCAGCTGCACTTCAGCCAGGTTTAGGACGCTCTGTGGAGGAGAGCCAGGTGTGCCACAGAGCCTCTGTCTGGTGAGGACAAGGCTCCGGACTCAGCAGGTCGCATTCGGGGGATTCTGCCTCCGATACAAAGTCAAGGTGACTCATGGTGGGCGAGAAGTCCACTCCAGTCCAATCTGAGCAAAGCAGTAGAGGAAAGCCAGCATAGGCAGGGCAATGGTGGACCAACCTGAAATATAAAGAAAACAAATGTACTCATATCATTAATTTGTAAATGATTAGACTGCTATGCACAGATATTTTTTGGGGGTTACTAATTAAAGAGCATGACAGAATATGAGATGATTGCAAAATTAGGTAATCAGTTTATCCGGTTTTATTATTTATCGGTAAGCGTTTGATTAAAATGAATTTTTGAATTATTGTCTTGCAGCAAATGAGATAAAATGATCAAAAAAGAAGTAGTTTCAGGAAAACCAGTTCTATTCATTTTTAGACACCACACTACTTATGTTTCAACCTAGGAAGAGTTTAGTAACTGGTGGAATAACCCTGATTAACAATCTTTCATTATTGTTGGCCTCCTCTTCATCTTTGTCACATTGCTGTTGTCTGACTTTTTGCCACTCCTGGCAAAACAAATTCAAGCCGCTCGGCTTTGTTTAATGGCGTCTTCCCATCCATTGTTGTCAGGGGTTTAGAGAACACAAACATTTTCATTTTACTCAAACATATATCTATCAATAGTAAAACCAGATAAGTGATACATTTGCGGTGGTCTCTCCAGAGCTGTATTTCACAATAGCTTCACCGACAGGCAGTAGTAGTTTGCTTAGTTATCCCGGCTCTTCTGTGTTGTTTTACAGTTATTCCTTTTTTCTATTTATAGCAGCGTCTTGGTTGGTCGAGCTGGCAGGTAAGCACAGCTGTCTGCGCCTCCTCCTAAACTGGCTTGCCTCCAGATTATCCCAGCAGCTTGCACCTGCACCCACAATGCTTTTCAATGGTCTATTCTTTTCCATTCATGTCAAAATCTCATTCACATACACACGGGCTGCTTTGTGCACAGCTGTACTGTCCGGCTCCTGTCTGCAGGAGAGAAAGGTTACACGGGCTGAGCCTAGAGAAGCCAGACTTTTTATTATGCATCTTTTTATGCTGGAGGACATTTTACATGTTCATAAGGAATTTGTAATATTATGCATTTCTGATATCTAAATAAATCATACAAAGCCTTTTAGTTTGTGGCCCTTCAGGTGTTTTATATTTGCATATGTTTCATTAAAGCCCTCAGTGTTCAATATATTGTCCATCCATCTGATTTAAAACTAACAGAGAAAGCAGAACTTTAAGAAAAAGCACACACAACTAGTAAAATGTGAGAACCTTGTGGTCACAAATGAGAAATCGTAGGATCTACTTGACCTTTTGGAACAAGTTTTTGCTGCTGCTAATTACTCAATCCTGGCAAAGACAGTGAAAACAATTACATCTCCTTCATACTCATGTTACTATGACTCTAATCAACCACTGCTGTAATTAAACCAGTTTCTCTGCCACTTGATTAACAGAGTGCTTCGTGTTCATGTGAGGGGGAAAGACCACGTGCAGAGGCAACTCAAAACTAATATCAAACTGCTAAGTGATCAGAAGGACTGTGCTACTTGGTATATTTTACATTATCAATAGCCTGAGAAAACAAGGACTTGCAAATAAGTAAATGTGAGGTTTCTTTTGCCATTTGAGTCTCTGTTTGTCTGACTTATCGTCTGTAATTTGGGATGAATCGACATTAATCATTTTTCATCTGTTCATGTTTCCTCCAGGAAGAACTGTGTTTGCTTTAGTGACCCATGCTTTTTCATCCTTTGGCATCATCAGGTCAACGTTGTAATTTCACTGTTTATACATCCTGTATATGTACACAAGACAAATGACACACGCTGTATTTCATGTTTAGTGCTAGTGGCTAATGCTAGCCTTTAAACCTGCTAAACATCATCATGCTAGCATTTTGACTAGCCATGTTTCCAAGAATACATTTTCATGCTCATTTTTCAAGTATCGAATTAGAAAAGCTGTGACGAAACAGCAACAGTTAAAAGACCTCCTTAACTGCTGTTTTTGTAGGATAATTTATAGTACTGGATAACAAGAGTTGGAAGTAAATCGATGTAAAGGGGTTCACTGATTTATGACCACAAAGTAATAAAAGCGCTACTCAACAGTCTGCATAAAAACGTTTTAATTATGGCTTTCAAAATGTGCTGCTATGATTCACACTTTGTATTTAACACTACACACTGTCTACTAGTATGATACCATTTTAACAACTCTGTGACCCAGCATTATGTCTCTAAAATAATCACACATTGGGGCTTCTGGGTGGTATGTGAAATAACAAACCCATATCCTTACAAACATATAATACTATAAAGACCATTTTTCTTAGATGGTGAAAGAAACATTTACCACCAGAGAAGTCAAAGAGTGCATTTACGCTACTGCATGCACCAGTATAAATCGCAGACAGGCTGATTTAAAAGCATTGATCTCATGTTAATGAAGCAAACCAGCGCTAGCCCTCGGTGGGATATTATGCAGACACAAGTAATGGCTACAGGCATTTCTGGTGGATCCATTACAGTTCAATTTAAAAGTATAAAATCTGTACTGAGGGAAAAGAAACACGATTAATAAGTGGTTTGTTCAATGGTCTATTTAAATATTTTAAATAAGCATCAGGCATTGCCCTTTTTGGATCTTTATTTTTGTATTTTAAATGGTCCAAATGATCTCCTTAAAGGCAAACTGAGATTCACAGTTTAGTTTCTAGGTCTAACTCTGAATAATTTACAATAGAGATGGTATTTTATAACACCCTGCTCTTATTTTTAGGTTTCTCTTAACTTATTTACACCAAGTCTACAGGAAGAAGCATAATGTTCCACACAATTTGCTGTGAGGCTGAAAAAAAACTAAACTGCTGACTGGAATATGATCTGCTACGGGCTGTTTAGGCATCATTTGGAGAGGCCCAAAGACTGTACGACATTAACAGAACATAAATGCTAACGCTGTTCTGGGTCTGCTGGATGTGGAAATAGACAAACACCAACTTTATAAAAGTGTTTACAGCTTGTTTCACTTCCCCTGTTGCCAAAAAAACGTAAGTCTGCTTTAGAAATGACTAAACTAAGAATTCAGCATTAAATAAGAGTTATTGTTGATACGTTTATATCACTCTATTATACGGTGAAGTATCAGCACTGACTCCGTGCCCGACCCAGCGGCGTCTGCAGCTCAGACTGCTTATCACGAGGAGGCAGGCTTTCAGGAGGGCCTGCCATCTCGCTTTAGGTACCAAATGAGCCAAATAAAGACACAGCGGGTGAAACAGGGACTGGCACAACCACTTCGCAGATGTCTCTCCATCAGGAGAGTTTGCCCATACAGAGGCACAATTAGTCCCAGTACAACCCGAGCCTCAACATCCACTGAAAACACAGCGTAATATCGTCACTTTATTCTAATCGGTGTATGTATAAACTACATGTATGCGAGTTGTCTCTTATTTTAACCATACTATTTTTAGCTGCTTTCACTACTGAAGGAGAAGTTGAAATGTACTACAATACAACTCACAGTACCTTAAAACATTTAGAAACACATTAGGGCCCCACAATATGAAGTTTTTATTTTAACATTAAACATAGAAACCTTTCAATGTTTAACCAATATTATTTTTCATTGGTGAGTTTTGATTTTTGTTTAATTTTCATGGAAATATTTGCCTTTAATTCATTTTAATTCAGCAACATATTTGTTGTATCATAGAATCATAAAGAGATCTGTTTATTTCTAATTATAATCAAGCAATATAGTTATTGCGACACTCAACCAAGTTGTCGAATATTTTCCCCTTGACGTGCAATCTAAAGAATTTTATAAATCCTGCTTACTAAAAAGCACATAGACATCGAGTTGTAAAAGCTTTGTGGAAGTGGATTTACCTTGAATGAAGACACGCTTCCAGAAGATTCTGCCAACATGTATCCCCCCGAGGAACACCAGATTAGAGAGGATGAGCATGGCGGTGGAGAAGGCAGAGAGAAGGGCAATGCAACGCCTCTCCATCGCCGGAGAGACATTTCGCTCCTGGGAAATCAGTAAACAAAAAAGAGAGAAACAAAAGATTTGCAACGTAAATCTGAGAAACTGAGAGCCGTAAAGTACTAATGAACTCTGCAACCATAAACTAGAAGAATTACAATGTGCCTTCAGACTTCATTAGAGGCCAAAGAAGCAAGAATAGCCTGAACATTTAGATTGTTAATGAATTGGAAACAGACTTTAACTCACATTAATGTTGGCCGTACATGCCAATTAGATATGACAGCTTCCAACCCGTTTGTCTCTCGTCTGTACTTACTGCAGCAGCTCCAGGCATTATCTCTTCTTAAATCAGTTTACATGACCTCTTTATTTCTAGCTACAGGAAATGTTTCATCATGCTCACACATCTAAACTGTCAGACTTTAATTGGAATCCAAACTCACAACAATGGAGTGAATGTAAGATGAGGCAAAGACAGACTTCAGTGTGTTTTCCACCACAACTCCGGCCCAATTCATCAGGGCCCAGTATCGCAAGTAGTCATGGCCGCCGTGCCACAGGCAGACGAACCCGAACGCAAGGCCAGTGGATAACATTTGGTAAAGAAGACCGTGGCGAGAACCTCCCAGCGGCACGTAGATGTATCTGGAAACATGAGTACATAACAGTAAAGAATACATCTCTAAACACAATCAGAATCAAGCAATAGCTCTTTAAAGGTCCCCCATTATATTATTTTTCAAAAATACATTATAGGTAGGGCTGCTCGATTATGGCAAACAAATCATAATCTCGATTATTTGGGTCAATAATTGACATCACGATTATTAAAAACGATTATCCATTTACTTTGAAAACATCCATTTATTGAAAAAAATTGTTTTAACAGTATGTTTTTAACAGTTGATTACCCTGAACTTTAAGTATAATTCAACTGAAAAACCAATTAAAATTTTTTTTTTTTTAAATTAAAAAAAATGATATTAAAAAATTAAATAAAAAAGATAATCGTTTTATTTCGATTATGTTGTTTTTAAAATCGTTGCAAGCCAAATCATAATTGCGATTCAAATACGATTAATTGAGCAGCCCTAATTATAGGTCTCAGATAGATCTCTGAAGTGTTTGGCTCGAAATACCAAACAGATCACGTGGACGTTGGTTATTGGCTAATGGTTACACAACCCCAAAAAACCTTGTGACATCACGAAGTGGCCAAAAACTGATCAGCTACCTTTCAGACAGGTTTTTATATTGATAGATCAGGACCAAAAGAGAGAGGATCTTTTTCCTGAAACTTTCTGAGTCTCTCAACACAGAGGGGACACATATTTATGTATAAAAGACATGAAAAAGTGCATAATAGGTGACCTTTAAAGTAATGACCCGGCCAACACAAGGCAAGGCAATTTCTTGTATATAGCACACTTCAAGGCAATTCAAAGTGCTTCACAAAAATGAAAAACATTTACATAAGAAAAACATACTGTAATGCAATAGTAACTCTTTATAAAATGACAGCCATTAAAAACCAATATAATAAAATAAAACAAGCTAGAATAAGATGGGTATACAATACAAGAATAAGAGTTACGGTGCAGTGTAAGATATACAAAGTCTTGTGTTTAATCAAAAGCAGCGGCAAAAGAGAAGTCTTCAGCCTGGATTTGAAAGAAGTGAGAGTTGCAGCGGACCTGCACTTTAATGGTAGTTTATTCCAGATGTATGGAGTATAATCACTGAACAATATTTGGTTTTGACTCTGGGGACAAAAAGCCGACCAGTGCCAGCAGACCTGAGAGGTTTGGATGCTTAATAATGTAGCAGAAGATCAGAAATGAAAGAGAGAAAAAACAGGGATGGTAACAGACAGATCTTTTGTGAGGGCAGGACACACATACTGGAGAAGTTAAGTTGTAAATGGCCCCACATTGCACCAAAGAATTGCAAAGAATACTCATGTTCATGCCATGTTCTTTGGTTTTTGGTCATCATTGCTTTGACGTGTGGTGCTAAAATAGAGGCACTTTCGGGAATATCAATCATATCAAGTTGTTAATAACGCTGCAACTGGGTTAATGATTCCAGAGTGGTTTTGGTGATTTGCACCAAAACCATGACACATAGTTAACCCATTTTCTTTGTCAAATTGATTGTTGTCTTCCATAACTCTAGTGAGGTCTTGTTTTGGTTGGGTAATGTCTGATTTCAACATATTGGTTAAAAAAAACAAGCAAATATATATCTCATAACCCACTACTGTGGTTTAAATGAGATTACACTTCATGCGTTGATAAAAAATAGCCCACATGATGCGTATAATATCCCATCAATCAGTAAAGATTGTGGTGCATGCTGTGAAGAGAAATGGCCTCAGATATTGAGAGAAGCTCCTCTGTTTCATGCTGAATCACTCCAGCACACTTAGAAACAAACATCACGTTACAGTATGTCTTGTTGCTGAGCTGGGAACTAATTATCTCAGCCACCCTGTGGATAATCAATGTTCCTGACTGAAAGATGAGCCAGCATTTTCTGAGCCTTAAATAGAGTGGCTAGCTTGGATGCAGGATGAAAGTAGAAACAGATGGAGAGGAACCAGAGTGTTAGGGCAAGAGCAAACTGAATACCTAAACACACTGAGAACCCATCCATCTATTTAAATTAGCAAGATGTAGGTGGATCCTAAACAGATGGTAATCAAACTTTGAGCATTTGGAGATGCACATGAATGTGTGAGTGAGTAATCAATTTGTTATGTAACACTTTACTATTTCAAGCAGATGGTGCAGACAACATGCAGACAAGGTTCAGAGACTGGCAGGAGGAATTAGTCTTGCAACTGTTATTGTCAGTTTCTGTGCTCTAATAGAGAAACAGTGTACTTTGTTCCTTGCTTTAAAGGGCAATAATTATGCTAATATTTCTAGTTCGTGCGTGTATTCTGGGATTGTACTAGAACATCTTTATAAGCTTTTATATGTTGACAAAACACATTATTTGTCTCTTTCTGTCTGAATTTACCTGTGTCCACCCCTCTGTCTGAACACTCTGTTTTAATGGCTGCCTCTTGAAGCCCCCCTCCTGGAAAAGCCCAGTCTGTGGTCCGTGATTGGCTCTATGAAAAAAAATATGGTGCGTCTTTGGAAAAGGTAGTTGCTAAGTCGTGGGTGGAAATACTTACATGTGAGGCGGTATATTCTAATGAGCGTGTATGTGACATATGAGGGGGAAAATCTAAATCTGTATAGCGTGTTATACTAATTTTCAGGTTCATATTTGTTTTTTTGCCTCTTCTGTGACATGTCTCCTTGCTTTAATGTTCAAAAAGGTCTCTATTTTTCTCATACTGCCTGTGCTGCAGCACCTTTTTCACCCTCTGTCTGAAACCAGAGCCCAGTCTGCTCTGATAGGATAGCTAACTGGCTTTTTGGTGATTGGTCAACCGCTCAGAGATGTCCCGCCCATTAGCCTATCACGTACAATGTGTTGAAGTGCTAGTCAGGAACGTGGGTGTTATGTAGTGATGTCACTATGTTACATAAACAAAAAAGTCCAATGGAGGCATGTGTGTGGGAGAGAAATGTAGCCGTTACAGACCATCACCATGCACAAAAACCCACTACAGGTAAGGGAAAACACAATATCCCATTTCAAATCCCTTTTTTTCTGACTCCAATATTACACAATGAGGTGCATAAGCACTGAACAGGTGAGGTTTTATGATATAAAGTTGTTACAGTGAGAATTAACAGAAGCTTTAGCTGTAATCAAAACATTAGTAAGATAATTTGTGAAGAAAACTCTATCACATGATTTTTGGTGCTCCTCAATATTTGTGCTACAGGTCAAATGTAGCCCACTTCCTAGACTGAGTTTGGTCATTTTGTCATAACCTGTCCCATGTAGTGAAAAAGTGACTTTTAGCAATGTTTTGTCATCTTTAAGTGCAATCATACCCCTTCCAGGCTCAATCCAAGCCTCCACTTATTCATTTTCACATATTTTCTCCCAGATCTCCTCATTTATAACAGCAATAACTCCACCATTAAGAGCTTTTTAGTTATCTGATAAGTGTTTGAAACAGAGAACCTGAGCAGAATAGATGCAGAAAGCCTTCAGGAATGGTGAAGAATGAGCCACTTAGCTGCCCAGGGAGACGGGGTGTCAGTGAGTCATGTAGAGCACATCATTTAACACCTACGCTCTCATCTAGCGCTCTTCAGACAATTTCAACAGAATTTCAGAACTCCATTAAAACCTCTTTAAAAGCGCTTTCACTCGAAGGAACGTCGGGGCATTGTGTCATGTGTATAATTTTGCATCAGCAGTTGCATCATTGCAAGTGATGCCATTAGGCGAGAGAAAACAATTTCCAATGGATTAAAATGGAAACTAGCATTTGCAATTTAAATTTGAGGTTTTTTTTGCCGATTAATTGGAGCCTTTTTAGCCATCTGATATGCTGAATTGAATTCTAAACTCATCTTTACCTTCTGAAAAGCAGGTGTACATGTACGTCATAAGTGTCAACACTAAAACTAATTAGCAAACAAAAACCGAGACAAGGGACATTTTACACCGGATAGCACTGTGTTTTCTGACAAGCGTGCAACTGTGGCATCGCCTTGATGTAGCAACCTGCCTCTATTAAGCGGACCATAACCTCCCAATAGGCTGCGTTTATCCAAGTGTGCATCATTAAAAAGCAGACAAACTAATAACAGCGTTGTCCAAATTACAAGTGCGCAAACACACAATGCTCGCATTACGTATGCACATATTAAACAAGGAGGCATTTCTCCAGGGTGCGGAAACGGTAACACAACAGAAGAACTATTCACCAACAACAGCCAACCTCATAATCATGAGAAAGCCTTCATGCAAATGAGGCGTCCTCGTCCATTATGATAAAACACGCAGGCAGGCAGCTGGAGAGTGGCACCTTTTTAAAGGTTATTCAACTGACAAGTTCAATGCCCCGCAGGAAACAAGCTCTTAATAGTAAGTGTGCGATTAATAACACATACAGTATGAGTAAACACAAGCTAGATAGACGGATAGATAGACCGATAGATAGATAGATAGACAGATAGATAGACGGATAGATAGATAGATAGATGGATAGACAGATAGATAGACGGATAGACAGATAGATAGACGGATAGATAGACAGATAGATAGACGGATAGATAGATAGATAGACGGATAGACAGATAGATAGACGGATAGATAGACGGATAGACAGATAGATAGACGGATAGACAGATAGATAGACGGATAGACAGACGGATAGACAGATAGATAGACGGATAGATAGACGGATAGATATGTAGATAGACAGATAGATAGATAGACAGACGGATAGACAGACGGATAGACAGACGGATAGACAGACGGATAGATAGATAGATAGACGGATAGACAGATAGATAGACGGATAGATAGATAGATAGATAGACAGATAGATAGACGGATAGATAGATAGATAGACGGATAGACAGATAGATAGACGGATAGATAGATAGAGATAGATAGAGATAGATAGATAGATAGATAGACGGATAGATAGATAGATAGATAGATGGATAGATAGATAGATAGACGGATAGACAGATAGATAGACGGATAGATATGTAGATAGACGGATAGACAGATAGATAGACGGATAGATATGTAGATAGACGGATAGATAGATAGACAGATAGATAGACGGATAGACAGATAGATGGATAGAAAGATATATAAAAAGATGTATATAATATAGATAGACAGACAGACCGACATACAGCGAGATACTGTAGAAGGATAGGTGTATATATATATAGATGGATAGATATTTAGAAACTAGATACAGATAGACAGATATATTGATATATATAGATATAAGAAAAGATTGATAGAAAGGTAGATATATAGAAGACAGAAAAACGGACAGATAGACAGACAAATAGACAGATAGAGGGATAGATAGATTATTCAAGAGTTGTTATTTGATTTAGATATCATTTTTACATTTTAAGTAGTCATTAACATCTGAATTAGTCCGTCCACCACTCATGAAGTGCCTCTTACCTGATGAGCCATCGATACAGACCGGCGTCAAAGTGCCTGAGTGAAAAAAAGAAAAGAAAAGAGAAATGAATATTGAGTCTCACATTTACATAATAATAAAGCACCGAGTGAGACACACCTGAGAACTGGGCCTTATATAAACACATTCAGTATGTGTGCATGCTCTTTGTCATTAAGATGATTAGAAAAAGTGTTTTTTTGTGTTGTGCTGCAAGTAAACTGAGGCTGTTTGCGAATGATGTCAGTGGACAGCTTTATGCATTCCATCAATGTTGTCAACATTGACCAGCTCAGCACACGGGCCGGATTGGAGTGCATCGGTGTCAGCACATTGGTCGATCCGCATTCTTACTGCAAAACCGAATGCACTGCCTTCCATCTCAATTGTATGTGATCTGAGTTAAGAGAGCAGTTTCTCAATGAACTAAAGGAACAGAGGATGTTTGCTGCAAGAAAGTCTTTCCTGCATGGTAATTGCAAAGTATAACCATAAGGGAGACTGATTTTTCTCACAGTTTCTCACTTGCTTGTAAGCGTTTTGAGCACCAGGAAAAGCGCTTTATAAATGTAATGTATTATTATTATTACAGCAGCACTGATGTGTTTTTCTCTATCAGAATCAGAAACAGCTTTATTACCAGGTAGGTTGACACGTACGAGGAATTTGACTGCATAATGTTATGGTATCAAAGGAGGTCTGCATTTACTTCCATGTTGGTTCAGTCTAAGCCTTGTTCATACACTCGGTCAGTTGCCAGTTTATTAGGTATATCCAGCTAAAACTAATGCAACAAATCCTGCCTTCATGAAGTTTATCATTTTAAAAAGGATGTTTATTTAACTTTAATACAAATGTATCATCCACATTTTCAAATTCACTGTGTGATATTTCACTATTATATTTTAGAGGATGTAGTTTGTGATACAGTTAAGCTGTAATATATTATACTAAGAGACATTTGAGTTATTTAGCATCCTCTAATAAATGTAATTAGGGTGGACAATGTAATATAAACAGCTGTCAGTTTAATGAAATACAGTTCAACAGCTCCACAAACTGAAGCATAAATGATCATGCATTTTAATAAAGTTATATTCAAGGTAGGATTTATTGTAGGATGTTGTATTACAGTCGACTGGTTTTATTGTATTTAATGAGCTGGTAATGGTGTATATTACACCATAGTTCACAGTGTGTCAGCTATTTACTGTGTGCTAAATGTTCCCCATTTGTTTTACCTGACTGACCTGAATACTATTTTTATGTGTCTTCGCTGTCTTTCTATACTTTAATTATTGCTGATTAAGGTACTTTATCCCAATATAACAAGCAGTACTGCAATGTGTGTGTTCCTTTAACTTGAGCAAGTGTGACCCCTTCAGCATGAACCAGGCATAGTCCTTCGCTTGGAAGTGAAAGTGTTAAATGAGCTTCATCACATTTTACAATTACCATGACATTTACTTTTAAAGAGGTAGGTGGGACAGAAATAACTGTGTATGATGTGTGTGTTTCGACAATCTCATGCTTAATGAGTGTAGCATAAAGGAGGGACAGAAAACGTGGAAAATAGCCCTTTTCAACCTGCACAGGAAGGGGAGGAGATAAATCAGACACACCTGTGAGCAGAGGGAAGGTAAACATCTAGCAAAAGCATGGAGGAGATCAGAAAGTATGGAGAGCAAGGAGATAACTAAGTTTTAGTTTCTGGAGATCTCCGCTTATCCAAATGACTAAAAGTGACATGTATAAAAGTAGAGTAACAGTTATTCTATGTAGGGGATTGTAATGTATTGATCCTGGAGCAGGTTTGGATTAAGTTTTTCTAACTCCCTCTTTGACCTGCTGTTGGACCTAAAGTAAGGTATGTCTCCTTCCTGTCTCCAGGCTTCTCATATTCTCCTGCTTCATGTTAATGTGCCCTCAGCCTAATTGCATCTATTTTTGCCCTTTTCCCCTGCTCATTGCTCCATGGACAGTTGATTTAATTAAGGGACAATTGATTTCCGCCTCATTTGAAGTTGGTTTTTCGTTGATTTAATGGACATTTTCTGAGTAAGAGGCTCACAACTGTTTGACATTTCATTTATTTCGATTATTATGTGGTTTAATGGAGAACTATTAAGTTAAAGATGTCTGTTTCCTTTTTATCTTGTCTACTTCTGTAAAAGGCTACCAAGGTTATCCAAACGATTTCAATCAATAGTTTTGAATGGCCTAGGACTATTCTGATGTCTGGAGCCCAATTCTTACTTTGAATATTCAAGAAAAACCAAGATAACAATATAATTAGCTTGACCTAAGTTTTTTACCGAGAAGATGACCTTTTTTCACAGAATATTTTCCTTTTTGACACACATTTTAAGTGGCAATCTATTTGGCGATTATTCATTTTTTTAACACAAATGTTTTTCTTTTCATGATTTACTTTCTAGACTACTTAGCTGTTTTTACTTAACAAAAAACAACATCATGTAGTCTTCAAATGTAGGACCAACCCCAGAAAAAAACAAACTATTTTAGCTTGAGTCTGAAAGAATGATATAATGTTCCTGGTGCAGAGGTGACCTACAGTATTGTTCTGATTGCCAGTAATGACAAAATGACACAATTATCGGGGCCCTGTCTGAATCTTATTGCAAAAGCACAGTGAGCACTTGAGGCTCTTGACATTTCCTTTTCCTCAAGAATACCAAGCATGCTAGCTCTCCTGTCGCTGAGGGAATGCTGCGGGACCAATATAATAGCACATTTATGTCAGGGGTAACTAGAATTGTTTCTGCAGCTTGATCTTACCTCCACATCCCTGTGAAACTGTACATGATGCTGACACAGCGAGGGAGCTTTGGGGGAACTAGTTGATCCATAGAAGCCAGCATGGATGGAAAGCCGAACAGAACCAGATACTTCACAAAGAAAAACTGGACAAGGGCCAGCGCCAGACCACCTGTGAGAGGGGGAAAAGTAATGTTTATTATGTAAATGATCAAGAACAGTGCTCTTTAAGGATAGGGATAGTTGTATACTAAGAAAAATAAACAATGACTGTCAAACTGCTCAGCTCACTTTATTAATTATTGAAGTCTATTGTATTGGTTGGCATTGGGAACAGCAGCTGATGTACTATGTGCTACATTTGAAACCCTAATGAATACTTATCCATAAATAAATTATAATTTTATGAGAGTTCCTCAGATGCTTTTCAGACTGCAAACCACTACTGTGGACTTTATTTTAGAATAAACTGGGCAGTTATTGTTTTTTCGTTTTAAAACAGGTGTTTTGTATAACCCAAATTCACTATATTTGCGTGAAACGACTTTTAAAATAATACAACACCCTCTATTATAAGAAAGGGAAACACTTGTTTTAATAAGGAAAAAAGGGAGGAAATCTCAGGAAGAGCAAAAAAGGAGGGATCAATAGGTAGAACTTGGCAAACAAAAGATTGTGCTGACATTTAATAGCTGCTGAGAACAGTTAGGCTGAATTGCAAAAAGGAGGCCAGTAAATTATAACGATTCAGATTCTATACCTGTTTATGGCGACGAGGGGGCAGACAGTACAACGGCGAGTGAGTAAATTACTGTATTAATTAATGGATAAGTAATAAAACTTGAAAATCCCAGAGGAGCTTCACATCTAAAATAGGATCAACACAAGACTGTGCATGCAGAGTATTTATGACCACAGCGTCCTCCTAAGTAAATCACTTAAAGGTCCCATGTCATGGCCATTTCTACTGATCATAATTCCATTGTTGAGGTCTACTAGAATAGATTTATATTGTGCAATTTTCCAAACTCACATTGGTTTCTCATACAGCATCTCTGTAAAGTATGTGTATTCACTCTCTGTCCTAAACGGCTTGTTGGAGCTCCTGCCCCCCCCTCCTATGAGCCCAGTCTGCTCTGATTGGTCCGCTCGCCCACTCTGTTCTGATGAGTCCACCACTGTTACAGTGGAACATCAGTGATTATGTGTTTCAATGGCGTGAGCAACCAGAAAATGACACCAGTAATGACAAACAGATGAGAATGCTGCGTGGGGTCTGGGTGCTGTGTTGGTGGGACGTTACACGGCTCAGACAGTGTGAGCGAGCTGGGTTACTGGTGTGTAAGGGGGCTGCAGCACCCCCATCTGCGAGGCTCCACTAGCACCCCTCCCCCCCGCGCCACAGTTTCGCCGCTGCAAGGCTCCACTAGCACCCTCCCCAGCGCTCCACGGAGGGTCCATTTGGGTATGGTCTCGTCACTGTACCCAGGAAGAAAAAGAGAAATCTCCAACGAGGCGTTCCGGGGCAGCATAGACAGGTCTTTTCTGTGTTAGAGTTTTACTCGCTACAGGGTGTACTTTGAGGGTTTGCAGACGGTTTACATGCATACAAAGCTAAATAACACACAAGGGGATGGGTAATAACTGGAAAAGCATGTCATGGGACCTTAAAACCTCCCAAAAATAAAGACGCCATGTTTCCTGCAAAGACTCACAGGGCCCTTACAGAGTATTTCAACTATAACTTTGGCAATTATTTCTTACATTTTGGAAACAACAATGTAAAAGCAAAAAAATACATTATCAACAAACACCTATTCTGTAACTTTATTTAAATATAAACACAATCACACCACAGAGCATGCCAACTCAAATCAAGACCATTAAGTAAAACTCTTATCGGCATATCTGACTTTTAAAGCCAACTAAACACTTTGGGGTAAGGGGGAGTAACATGTTTTAAATTCTTTAAACATTAAAGCTAGAAGCAATGTACATAGCAGCCAAAAATACACCCAGAATAAACACTTACCCAAGGCCCAGGGAGGGAGGATCTCTAAGTATGTCTCATTAGATTGGATGGAGTGCATATACATAACATGGATCATGTATTCCGCGAGGCACCACCACAGTATGATTCGTCCTGATCTGAGCACCAAGTAAATGACACCAGATTTGTCCCCGTCACACTCCTCAGCAGGCCTTTGCATCTGAAAATACAGAAAGTGAGTTGTTGTTAAAGGTTGCTGGTTGCATCTTCACTACAAAAAGAGCAACCATGTAGTATGAACACGTATACATCTACTCCAAAATTGTGTATAAAAACAAGCAGGCATAAAAAGTTAGTATTATAACAGTGGATCAAATGAAGGGTTAGCTATTCCTCTTCAAATCTGGTAAAAATGTACGTTTCAATTTTCATAAATGGCCCACCACTGATTGTCTACTATGTTTTTAAAAAGGTGACCTGAGATCACCTGCACTTAGGAGCAGCAATCAGCCGCCTCCAGACAGTAACAAGAGGCAATTTCAACAGTATAATTTGCTTTTGTTTACACTCTTACCTGCTCAGTGTAGTCTCTGTACGAGATAATGGGTCCATTGTAGAAAAAAGGATGATAGAAGGTGTATGAAAACAACCAGCCGAGCTGCACAGCTCCACCACCGTCTGCAGGGCTCCAGCAATGCTCCAGGCTGAAGCTGATGAGGCGAAGTCCACAGACAGCGACACTGAAGACGAGCAGATAGTACTCCTCCTCGGTCTTATACCAGCCTCTCTGTGTAACAAAGAGGAAGGCCAATTATTTGTTATCACATTCCCAGGGAATCCTTATATAATAGTGACAGTCTGACACTAAATGTAGATATGCTTTTAAAAATAGTTCTTATATGCTTATAGATATGACACATTAAAAAGGGGAACATTAGCAGATTACAGCATAACACTGGTAATGAAGATCTGTCAAGACCTACTAATAAGCATATGTTTGAGACACATTTTAATTAGGTCTGCTTAACAGCATTGGGAATTGTGGTTAAACACAGGACTCAGTCTGTGTGCAATCGTGTTTGAGCAAAGGAGGCAGATCTTTTGAAGCATTTACAGGTCTGTCAGGTCTATTTCACATTTCCAACCATTGTAGCATAGTTGCTGGCTATAACCATGTTGATGTGTCAGCTAATGTGCAGTTAAAGGGTATTTATAGGATTGTTCTACACCTTCCCAAGTCAATTCAAACAGTTTTTAACTTCCAGCTGTAAATACAGTAATTGGGCAGTCAATCAGCTCATACTGTAGATCCTTACATAAAATGTATAGAGTATCATGCAAATCAAAACCGGAGGAAGATAAAACAACCCTAAATGTACTAAAATACCAGTGTTCATAATAACAGATAAATTAAGACATACATTGAATTGAGTCCTATAGTCAAATTTAAACTGAATTCAAATATTGTTTTGTCAGTCAATTATCATTGTTGTGTGTTTACATGCATTAATCCTCAGGTATTACTGGAAATACCAAGTGTAGTATCCTTTCAATAAAATGCACTCAACTTTTGTCTTATAACCGTATTCTTGTTATTGTGTGCCCTCTTGTGTTCTTTGAAAATATGACATGCAGTGAAGATTAATGGTAGATGAAACAGTTAGTATGCATGATCAAATCGAAATAAAAAATGGACAGTATCATTTCATTGCGACTAAGAAATGGTAAGTTCAAGTGAATTTGATGGTCAAGACAGATGACAGACTTTGTCCACCCTATCTTTATAGCTTATTTTTTGTAGTAGATTCACATCATATTTTATACGTTTTATCCTTTTAAGGACCGACTGTATTTTTTCTTCATTACAAGTAAAATAGTAAAGACACATTAAATGTTTCGGCTATGTAAAGATGATTTTTAGATGTCATCCGTCCAAAATCAGGAACAAATCATATCCATTTGACATACAGCCTACCTGGATCTCTTGTAGTGGATGGATGTGAAGTGTGGAGAGCAGCAGAAGGTTGCAGCACCATGACAGAGCAGGCTTTTGTAATTGGGCCAGTGAAAACGACAGGCCCACATGTACCAGCAGCACGCTCACACCTTTAATCCCCAACACACTGCTGGCTGCTAAGAGGCCATATATGGTGAGTGCTGGCACCCTAAGCTGTAAAAGAAAAACATAAAAAAAGGATGTTGCATTGAGTCATCTCTTCCCTGATAGCAATATTCCACTTCACAGTTCGGTAGCAGTTTCCTACCTTGGGATTAAAGATGCTGGTCAATCTTGATATCACGCCATGACCAATTAGAGTCCACAGCAAAGACTTCTTAGCCCATTCAGTCCAGAAACTCCACTCAAAGTCAGAAAGGTCCTGACAAAAAAATACTTAATTATGGCACTCTAAATCACACCTTAATTACATTTATTAAACAAATTAATGCCTTTCAAAAACTAAACTGAAACACACTTTCCGTGACACATAATAGTGTGTCTCACTATGAACTCAAAACAAACTTATTTTTTCAGTGAGATGCACAATAATGTGGGTAAAGATCGGGCTTTAGATCAGTCATTTCAACATTGAACTTACCCTTTTAAAACCCTTGACAAGGCCTTTTTCCAACTGGAATCCTCTCTCTAATCCTGCTTCATGCTCTGAGGTACAAACCAGGAAATAACAGTTTATATTTTCTTAAACTTTTAAAGTTCATTGAACCATCATACAGATGTCTGTCCATACCTTACCTTTGGAGAACCTGTGCAGTTGGTAGAAAGAGTAGAGATGTGAGCCTAAGGACAGCACCCAATATGCAAGGATCTCTGTCCTTGGCAGAGGCGCCAGTTGAGCCAGAGATGTCATCAGGGGAAATCACTGCTATAGTGCACCTATAATGAAGTGAGTCAATGTATATCCTGTACAAATATTAATTAGCACTAACAAAAAGAAACATACAATATATCACATAAATGTGGTATTGAAATCTGTTTTTTCTTTCTATAAAAAAAAAAAAGTTGAAAGCTCGATCAAACTGAAACTGGTATTCTTTAATACATTAAACAATTTACGATTATATTTCCCTTTTTTAACATTAGCAGCATCAACTGGAAACATTTCTGAACATCAAAAACAAACTGAGGTAAAATTGCATTATAGCCATATTAGGTAGGTAGTTAGATGTAATGGTAGATTATGTTACACTTTTAATACAAGTTATAAAATGTTAAATGGCTTCTGCTGTTGACACAAGTAACCAATGGCTACATAAACCTGTATAAGATTAATGTGTTGTGTGTACAGTGGTGGAATGCACATTTTATATACTTGTATTTTACTTAAGTAAAATGAATACTAATCCATGCAACTTATTATTTTAACCCACTGGCGGATAGATATTTAGAGGAAATAAAGCACTTTTCAGTCCATAACATTTATTTAGTAACTTTCTGTGCAGATTGTTATCATGTATATGAACTAACTAATATGAATATTATGTAGTATTATTGTTATAGATTACAGAAACGTTAGTTTAAAACAGTCCACCATTTTCAGCTGCTGCATCTGTACTACTTTTGGTATTTTAAGTACATTGTGGCGCTAACACTGGTTCTTTATAATAACATTATTACTACAGTACTTTTACATTGTATTGTTGCATTACTTTACTTTTTCCACCACTGATATGTATAATTGTCATCGTTAAGTACAGCATCGTCAGGAATATGCCAACCGGTTGGCATGGCAATCACTGCCGTTGCTAGGTAACACTGCACCCAGCGGTTGCTGCTGACTACAACGTACTAGTTTACACGGGTAAAATAAAGTAGCGTTAACTGTTGGCTACCGTTTCCACTGTTATCGTTTCTGGGCATTTTATTGGCGTTTGAGAGAATTACGACACCACTTAAACCTAGTCGGCGTGTGTCTTCATGTTGTTGTGCTAATTTGACCATTATTTGTATTCCCAATTTGTTTAGGTGAGCTGAAAACTTCCGTAAACTTTCCAGTTGAAATGGCAGTTAGCTGACGTTAGCTAAGCTAGCTAATCACGTTAACAAGTTGCAGTGTTACCTGATACTACTGCACCGCTGTCCATTGCAGTGCTGTACAGTGTAAACAGCCCTGTCTGAAAGCGCTTGGACCAGAGGAACATAACGTTAGAACAATCCGGCATCCAACATTCAGAGGTAATGATTTCTTCTTCTTTTTCCTTCATTTATGCCATGCAACAACTTTTTAGAGCATGACCGCCCCCATCTGTGCAGGAGTGGCTCCATTATGCCAGGAAAAATATGCTGTAGTCAGTGGTTAAAAAAACTCAGTTATTTTCCACCACTGAGTAAAGGACAATATCTAAGTACATTTACTCAAGTACTGGACTTAAGCACACATTTGAGGTACTTGTACTTTACCCGACTATTTTCAGTTGTTACTGCTTCATACTTCCACTCTACTACATTTGGGAAGCAATTAGATGTATTGTTCATATTTGTTTACTAGTTTCTTTATAAATTCAGATTTTGACACACAATAGAAATAAATACTACATAAAATATCATTATTATTAATATAAACCATCAAAAATGATATTTAAATAACTAAAACCATGAGTGGGTTAACAGAAAATGTATTGGCAGAAATTCTGCTAACATTATTTATACAGTTCTAGCTTCTTGAATGTGAAGATTTATTTTAAAATGTGTTTTGTTTTCTCTGCAATGAGTACTTTTACTTCTAATACTTCAATTACATTTTCATAATCATACTTAAATACTTGTACTTAAGTACCATTCTCGATGAAGTACTTTTACTCTAAATTGAGTATTTGTAAAGTACTTTTACTCAAGTAAGGAATCTGAATACTTTTTCCACCACTGCTTTAAGAAATACTTAGATTTTAACTCAATGACGCCTATTTAGTCATACAAAATGAAAATGTATAAGGATCCTACGACTATATTTAAAAAATAGTTAATAAAATTGGTAAGGATTTTTACATAAAACCATTTCCTTTGATATTTTATTCACTCGACAAGAGAATTGTTTCAGTTTTAAAGGGTTTATTGTGGAGAAAGTGTTGGTAAGGTAGGGTGAATGATCAGCATGCATTGCGACATCATTGTAGGGTTATCACAGTTCCACAAATAAACAGAAATCCCTAACAACAAAAAGACCCTGTATGGTGAATAACAAATGTGACATCATGACTGTGCTCAACAGTAAAATAGCCTAAATATATCCTTCATACTTCATTAATTCTTTCAAAATCTGCAACTTTTCTGACAAATCAATTGTTTTTACTAAACGTATAGACTTAAATAAACGTTATGTTTCATCCTCACACAAGCTTTTTTATTTGACTGAAAACCACGTACAGAGCAAAAAAGAAACATGACCACATTTCATATACACTTTCAGTTATCCACACTGAGGGATCAAATTCATGAATATAACAGTTAACCGTAAGCTCTTCTGTTGTGTACAAGCTTAACGTGTTTGCAAGCATTCATGCAACGTCAGTGTTATCACAGTATGGATGTTTCTTCACAGTTCGTCGGTCTCTCCATCGAAGGGCACAGCATCTGTCTCCATATGAATGCTGCCCGGCTCACCGTTGCCCACCCAGCCAATAGGAGTGCGGTTGAAGGAAGGCCGGCAGCCGATTTCATGCTGGTACACCATCGCGGGTTCAGGCTCCTCTTTGGCCTCAGGTTCTGGCATCTGGAATTTCAAGAACTGATTGGCCTTCTCGAAACCGCCAAACGGCATGGCAGACCTAGCAAAGCAAGGTGAGAGGATTATTGAAGCCTCTTCTTTTCGAAGAACACCTACAAAGTCAGGCCTTGCGGGACGTACCTGTTGAAGCTTTTGTACTTGCGCAAATCCTTTGCATCACAAGGACCAGCCATTCCACCTTTCATAGTCGCTACCAGAATTTCATCCCCCTTCATGGCCTTCTCCCATGGCGACACGTACAACTTCAAAATACGCATCGTCTTAGATGCATCATCACTTCCACCTCCTGTGAAGAAAATATCCACGACTAGAGCATAAGACACTCTCAGCTTAGTTGGTAACATTAAATAAAGTTTTACAAATATGTTCATAGACTTTGGGCTGGTTTCAGTAATATTTGTGATGTTGAACAAAAAAGTCTCTCCAAGAGTTTGGAAATGTTTGACTATGAAACAGAATCTTTCTACAATTAAAAAAAAACAACATGGTACCTACCTTTAAGTGGAGACCACCCACTGTCTCCTTCTCCACCTTCTTTCCCATGGTCGCCCCCACCCTGTCCACCTGCCCCTGCTCCGTCTCCTGCTCCTGCACCTGCTCCTGCACCTGCTCCTGCACCTTTGCTTCCAGGCTTGGGAGGAGGCACTGGAGCTCCTCCTTTGCCGTGCATCCCTACAAAATTCAGTCCAACCTGTTTGCTTACAAAATGTCCACCAACATTTATGATGTCACCTCTCATCTGACCTCCCAGAGAGGGAACAAACTTCTGGAGGTCGTCCTGAAAGAAAAATCATGGATATATTAAACACGTGACATCATTTACTAGGTTTTATCTTATAAAAGTTCAACCTGGAAAGGCTTTACTGAGAACTCTCAGTGAGCATTGTAGGCTTTATCTTCTGCCAGTCAATCTGAATATTTATCGAGCTGGTTTGATTGATCAATAATTATCTAAGGGTTTTAAGATTAACTTTAAAACTAAAAAAATCAAGTACATTTTTGCTGTCCTACTATTATGTTTCTTTCAGACAGCTGCTGTATAATATGAATTAAAACACATATTTAATTAGGACAGATTAATGTTGTAAAGTGACAAGAATGTGTGTTTCTTCAAACATTGCAATACGTTTCTCTGTTGAATGTTGTGTGTGCTATTCAAATTGTGTCGTATATTTATAAATCTTTTTTAATGAATTGGATTTTGTCATCCCCTTAAGTTTTAATCTCACCATAGCCTCACTGCTGAAGATGTCAGGGTTGTTCTCGTAGATGAACCTATCCACTCTCTTCTGCCTCATCCTGAACATCTTGGAACCTTTGTTGTTCTGCAGGGAAAGCTCCTCCAGCATGATGTCTTTGGGAGACCTGATCTTTGTTCCCAGGTCCAGCTCGGCCTCTGGATCTGACTCATACTCTAGGTAAGGAACATTTGAATAAGTGTTACATTTACAAATGTCTTAATGTGGAACTAAATATTGCCAAGTAGTCTGGGTGTCTCTGTAGTGATATGCAAAACACAAACAAACCCTAACCAAGTATTTTAAGACATCATTTTATGTTAACATGAAAAAGCTGCAGTTAGCATATGGAAAATGTAACTTTATGCCAACCTTACCATCCTGAGTGATATGTGTTAGGTCGGTTATGATCTTGGCGAGATTTTTCCGCTTGTTCTGCGGGGCAGGTTTTCCCAGAGGCATGACTGGAGGATCAGGAAAGACAGGGAGTTAGCAGTAACAATATTATGGTTACAAATGATCAAATGTAATGTATCATTCCTCAGCGATAGAGCGTTATCAAAGTGAACCTCTTTCCCAAGAAACAAAATAAAAGTAGCTTCTCAAAAAAACATTTAGTTATTTATCAATCAATTTAATATGAATAACATTGTTTCTATTTCAATATGTGTGATTCAATGTAGCAACTTGAGGAACTCGTGCTCAATGTCATCTATCCTATTCAAAGGAAAAAATGTACGGCAATGGGACTAAATCTGTGTGGGTACAGGTTCACTCAAAGGTTCAGATTAAATAACGGGAGTGTTTTTATATTTCCTTTCTAGATGCATTCCACGCAATAAAAAAAAGAAAGAACATACTGCTTTACTTCCTTGACCATAGTACAAACGTATCTAGATCCCTCTTTAGTCTCACCACCTGCAGGGCTATTCAATTGGCGGCCCGCGGGCCAAATCCGGCCCCGGGGTGATATTTACTGCCCTTGGAGTATCATGTTAAAAAGTAATCTACTTCTGTTTTTTTAGGTTTTTTTTGTTGAGTTTTTAAAAAAAATATTTTTTAAAGAGTCCTTTATTCCAGAGAGGGTGTTAAATTGAGAGATAGAGACGAAGACATTGCCTGAAAACTTCGGCGGGCTCGGGTTTCGAACCCACCTACTAGCTACTGTAGTGACAACTCCTGTCATTTATTGCATCTCTGCGTGAATTATTAGATAATTTCACCTAAATGAAATCAAATGAAATGATGTTGATGGTTAAATTAGCTTCACATGTAGGCCTACTGAGTTCTGAACTTGCCATTTAGATCTAGAAAGGCCTTGGGACTATGTTTGATTTAATTAAACACAATATACGCACTCCACTACGCTGTTGTAGTATTTACTGTATCTGAAGCTCTTAATATGATTGCTCATATTTCAAGCCATCTTTTTCCCGGACCCTTGCTTTGGATCATTTTCATCATCTGGCCCCCATTTCAAACTAATTGAATAGTTACCTACAGCATCAACAACCCCTGAAAGTGAATCTACGGACACGGACACAGTTCAGAGGGGCCCTGCTCCTTTTTCAAGTTCAAGGGAGATGTCATTGCCCTCAGATTCCCCACGTTCCCAAGTGAAAGAAATGTCTGCTCCAAAGGAAACATATAGCTGAATGTTTGTTTCAGATCTGTTTGGGGACAAGACCTGTACACAGACTAAGACAACATTAACCAGATCAAAATGTGCTAGTGCCATTCTACTGCAGTAGAGGTGAAGGCCTCATGATCATAAAATAGCATCTGATCATATTCCCAAATCTGCGGCCTGCATGGGAACATGTAGAAGGGGCAATTGAGGGCATTACTTTACTCTCTCATATGACGCGATATCGCTCACCATTAAATCCCTATAACTTTAACAACCATATTTCTTACAACCTGTGGATCCTTCCTTTTCTAAGGATATTCATCTGGTGTTATACATTATAGTTTATTTTTTTTTACAGTTGTTTGTCTTCTTATCGGATAGGCACCTTCAGCTCTTAACAGTTTCTTTAAGACCCAGTCGCGTAGCAAAACATCACATCTACTGACTGTAACTCAACCCACTGCAGCTATTTTTAACTGCTGTTTCAAGCCAAGACATTTAAGCGACATGTAATGCCGTCATTTGGCTATTAAATAGGCTTGACACAACCCTAAGGACACAAATCAAACCTCCCGAAAACAATTCTGAGTGAATGTTTGGACCTCTCTCAAAACACAAGTGATAGCTCGAGTTGCTGTAACTGTTAATGTGAAGGGTTCTGGACACTGTTATAGTTGCCTTAAATAATTACTAACTTAGCCTTGCGCTCAGATTTACCTCCCCCCCCCTGTTAGAGATTGGTAACACCATATCAAATCTTAGCAACGCCCACCAAGAGGGATGGTCAGCACATTCACCCATTCCTCTGGTAATTTTAAGACGTACGATGAAAATGTAAAAGCAGCAAAGTGACTCCTTTTCTCTTAATCATTTGTGAAATCAAAAATATTTCAATCAAAAGCGAGCTATAATCTGGTTACTGAGTTGTTGAGCTCCTCTTAGATTAGATTCTCTGAGCTCAGCTGCTCAAACCACACAATTTATGATTGGGAACATCTTAATTGCCTCTCTCCATTTTTGTAGTAGCCAGAATCCAAATCCAAGTTGTATTAGTAGAACAAAGAACACCGATGGGATGCAAATCCACTCACCGGGTTATTGTTGCAATCCTGGGAGGAGAGACAGACCTATAAATACCAAACAGAGAAGAGGAGACTCAGGGCCCGATGCTGGGGATCTGGATCACACGTTTACAAATCCCTTAGTGCCTCTGAACCTACGTATGGCTAGACCCAGTTCCAGGGAAGTGCAAAACCCACCCTTCACTCAGATGGCAGATCTTTCAGAGGGATGGGGGTGTGGGTAGCAGCAGTGTTGGTGTCAAGACGGGAGGAGGAGGAGGTTAGGATAGGGCTTGGGGGGGCAGAGGCAGGGGGGAGAAGTCTCTGTTGGCCAGCTGAAAGTGCTGATGGGGGGAACAAAATCATTCTCACAGATGGTTTAGAAGCCTATATTTAGTAGCAAATAACGAGGGGAACAGAACTCGGCTATAAGATCACCTCAAAGGACTCTGGGGGCTGTTTAGTGGTACACACAAGTACACAGTGCAACGTTAATGTGTGTATATTAAGACCCTGACAGTTTGTGTTTCAAAATGAGGGTTGGCCCCTTTACTCCCTGCATTTCTCCAACCTGACAGTAGATTGTCACATTTTCAGTTTCTTTGAAGTGTTAACTTACTGGACATGATGGGCATGTGACAAATACATTTCAGAAACTCTAACAACGTTGGCATGGCTTGATCAGATTGCGCAAGTGAATGCAAGGCACTGAGCATCATAAGACCAATAACCAATGTAGGCAACACATGTCTTGTCCTGCAATATTCTTTGTTACGTGTTCATAATAGAAGCATTTCAAAATCTGCAACCTGAATACAGAAAGAATTTCAAAACTTGATTGGCAATCATGTGTCCACATTTCCTCAGCAGTACCCTTTGCCCATTCGCCCTAGGACATTCCTACAAGAGGGACAATAACTTCTGTTACCTCAAAGCTAGCAATGTATTCTACACCACTATTTAATTTGCTAATTTCTGTATATTCCTATGATATTAGAAAAACAAATTATAATTCGAAAAATAATGCATAACCCATATTTCAATGAAGTATCATATATTATTGTTTACTTCTAAAATGTCATGTTGTAGCAAGTTTATATACTTTATATTTCAGAATTTTTAGATCTTTTCAAAACATCTTAATATTTTTTTAATAAATTCAGTTAAGTAGAAATTACGTATTTTCTTCTATAAATAGTCCCTATATAGAGCCCTGTGAGTACGCAGGTTGGGAACAAGATGCCTTTCTGACTGCATGCTCAGACATGACTCTGCAGCACCACTCTGTGGCAGATGTTAAATCATGGAAACGTGACTTCTGAAAAGACCACTCCATGACTTACGCTCCTGAATTAGGTCCTAAAATGGCATTTTCTCTGTTTTCCATGCAGGCTCTTCACCTAAGACCCCACCCAGGGACTTATGGACTTTCATATACCATACAAAGGTGCGTGAAGAATCTATTCCGCTCAACACAGATTGAAGTTGAAGGTTTCAAATTGTTTTTATTCTTGAACAAATACAAGCAATTGGAGACTCTTAGGCCCCTATTTTCTGAGGTAATAAACTGAAGTGGATTATTAAGTCAAATATAGACTAACAACACGTAGATGTCGTGTGATTTAAAAAAAATGATGGATCCAGTTTCACTTTTGCTCGGGACATGGTGTTGCATAAGGCTGCCTTTAAGCCTGAATTGTCTACAGAAATCCTATTCCAGGTTACTATTCACAAAAATGCATCTGTAACTATCAGGGTCAGTTCTCCATTCAAAAAACATGAGACTGAATCAAAAAGTGAGGGGAGTAACGTCAATTTAAGATGAATTTGAGTATAGGCAATCTGATTTCTTTACTTTAAGTATGTTGTCTAGGTATCTCCTCTCTCTCTCTATATATATATCAATTCACATTACTTGACCTTTTACCCCAACAATGTGGCCCAGCCTGATGTCATGATCTTCTAAATAAAGAACTAAAAACAAACCCAAGTATTAGGCTCACCTGGTTTGTCAGAAGGCAGAAAGCCTTGTTGCTTTATGAAACGCTAATCCCAATTTATAAATCTATCACCTGAACACTGTGTAACGTTTATTTAGTCATGTGCAGAATGTCTCTCAGGTGGTTATTGTGTTTTGACCCTTTAAATGTATAGTTCAACATACATCATTCATTCTTTTAGTCTTTTATTAAAACTGATTTACATGTAACAGTTTCATTAATATTATCATTTACTGCATGCATGTACTGTACACACAAATAAAAGGGCAGTATCACACAATTGCAGCAGAGGGCAGTGTAAAATAGGAAATGTTAGACAACCAGAGGGCTTTCAAATCTAATTGTGTTCCTCTAAAAATGTCTCGTCTCCTAGTCAGTATAATCTTCTAAGCATCAATAACATTTAATCAAGTTATATTTAATCAACCACATTTAGAAGCATACATTTATCATATTTTACACCTCAAAATAACTATGTCCACATTTTCCATGGCCATACTAATATGAGAACAAAAAGGAAGCTAAAGAGAAAATATACTTTAAAAGTGATAAAAAAATAAACAAAAGTATCTTCCAAAGAATTCCACAACTGAAAACAACAAATACATTCCTTTGTTCCTTACTTGTTTAAATTAGCATACCTAGTCTTTCAAGGTATATAGCCATTACAGAAACCATTGTTAATAAAAAGACACAAGTTTGTGCCTCAGTTTCTTTAAATCAAAAACATCATGTACTGTACCAAACGTTCCTGTCCTTCTGCTGTTAACTTCTTAAGGCTGTGGGATTTCCTAACTATGTACAAATCAACCATGAATCCCAATAACAAATGGGCTTATGACCACATCCGTTATCTGCCCTACCTACAGTATATACTGCCTGAACCCTTCTCCACAGCCACTCTTCTTTCTTGAACCCTTTTATACATTCTGGTGCCTGTCATTCAGTTAACTTCCCCTTGCACCACATCTGATTAAATCATAATTAAACAAAACCAAATACACATTCCTTCATCTGTGTTATTTGTTTAATAAAGTTAAGAATTTACATATAAAGATCACACGGTAACTAATGAGGCTCTGGTGTGCCTAATGGAAGCTATGATATCCAGTGACAAGTGTACATTAATTGACAGCCAGGGCACTTGTTGAATGTGACCCATGCTGAAAAGATGGCATTTATCTCTGGCTATAGTGAGCAGAGGTGTTTGACACAACCTTGCTTGCAAGAGCAGACGTTCACATATTGTTTCAATGTGAAAATCAAGGAGTTTACTTTTTTTTTTACAATTTTCAGCTGGTCATGCATTATTTAAACCCCTGTACAAGTATGCATTATTGTTTGTTTTTTTACAATGCTGCAAGAAAACAGGGGTAAAAATACATTTTTGGGCACATCATTTAGTAGGACATGCACTGAAAAACAGAATTAAATGTTCAAAGTTAAATAAAATAAATAAGCCTGCAACCTTTGCTTTATGATCCGCCATCTGTCGACATACAACATCATTTTTCTCAGTGATTTTAATCCTATTGTCAGAATCGCAATAATTCATTTTCAACATCTTTCAGACATTTCAAGTTTCAAAGAATATTTCAGTACAGGCTCTGTTTAGATCTGCTAAATAAGTAGAAAGAGATCTCCAGAAACCTTACACAAACCTCCCCCAGGACAGGCATATGGTTGACTATACAGCATACATTATATGCCAATATACTCTATTGTATTATTGTCACTCGGATATCTGTGTGATTAAATGTGTTGGCAGCAAAAATAAACTTATTAAGCAGCATTTTGAAAAGGAAAAGACGTGTATAACCTCTTATCATTATTCAAGTTCTAACTTCAACGGCTTCTTGATTTCTGGACTTGAATGTTACTTAATTATTTTACAGCTGAATTTGAGACTTAAGTAAGCTCATGTTTATTTATTTGTCACTATTGATCAATGAATTGCCCATAGTAAGTTGTCAAAGCCTTAGCACAACCCAAAACCCCAAAATATTCAATTAACAATGACTTTAGAAGAGAAAAACTGAATATTGTCACACAGAACTAATGGATGTTTGGTATTTTTAACTTAAACTATGAAAGAATTTGTGTATCACAGAAGGATGTCATAGTGACGGATTTCCTGGTTTTCACATTGCCCCTGGCCTCCAGACATGGGGCTTAATGCCTCCCTTGGTGGCAACAAAACGTGGTTTGGGTGCCTGAACTGGGGGGGGCTTGAGTGACGGCAAAGAGGCAAGAAAACTGAGTTCAGGAGCGCTCTGGAACTGCTTGGCTGACTGGAGCCCACTGGTGTATGATACTGGCATGTAAGGTGTAGGGACTGCAGGGGGCAAAGGGTGTTGAATAGGGGCGGCAGAGAACGTTGGGAGGCCAGGCAGTCCAACTGGTTGGGAGGGTGTTGAAGCTGGCATTGGGGCACTGAATGGTGCTGGGTTTGGAGTAAAAGGAGCAGGAGGTGGGGAGATCATACCGGAATAAGAAAAACGTTCTCCGAGGCTAGTGGCCGAGCGGGGTGCAATGACCTGGGGAGCGAGAGAGGGAGCAGACATTGGTGTTGGTGTGGAGAATCGTTTGACCTCAAAAACACGAGCTGTTTTGATGGGGATCTGCTTAGGGGGAGTTAATGAGCTGCCCACCATTGTTGCTGTTGTGCAGTTACCGTACTGCAGCTGCTGCCTCTGGGCCTGGTAAGAAGGCATGGCTGAAATATTAGCAACACTGCCCCCATAGTTGAACATGGCAGAATTGAGCTGGTAGGGCTGCCTTCTCATGACATCCAGAGCTTTGATGCCCTCTCTTTGGGGGGCACCTCTACCCATGCTTTCTGGCTTGCTTGTATTCCTTTGAGGCCCTGTAGGGATAGAGGGGGCCAGAAGTGGGTTGTAACCAATGGGTGGAGGAGCACGGATATTTGGGGAGTATTTCCACTGAGACGCAAGTGAAGGATTGTTGGAGAAGTCAAGAGATTGGGCTGCATTGTGCGAGGCCACTACCTGCTGGTAAGGCGTCTCGGGTGGGGTATCAACTACATACATACCCATCCGGCTCTGTCTGCGAGCAAACAGCTCGGCCCCCTTACCCCCTGCTTGAAGAAACTGTGGGGCTTCATGGATGACCCTAGGCTTGGGTGCAACTGGAGGAGGTGCTTTTCCCATGCCAGCCTCACC